AGAGAGAAAATACCTGTGGTTGCCTTCGGCTCTGGAATGTTTGGAAAGGACATAGAACAGGAATAACAGGTGTCCTTTACAGAGCATTAAAAAAAGAGAGAGGCAAGGCGACGTTATCGTTGTAACAATTGATGAGTTTCGAACGTCAAAGGTAAAGCGTTATTCTCTAATTTTGAATATTCTACTTAACTATTTATAGATCTGCAATTCTTGTGAAAATATGGCGTTCACATCTGCTTTTATAAACTTTCACGGCATCCAATCCTGCACAGAGTGTGGATTGCTTTGGCAACGGGATATAAACGCTTCAAAAAATATTTTCAAGATCGCCAATGGCATCCTTCGTGGATGTGGCAGACCTCAAGCATTTTGTTACCGTATCGAACATGGTTCTCCTTCTGGAGTTTAGACATTTACTCCTAGTAGATGTAAACATAACTAGTCTTTGTACCAAAATGTAAATTAATCTTTCACAAATTATGCATCGAATGTTTGGAAAGCCATTGCCCCTCCTGTTCAGTGTTTGTAGACTCCATGTTTATAAAGAATAAGCTTTGACATGTTTATTGAAAGAATATAAAATAAAAAGAAAGAACCAATACTTTGTTGACACTCCTTTTTCGGCAATTACCGCCTCACATCGAGCCTTTATGCTTCAGACCAGTCATGCCACTAACCCAGGGCTTGTTTTCTCTCAATGCAATACTCAACCCTTCAGTATTTTTCAATTACATGTCTCCTTTTCTTGATGAAATTTCCTAAAGTGGTCCAAACATACTCTATGGGATTCAAATCAGGACTTTGGGCAGGTCATTACTCGAAATCCTTGATCTGGTGGGCTTCCTTCCATCATTGAGCATATCCACCAGGTATGGAAGATAGCTCCACTTTCTTGGAATATAAAATCCCTATCTTCTTTCTAGCAGAGTTGTGCGATCCAGGATGAAAGTTTTGGGCTAAAATATTTATATATTTGTCTTGATCAACTGTACCATCAACCAAGACCAAAGGATCAAGACGATTTGTATGAAAGCAGCCCTAGATCATCACTACATCACATTCATACTTCTTTATTGATACAATATTCTTAGGGTTGTTCGTTCATCAATCTTTCTGATTACTCTGGCATTACATTCGCTACTGGCAACGATGAACCGAGATTCATCGCTCCAAATGATACTAGGCCACTGTTCATACGTCCTGTGGACGTGTTCATGAGCCTAGCGAAGCCTTTTGTTTATATGCTCTTCTGTCCATGCCGGTTTATTAGAAGCAAAGTAAGAGCCATACTCCGTCCTCTTTGAAGTGCTGATAACAGTCTGTCTACAGAACTTTACATATATGGTATGCAACTCTACTCTCAGACGGTTGTATGTTTCGAATCGATGATCTATCGTCTTCATAAGCAGTCTACGTGGTCTCTTGTTGATTTTATAGATTCTACATTTTGACTCGACTGGTAGAGACAATCCAATCTTTTTATTCTATCAACTGTGTTTTGTACTGTAGGTTTAATTGCATTAAAAAATATTCCATTGGAAAGCGTTAGGTTATTTAGAGACTTTGGTGATGTGAAGCTACAAAGTGACGACGCAGGTAATGCATAGAAGAAGCGCCCGTAGCATTAGTCTATTTTCTGGTGCATGTAGTGTTCACCTATTATGTTTTGCTTATTTTTATGAGTCTCAAATAACACGTTGGCTTCCTCAGAGTTCAAAAACTATACCACAGGTTAGCTCTTATGCGTGATTGTGTACGTTTTGCCAGTCTTTTTCAAGATTTTCTACTTGCTGTGAGTTTATATCTTTTTTCTTTTTCAGGTTTTTAATAGCTGCTTCCATAACATTTTCAGCATTGATGCGATCCCAAACTCCTCGTTTCTTTAAAAGTTTTGTATCCAAACATAAACTTCATAGCATATTCTTGCATCTGATATCTAACATTAACATTGCCATATTATCAGCAATTTCATTTTTCTGTGACAGACAGTTACTTTTTTTGTAACCAACCAGATCCACCAGCCGGACTGTTCATAAAAAGCTTCTCTCCTTTTTTTTTTTAGTTCAATTATTTTTAAAAGATGAGCCACTCTTCAAAACTCCTTGTTAAGCGTCTTTCAGAATACGCCAAGCTTCCCACAAGAGGATCTGCACATGCTGCTGGCTATGATCTATACTGGTAATAAGTGGTATACTCTCATGCTCAAAAAAAAGCTAATCTTGGTTTTCATTAGTGCACATGACACTGTCATTCCTGCTCAAGGCAAAAGCATTGTTGCTACTGATATCAGTATTGCCATTCCTGAAGGTCATTATGGTCGTGTTGCACCAAGATCTGGCTTGGCATCTAAGCACCACTTAGACACAGGTGCAGGTGTTATTGACGCTGATTACCGAGGTCCGGTGGGCGTTTTGTTGTTCAACTTTAGTAAAGAAGATTACCAAGGCAAGTATATTGTTTTTATGTTTACATGTATGTTAACCGATATTCTTATTAGTCAAACGCGGTGATCGTATTGCTCAATTGGTCATTGAAAAGATTTCTACACCTGAAGTCGTGGAAGTAGATGTAAGTCTAAAATGATGTGTTTCTATGTGATGTATTGAATAATAAAATTGTATATTTATAGTCATTAGAGGAATCTGAACGAGGTGCTGGTGGATTTGGCAGTACTGGATATCAATAAATTATTAGACATTTTTAGAAAAAAACAGACTCTATGTTTAGAAAAAGACGCGTTTTAGTCTGGTTTTAGAAATATAATCACTTGTCTTTTCCATTAGCAAAAGCTTTTCTTTTTTATATGAAAGAAAGGTGTCCCTTTATTTCACAAACAAATGCTACATTCGCATAAACCGTTCAACCGGGCCATTGCCGGAGTGTAAAATACCACTCCGGACGCACGGTCAAGTTTGTTCGCACGGTTAAAGAGGAGACAAGAGGTCAGCTATGGCCTGTATGTGCTATGAGACCATAGATGTATTATGATGAAAACACGCTATGCATTATGGCTGATGTATAAAAGAGAGAAAAGGGGGAGTATTTAAACTAGAAAAAGAGAAAGAGAGACAGAGACGAGCTCATGATGTAGCATAAAGTCACACCTTTGCAGCTGATTTATTTTTGATATAAATTCACTGCAAAAAAAATATTTCCTTTTTTACCTTTTCTTAACAAATGGAGAAATTTTTAGACTACGTTGAAAAGCACCAAAACGATTTCGTTGAAAGACTTCGTAAAGCCGTTGCTATTCCCAGGTAAAGAGAAAGAAAAAGAAAAAAAAGTTGGCGTGCGGCTAAAACACGCGTGTATATAGTGTAAGCGGTGACCCTTCTCACCGTCCTGACGTCTTCCGCATGGCTGATTTCTTGGTTCAAGAACTCAAGAATCTCGGTGCTGATGTCGAGACTCGCGATCTTGGTAAACAAGACTGGCATGGCACCTCTTTGGACTTGCCTCCTATTGTGCTTGCAACTGTTGGCAACGACCCTTCAAAGAAGACTATTCTTGTCTATGGTCACTATGATGTTCAACCTGTAAGTTCACGAGTACACAAAAAAGAAACATCATCTGACCTTATGTGTAGGCTCTTCTTGAGGATGGCTGGAATACCAATCCTTTTGAATTGGTAGAAGACGAAAAGAACCGTTTGATTGGCCGTGGTTCCACTGATGATAAAGGACCTATTCTCGGTTGGATCAACGTAGTAGAGGCTCACAAGAACCTTGGACTCGAATTACCCGTCAATCTCAAGTTCTGTCTCGAAGGCATGGAGGAGTCTGGCTCTGAAGGTTTGGACGGGCTTATTTACAAGGAAGCCGACAAATACTTTAAGGATGTCGATGCCGTCTGTATCTCTGATAATTATTGGCTCGGAACAACCAAGCCCTGCTTGACTTATGGTCTCCGTGGTGTCTCTTACTTCCACGTCAAGATCAAGGGTCCCGTAAGTTTATTAAAGTATAAGGAGAACAGTAATAACCTGTTATTAGGGTGCTGACCTTCACTCTGGTGTCTTTGGTGGTACGGTCCATGAACCTATGACTGACCTTTTTGCTATCATGAGCAAATTAGTCAATGTCCATGGTAAAATTCTCATTCCTGGAATCTATGACCAAGTTCGTCCTTTGACAGGTAAGAAGTGAAAAAAAAAGGCGTGGTTTGAATAAGATATTAATAAAGGGAGGGCAAATAGATGAAGAACAAGCTATTTATAAGGATATCAGCTTCAAGATGGAAGAACTCCAAAGTGCTGTTGGTAACAAGACCAACATCCATGAAGATATTCCCAAGACACTTCAATCCCGATGGAGAAACCCTTCCTTATCCATCCACGGTGTCGAAGGTGCCTTTTATAATCCTGGTGACAAGACCGTAATTCCTGCCTGTGTGACAGGTAAATTCTCTATCCGTACTGTTCCTGATATGGAGCCCAAGAAGATCAGTCAATTGGTCTGTAAGTATATTGAAGATGAATTTGCCAAGCTTGGATCCAAGAATACTTTGCATGTTCATTGTACTCATGATGGCAACCACTGGCTTTCAAGCCCTAATCACCCCAACTATGGTAGGTATATTCAATTATAGAAAAGGAAATGATAATGATAAATTATATATAGTTGCTGCTGCCAAGGCTGTCGAAACTGTTTACAATGTCAAGCCTGATTTGACTCGTGAAGGTGGCTCTATTCCAGTAACCTTGTCTTTCCAAAGTGCCTTGAACAAGAACGTCCTTTTGTTGCCCATGGGCCGTGGAGATGATGTAAGTATACATAAATGACTACACTATATGATACTTATACTTTGTAGGGTGCACACTCCATTAATGAGAAATTGGACAGATCCAACTATGTTAAAGGAACTCAATTATTAGGAACTTATTTATATGAAGTTTCCAAGGTTGAATTATAAACGATTAAAGAACAAAAAATAAGCAACTTGTTTATCTTGACTTTACCCCCCCTTTTTTTGTCTTTCTTTCTTTCTTTTTTTCTTTCGTTTGTGGTGATTGAATCACAAATTTTCTTTATTCTTTTTTCCTTTTTTTCTATTTATTCTTTAATATGGCAACTCAACGTCATAGCCCCAATACAAACAATGGTACTAATATTGTGGGCGTTCACTATAAAATCGGTAGAAAGTTAGGAGAAGGCAGTTTTGGAATCATTTATCAAGGTACACAGAGAAGCAGGCTTTTTTTATTTTGTGCGTATCTTTAATTTTTGACAACCTTATAAAAAGGAACTAATCTATTGAATAATCAGCAAGTTGCCATCAAGTTTGAACCACGTAAATCGGATGCACCTCAATTGAGAGACGAATATAGAACCTATAAAATATTATCTGGAACAGGTATATAAACAGTGTTTGTACTCCTTATCCCCCCTTCTTTTCCTAATAGCCCCCTTCCTTTATAGTGGGGATTCCGTCTGCTCATTATTTTGGACAAGAAGGACTTCACAATATTCTCGTGATCGATTTACTTGGACCAAGTCTAGAAGATTTATTTGACAGTTGCTCAAGAAAGTTTAGTATCAAGACAGTAGCCATGTTGGCAAGACAAATGGTAAGTAAATAATATAAAACAACAAAAAAAGGAAGTTTATTAAGCTATTTAGATTACACGGGTTCAAAGTGTCCATGAGCACAACTTGATTTATCGAGATATAAAACCTGATAATTTCTTGGTTGGAAGACCAGGAACGGCAGATACAAATATGGTCTACTTGATCGATTTTGGTATGGCAAAACAATACCGTGATCCAAAGACGAAGCAGCATATTCCTTATCGAGAAAGAAAGAGTCTCTCGGGCACAGCAAGATATATGAGCATCAATACACATTTAGGCAGGGAGCAGTCCAGAAGGGATGATTTGGAATCACTAGGACATGTCTTTATGTATTTCTTGAGGGGATCTTTACCTTGGCAAGGGCTTAAAGCGGCGACAAATAAACAAAAGTATGAAAAGATTGGCGAAAAGAAACAGTCGACAGATGTTTTAGAATTATGTGCAGGATTCCCAGGTATGTTTTTTTTTTTTTTTTTTGATCTAGAATAAAAATATACAGGACTCACAAGTTATATTCATGTAGAGGAGTTCAGTATATACCTTCAATATGCTCGTAAACTAGGATTTGAAGAAACACCAGATTATGATTTCTTGAGAGATCTGTTTACAAAAGTACTTGTCAATCTTAATGAAACAGATGATGAAATCTATGATTGGATGAAAGGACAACCAAAGCAACCAGAAGTATATGAAAGACAAAGGGTGCCTATGGTTAAGGATATTGATCAACAACAGCAGCAACAACAACAAACATCACGGAAAATTGAAGATAGACAAGGGAATCTACATCAATTTGTCTCCTGCATATCATGCGGTTTATTTTCTTGCTTTTAATTCTCTCTCTTCTTTTTTTCCCTTTTTTTTTCTTTACACTTGAATGCATTATTAAATATAAAAACAATGGTGAAGGCAAGAAAACTAATTGTTCATATCTTAAGCACTTTATGGATCTTTGCATTTATTTATAATGAATACTTTATATTCATAAAACATGCTTACCGTTTATCAATACAACTGAATGTACGTTATCGTTTTTTTTTTTCTGTGGATAATGTCTTTAAACAATATAGATAGAAAACCGATAAACATATCCTTTTGATAGCAGATCCACAGATGACAGATAATTTATCTTATGACCGACCATGGATTCTGCTACAGATAACCAAGTTCTATAGTGATTTGTACATGAAACGTAATTATAAACACCTGGTAAATACAATTCATCCTTATCAAGTCTTTATCATGGGTGACTTGATGGACAATGGAAGAGAATGGGATGATGAATAGTAAGCAATAGATACGCGTTTGTAATAGACCTACTAAAGAAAAAACAAGCTTTCAAAAGGAATTAAAAAGATTCAACAAGATATTCAAGCGAAAGGATATCAATCCGTATTTTATGGTTGGTAATCATGACATTGGCTTTGGTGATGGAGTCGAGCCTCGGCTATTAGGCAGGTTTCAAAAGTATTTTGGCCAAGCTTCTTATGTCGTACAGCATACAAACTATGATTTTCTTGTCTTGGACACTGTGTCACTCTCGTCCTCCATTCCGCAAATCAGGAATAACGCATTGTCCATGTTACAAAAATACCAATCTTATAACAAGACGACGATTTTATTCAGCCACGTTCCGCTCTATCGTCAGCCAGATATGTCATGTGGTCCTCTTCGTCAGACGACTTCAACGATTAGGGATGGCTATGGATATCAGTATCAGAATTTGGTATCCAAGGAACTTTCGGACCTTATCTTGGCAACTGTGCGACCGACTCTTGTATTTTCTGCGGATGATCATGACTATTGTGAAGTCATTCATAACGGAGCTATAAAGGAAATAACCGTGCCAACCTTTAGCATGTCTCAAGGAGTAAGATATCCAGGACTAGTTGTCTTGTCCATGTCAGATCAACCGTCTACCGTCTTACACTGGCTACCTAGTCAAATAGACATCTTTATCCTTTATGCATGTCTTCTTGGCCTATCCATCATAAGCATTATCGCTGTCGAAGTCATTCAGATGAAACAACACATTTATGCCAAGGTTCAGTCATCTGAATTGCCCATAACGACAAGTGATAGATATAAAAAGCCACCCAGAGTACTATTTATATCCATTATGCAAAGCATCAGAGATGTCGCCCTTATTGCAGTTGTCACATATATTCTTTGTCTTTTGTGTTTATAAAATAGAGACGATGTAAAATACGTTGTAGCTTTTTTTTTTTTATTGGCGTTAAAATAATAACAATAATAACAAAGGTTCAGTGATTGACAAACTCATCCTCGGGTGCATGCATTAGGCTGTTTGTATGTGGCTGACCTGATGTGTTTGCTCTTAAAATAGAACTTGGGCTTGTGGGAGCTGATATTAATAAGGATGGGTCATATTCTTTATTAAACAGTGCACTATCCAATAAGCAATCTGTGGTGTGCCCAGATGCTGTAGATGGTGTTGACACTGTAGATGTAGCAGAAGCTGCTGCTGCTGCTGCTGCGACAATGGCATGTCTATATTTTTGCCTAGTACCTCTTCCTAGCTCATGATCATTTTGAATAGCGTACAGCTGCATTTCTCTTGCATATCTGTCCTTATCTACCTGAGCCTTTGTCTTCCACGGCGCTCGTTCTTCGTCCGTCATACTATGCCATTTTTCTGCACAATATTTGCTGATCTGTCCCACATTTGAACTCGGAAATTTTTTCATCGTCTTTGGTCTTACTTCTGTCAGATACCACATATACGCTGACAGTGGATGCTTTGGTATACCCGGGTTTTTTGTTCTTTTCTTTCCCCGCTTCTTCTTGTCTGATTCGGGTGTGTTGTTATCGTCTTCTTTGGTTATTTTACCAGCCTCTATCAGTTCTGCTCTTGAACGACGAATGTACATTGAGTTCGGGTGAAGTGCTCTTTGTTCCTCTTTGAGTCGATTGGCTTCCTTTATGTAGATATCTTTTTCTTCCTATATACAATTATGAGTTTTATATGCAAGTTATTGATTATTATAATTACTTGAGTCATTCTTTTCCATCGATCTGCAATCTGTTTACTGATTTCGCCCACGTTCATTGTTGGATCTTGATCTTTGAGGATTCTTCTCATTTTTTTATTAAACAACAGATATGCATTAGGTGGTCGAGTCACTCGAATGGGCGCGTTACAGTCTTCTTTACCAGAAGAAGAAGAAGAAGAAGGACTAGCGATTGTCGGCTGGTGTAGTTGTGGTGGTGTTGTCATTCGAAGTAGAGATAGTGTAGGATAGTTGATACCTTGTATCAATGATTGTTGTTGTTGTTGTTGTTGTTGAGGAGAAGGAGTAGCATTTAGTAATTGTGCTTGAGTCATTGCCGCATAATGCTGAAGACTATATTGAATGTTGTTTGCTAAATTGTCTATAAAAGGGAAAGTAAGAGAGAGAAAAAGAGAGAGAGAGAAGAGTCTATTTAGTTCTATATTTTCACATTTATAAAAGCTAAACTAACTCATTCTAAAACTGTCTATGTAATATGTAGAATTAAAGTAAAAAAAAAAAAAAAAAAGAAAAAGAGCAATAGGCTATTTAGCCAATGGAAACAAAGGAGGGAGTTAAAATCATTAAATGTTGAAAAAAAGGTCTCTAAAAGAAAATGTCTATGAAAGACGTACAAATTGACCCATTGAATAACGTTGCATATTCAATGTCAACAAGCTTTGCTGAACCTGCCCTTATATTTTCTGACGAATCTTGTCATTTGACTATCATCAACCGACAATCGTAAACTCTAGTGAATAGCACTCTGTTGATCACTCTATTATATCAAAAGCCATTGAGAAGCTTTGAGTCTTCTTCTGTTATCACTGCTTTTAACTCTTTTCCGTCTTCTTCTTATACCTCAGGCAATTGTCGTGGCTATGCTTTTTCTTTAAACACGTTTTCATACTTGCACTTGCTGCATAATTATGGTGACACTCTCTAATGGTTGCGTAACCATGACACCACAAACTTCCCTTTTTCTCTTCATAAACAGTCGACTATAAAGAAAATGCTGCCGATTGCTTTTTCATTAAAGCAAGGTAACTCAAAGAAACGGAAAAACAAGTAAAATAGGATATGGTTCTACAAACAATTATCTCTGCTGTGTTACTTTAAAAGAACACAAGTGTAGCAATAAAAGCAAAGCCGCTTACCATTTTAAATATATTTTTTGTGTGTGTGTGCAATGAATTTCAAAGACTTGCAATACTCCATTAGCAAATTAACAACTCAAGTTCAGTCACAAGTGGCTCGTAATAACCCTTTACAGAACCAAGACACGAGATCTCTCAACTATTGGTTGTTTCAAGAACGAAATGAGCTAGCAACATTAAGAACAAAGGCATATCAGCAGCTAGAGACAAACAAGGCCTTTATGGACTGGGTGAATGATGAATCCGTAAAATATGAACAGGATAAGGAATATTGCATTAAAGTAAATAATAAATGTATAAGAAGGGATGTTTAATTTTAAACTATACTCTTCAGGATATCGGTGAAGCACTTTGTAGTTTATTTAATAAGCAAGTAGAATTAGAACAATGCTATGCTGGTAAGTATATACAAACAGAGGCTCTTGCTTATAAACAATGTTAGATGAGCATAGGCTTTATCGACGTATCATCAAGCTCATTCGACAGAGAGAACAAGAAAGACTGGATAGGGAGGAAAGAAGAAGGGCGATCGAGGACAGGATTAACCACTTAAAAAAGACGAATTCAAATTTGGATAGAATACAAGAATTTGAAAATGAACTTGCTACCATGCAGTCAATAGACGATACCGCGGGTTTCAAAAAGACGATGCTTAAGGAAGCATTCTATTTGAAATTGAATGCCTTACAGGAATATGCCGAAAAAATAACACTGCTTGCAAAATTTGGCAAGGATTTAGCGGATGGATTTGAACATCCAAGAGATAGAATAGATATACAGGTCATGGAAGCGATGCTAAGTATAGATGGCTGGCACTCGGAAAGAAGACCCACATTGCTATTATTTGATGAAAATGACGATAACGATGATGCTATCTCACTAGCATCGACTGATATTGATGGGCAGCTGCCAGTGTCATCTGGCTCTAGTGGCGTCAATCAGAGTAATACAAATTGAATGAGCAATGAGAAGAAAGTTTTTATTTACTATATTTATATGTGCATTTTTATGTGGTTATGAATGTTTGTATAATTGTTTACATGTAACAAAGAAATATGGTGTAGTTTTAAAGGCAATATGACAAGATCAAGTTGCGAGACTTTTTTTTTTTCCTTGAAACAAATGCGTATGTACTGTGCGTATGCGTATGTGTGCTTGTGTGTGTGTGTGTGTGTGTGTGTATGTGTTTGGGGGAAAAAAGAAAGACGGGTATTTACAGTAAATATACTAGTTCATTTTTCATGTAAATTCACAACGACATGCATCCATTCGTGGTGATAAGTAGAAAAGTGTTGACTAATCCATTTATAAACGAACGATCCATTGATTCTGACCAACAGCTTTTGCTGACAGATAGGGCAGGTTCTATAGCTAAACCTGTCCTTGGCCTTTTGCTTGTTATTTAATAACTGACGAATAGTTGATGTAGCAATATGTGAAGGGTGATTCCAAGCCATCTGAGAAAAAGAGAAAAAAAAGAAAGAGAAAAGCTAACAGGAGAGAGAAAAGAAATAAGAAGCTGTAGGTTTATTCAAATTGAGCTAGAGACCTTTTATATTCATCGAAATGATTTCGACTGTTTCACAATAAAACCCGCCCCTGACTCTCCTATTTCTTTTTTAGGAACTTTATCCCATTAAATTACACAAAAGTATTTGTGATAGAGGTGCTACGCACTGACCAAGAAAAGAACAAAAGAGCAAGAATACTTCGTAGTTTCATTACATGACTGTCAATATAACAGGATCCTGCATAAGCGACAAAAACATGCCCTCTTTTTGAGATTACCTTTATCAAACTAGAAAAGTAGGCTTCTATTACAGCCCAGATGATTCATATACGTATACTTGGTACAACTGTAAACAATAGGTCATCGGTTCATTGTTACCTGGGATGCTATAGGCAAGAAAAAAAGGGATTCCCACTGACAATAGTCTTTATTTAGTAATCACAAGTGGTTGTTCTTTGCTATTCTTTTTTTTTTTTTTTTCATCTTTATGCCTCCTTTCACTTGTTTAGCTTCTTATCATTAACTTTACTAAAAAAAAATGAAACTTGGCAAAAATATGACACTGGCGTCATTTTTACCATAGTGTAACGCCCTATGATGATTTCCATATTCAAGTAAAACTCGCCTTGTGATTCAGACGCCATCCATCAAGTCTATAAGGTAAGTGTAATGGATGATTCTTTTTTTCTCAAGATTGGGTAAACTACAACCTCATGTTCGCTACACAGAAAAAGAGAAATAGAGAGAGTGAGAGTAACAGTGTAACATGAAGTGGTTACATTAAAAAAATGTTCCCACTACTTGCACCTCTTTTTTTTATGCTACTCGATTTTATCCCAAATTATTTTATTGAGAATAAAAACATTACACACAGTTGTGTATTCTATCAGAAACAATGTCTCTTTAAGAGTCTATTGTACTTTTAACTGATTCTTATATTCATGCAAGATAGTCAACTTTAAATCTTTTGGACTATCAATTTAATCTTTCTCTCTTTTCACAGCTATGCATGAATTATCCGAAAGCACTGCCAGGTATTCATAACTAACAACAACAACAACAAAAACCGGTTTTATTATATACACATACATCGTCCCCTTTTGTTCAAACAATTCCCAAAGATTCTACTTGATGTGACAGTTACTTGCATACACAGTAATAACTAAAATACTATTCTCAGCCATACTAAAAGGCTTGTAATAACGCCATTAGGGAGTACAATATGCATAGTTACCCAAACATTGGATACAATAAGACCTGCATTTCCCGATCTGGCATTCTTTTTTTTTTTTTTTTGTACTAAACAGGCTTCCCTTAAGGGTAGTTGGTTGTATCATGATCAGAAAGGGTCACGATCTCAAACAGTTTATGGTATATTATCATTTTGTAACGTTGATCTAAATGACGCAAGCACTATCAACCTAGTGCACTATATTGTTATTTATTGATTTGAATACCGCAAACACATTTACACTACTGAAATTTCGTTTTATTTCTAAAAAACTTGAAAGCAAACAAAATGTGCTTTGCTCCCATTTCAGGCAGGAGATTAGCCTTAATTAGTTCTAGTAATTTGTTCGATAACTGCTATCCTTTCTTTTTTTTGTCTTTTTTACATTTGTCTGTAGTAGCTAATATCTTTTACTTGTGCATTAGTGGTGGTCCTGTGTGATGACATTTCAAACATGAGTGAACATATATAAGGCATGTAATGGATTATTCTAAACCTGTATTCCTCCTTTTATTATTATTATTATTATCAAGTTGGTTTAGAGTTCTTTCACACCATTCAAAATGTAAAAGTCATATAATACAAATACAAAGACAAAGATTTATAAGTCGTAAGGGTAGTAGAGCGAGGGCAGATATATACTATTATTAGTTCCCATTGATCTCATTATCTTCTTCTATTAGTTCATTCACTTTCTTTAACAGCTTAACATATGCGTTACGGGTCATTGCTTCCTTTATAGGTTGCTCCTATATCTCAAGTTAGTTTTATGTTGGATCGTATACATGATTTTCAATTACCGTATTAATCTTTTCAATGATATTTCGGATTTTCTGAAGTTCTTCCTTTTTCGCTTTGTCAAGATAAAGTTTTAACACAAAATGCAACAGTGTTTTTCGCTTGTGTCCTGTTGCTTTGAATGCTATCTCTAAAGCATCAACTGCCAATTCACCAGGTGTGCTCATATCTGTTTCATTGTCGTACAAGTTTTCAATATGCAGTCTATATGTAATCATTAGGGAACCCTGTCGCTTTTTTTTTTTTTTGGCTTACTTTGCAAGTTTACGTGGATCTACCCAGTCAGCAAGCATGTCAGATATTTGAATTGGGTTAATCATTGTTTCGTATGGTTTAAGGTCTTCATGCATGTTGCAGACTTCTGTTAATGCAGATATGGTGATATTAGCCATCGTTTTTTGATTTTCAGGGGATGAAAAACTATAGGCTGGGAAAAAGTATGACAGACATTGTTGGACTTTTATATTGGGTTGATCTATAGTTGGAAGGAAATATAAAAGAACCAAAAGACGAAGGAGCTAAAGACAAGTTAGATTATTATATAATTTTTTTTTTTTTTTGTAACTTACATTTTCATCATTCAGTCGCTTTGTAAGCATAAGCTTTGCTATGCCTTCAGCTGCAAGAGCTTGTACTTCATCATTATTGTCGTCCAAACAATATTCGAGAACTTCTTTAATTTCATCAGCCTAAATGCATGGATAAGAATCTACAAGTTATACTGACTATATATACTTACATTATTCAGGTGTTCTGTCACTGCTTGAAATCCATATGTCATCAATAAATCGAAAAGGATCTTTAATGTAATATAATTAATAAATAATATGGTCCTTTTTCTTTCTTTCCTTCTTACCATGAGTGCTTTTATCTTTAATTCATCATGTCCGCATTTGATACAGTGAATAAATAGTGCCGTATTGTGCTGAGCAAGTTCTCGATCTAATGTGCAGCATAATCCCAAGCAGTGCAGGCCAACCTCTCTCAGCTGTGTATCTGGATTTTGAACTGCGGGAACAATTAGGTCGTTCAGGAGACCATACAAGTTTGAATTTTTAGTAAATGACTATAAAATATTTCCCATTAGATTTTATATCAGACAAACCATAATCACACATACTTCTTGGCTATTCTCCAACATATTTTTACATATAGCAAGGCATTTGAGCCTAATATGGGTATCATTTGATTCTGCTAGTGGCGTGCTTCTCTGTGAAGAAGGTTCACTATCCAAACGCGATTTCTTTAAAGGCGACTCGTCTAATACATCAAACGGGTTAAGTTGTTCTTGTATATCAGAAATAATTTCAATCATAGTTCGTGTGAAATCTCGTTCATCCGAAGAGACAACCCTAAAGAGTCGAACGATTCTCGTCAAATGATCGTCAATCACTTCGTTGGATACCATGATACTTCTGAGTAATTCAAAAACTTTTCTTCTTCCTACTTCATCCGCATAATCAAGACTCATACAAGTTTCTAAAAGTTGTGATATAATAAACTCGTATTCTGGCTTGTCTTCTAAGCTGGTAGCGTGATACATGTCTGTATAATAGCTCAAATTGGCTGCATGAGTTATCACCTCCGGTAATACTTCGTCCAGTCGCTCATCCATATTGTTGGCTTGTAGAAATTTTATGAACACTTTTGCTAAAAAGGCGCTTTCTGGTGTAAGATGCTTCCAAAACTCGGCTAAGACAGTACGGTGAGTGAAAAGATGATGGCACAGTCACTCCTTATTACCATCAAATGTAATTTCATTAATGATATCCATTCTTTCCGTAAAAAATGCGTTCAATACGCTCTCTGCAATATCAGCTATACCAGGATTCATTATTTCAAGTCGTTCTAAAAATTCAATTAAGTTGTTATTCGCTTGTTGGATCCATTTTGTTGATAGCATCTTGGCCACAGCTTTTCGAACAAGTGGATCTCTATCATTTAGACCCCATTTCAACACATTATTTCTTTGCTCGGAAGTCAGTAATCTAAAATCTCTTATTTCTGATAAGGGCTTCAGATAAACGACTCTTCTGTTGATTGGGTCCAAATCTCTAGCTCGTTCGACAATAAAAGGTAGTGTTTCTTGATTAGGATCTATGTTGAACAGGATCACTCGACGTAATTCTCTAATTGGACGTTAGATGACTGGTTTATTACATGTATTTATCGTATTTTACGCGCTTGAGTCATGTTGTAATATCCACATGAGTTTTTGAAGAATAGTCTTTCCATCGGCTGGATCAATGTCAATGTCTGCACCTTGAAGTCTACATAAAGCAGTAACTGCTTGTATTCTTACTTGAGCTTCCCTATCTTTGATCCTCTCAAACAATGCTGCCTTCAGGTCTTGATAAAGATCCTCACTGTATAGCTGTTAGTATTTCTATTGATAGTGATATATCTTCTTACTCTATTTCTCCCATTGAGCTGATGCTTAGTGCAACAATCTGACAACATCGAAGACGAACAGAAGAACGCTTGGCCGTAAATCCTCGTAGCAAATGTCTCAACAAGATTTCTACAAATCGAGAACCCACAGTCTCATATCCTTCCTCTTGATCTTCTTCCCCCTCGCTATTGCTTAGCGATTCAATCACAATGGTTGGTTCTTTTGATCTGTCAATGTCGCTTTGATCTGATTCGTCTGATTCGTCTCGAGTAGACTCTGATTCTTCTTTCTCTGTAACAGATGTTTGTGGTTCAGGTTCATCAGCTCTCAAATTGTTGTCTATACAATAAAATGAGTATTTAATGAACGCATGAGGACTAAGTAGTTACCAAATTCTTGCATATATTGTAAAAAGCTTGCAATGAATCGCACAATTCTGTCTGCATGAGGTTCCTTCTTTTTAATAGACAGTACTTTGTTTATATTTCGTAAAACTTCTTTTGTAAATATCGCTTCTCCTTCATAATCAATATCCTGAGGTTCCCCTTTTTTTGCAGGTGACTTTAAACAGCACGGAAACTGAAGTTCTGTCAAGTTGATGGAGTACTTTCGTAGCACGGCATTCGGTTTTTGAGCTTCCATAAATATTTCAGGAACACGAGTTTTTAATGAATTGAGGACATTTTCCTTTGTGAGCATTGTTGTTTGGGACGAATTGGAGAAATGTTGAGATAAAAAAGGAGAAAATTGTAAAAAAAACGTCACGACAGAAATCTCGCGTTTTGTCTGACAATTAAAAGCAAATCTATTGTCATGACAACTCGACTGTGAAAATTGACATTCCCCCTATATTGGTTATCAAGTAATAGAACATCAAAGAATATAAGAAAAAGTACATGGTTGATTGATTTGTATTTTGTAAGCATTATTCTGAGCGGGTAATGGGATGAGACTCTTGAGGGAGGATAGAGATCGCCTCCCGTAGACTTGTACACCCAAATTTATTTAAGGAAACAGAAAAAGATCAAGGAGAATACAGAATTCTAAACTAGTACCGAACGGGACGATGAAAATTGACTGTTAAAATTTTGTTCCGAATAATATAAGCTTGCATGAGTACTAAAGCTTGATTCTTTAAAACGTGAATTGATCATGATTTGATGGACTAACCATTACCAATAAAAAGCTAACTGTCATAGAGTAAAAAAAAGTACGGTTGCTATATTTCAACTTTACCCTCGTTCAGGTTTAGTTGGCCAAATATGATCGGAAGTTAGATTGGCACTTTATCAATCTTTTGTACAACTTAACTTCAACGTGCAAATTACCCTTATTATATCAGTCAATACATGGTTAATAAACGCCAGTGCTCCCTCCAATTAATGCACTCTTTCCTCTTCTTTCTTCTACTTCTCTTCCCCTTCTTTTTCTTTTCACTTTCCTTTCCTTTCTCTCTCTTTCTTTCTTTTTCTCTTTCCTCTCTCTTTTTCCTCCTTTTTCTCTGTTAATGAAAAGGTCAAGGTGGCAACTACTTTGTTTGGCCATTACTATTTTATTCATTGTCATAGGTACACAAATAAAAATGATCCAATAAATATACAAAGCGAATTTAAAATAGTTTGATCTGTTATAGTAAATGCTTCCACCGTCGAAAAGTTAACACATACTACAGATGATCATCATCGTCATCGACATCACAAGCGTCCCTTTACGAAAACAATTGTCAATTGTTCTTTGGCGAAGAAGCAACATAGACATCAATTGAAAACGATCAATAGACATCACCGTATTCACACGTCTTACGTTTGTCACAAAGCTCATCATACCACTAAAAAGACTAATAAGCATGTCAAACATCACAAGACAAAGAAGCATCACTCAACCGATGTGAAGCATCATCGTCATCATCACTCTAGTCATCGTACCAGTGTTCACCACCACAAGACAATCAAGTCTCATCATGCTAATAAAAAGCATCGTAAAGACAAAGAACACGACAAGAAGCATAGAGGAAAAAATAACACTACCAAGAAACATAATTCGACTGTTACTAAACCACACCATACTAAAAAGATCCATCGCGCTAAAAGTGACCATCACAGCACTATAATAAATTCTCATAAAGTTAGTGCAACCTCGACTGTACCAACAGCAGTAGCACCTACTCCAGGTGTCACGAATGGTGACACACCTGGTTCAGTAACAATCACCCTCGAGGGCTTTGAGCCTACCGTTCAACCTGCAGCCATTCAACCTACACCTGCTGCTGATCGACAGGCACCCTCCGACAATTCATCCTCCGATGACATTTCTGCTCAAGGCATTGCCGACAGCTCATCTTCTGATAACTCTTCTGCCGATGATTCTTCTTCTGATAACCAGGAGCCTTCGCCCACAGAAGATCAATCGACGGGTACGACGATTATAAATCCCACGCCTTCTGGTGGTAGCAGTGCCAGTGGCGGCACAGGAAGCATCACTCCAGACACCCAGGTATCCACGCAAGCTGCCAACAACGGACCTAGTGTAGATGCAGAACCACAAAGCAAGATTATTGGTATCTCCGTGGGCGCTGTTGCCGGCTGTGTTGCTGCAGCAGGATTAGCAGGCATGTTTATCTACCGACGCCGCCAGGACAAGGAGCAGCAAAGTGAAGTGGAACCAGATGAACATGTCAACACAAGATGGCGTACGCAATCGTTTATGGCTGTTGTTGCTGGAGCAGTAGCCAAACTTCCCAAGCGCAGCGATTCATCTGGATCAAATCGTTCACGTGGTGTTTTAGGTACTATTCGACGTGCTGCTAGTAAAGCATCAAGTACGCTGTCAAGATCAGGCTCGAGATCAAGTCAGCAAAGTTATGGTATTGCCGTCTCTGGACCAATGCCTCCAATTGCTCACGTAGACGAGCAGCGTTATCATTCACATGCTTATTAAATAAATAAATATAAAAAGTATTTTGTCTTTATTAGCTAAAGGTTCTTGTCATCTAGCCGCATGATTTGGTGATAATGTTGCTTGCCGAGCATTCCTTTGTACACCATCGTGAAAGCTGAGCTAGCTCGTATGGTAAGTCCAGAAAATAGGTCGGGTTAGGCTCATCAGGTCTTGTCTTGCTTTGATCGTTCTGATCTTCTTCTGCGCTCTGTGTGTGTAATTTGTCTCAGTGACATGATGTACTAAAAAATCAAACACTTACTGATACATGGTTAATAAAGTCCATAAAATTTTGTGTATTTGCCTATTCATAATATAAGCTCGACCTGGAAACGTTGCGTCATTCAAGCTATCTTTTTACCTGAGCAAAGTCGTTCAACTGCATTATCCATAGTTCCTTTGCATTTTGCTCAGTGGAGCTATGGCTTGCAAGCGTCATTAAGCATTTTGCTATCAAGGTCAAAGTACGACAGGTGTTTGTGTCTGGATGATCTTGTACTAGTCCAAACTGTTTGGGAGAGATAATAGCTGGACATATCCATCGTAAAAAGATAAAGCCGCTATTTTTGCTCATTTGTTAATAAATAGTAATAGTATATATATACCATGCAATTACCTGACGCATGTATATCTGGCCACTTGATGATGTCTTTCCAAAACATTATCCTCTAATTTAAACCTGCTAATAATAGCCGATTGTAAATGTCCAAATACTTTACGGAATTCACTAAGGCAAAGAAAGAAAGGGTTGTTTAATATTTAACCTATAGAATAACCACAATGCTCTACCTAGGACATTTTGATTTTGCTCTTTGAATCCCACTCCATATGCAACGAACATGATCAAACAGTTTTGTACAATTGGTATAAGTAGTTTCTACTGTAGCATCTGGTATACGTGAGGACTCAACTTCGATATAGGTACCAGATTTACATATTCTTTCAATTGTAAACTGCAATGCCTCTTCCAGAAATTCTCTACCATTCATTTTCATAAAGTTATCAATGACTTTTGTAAAAAATGAATTTCCTCTGAATAAAATGTTGGCATCATCTATTATAACAAGTATTACACACTGGTTCTATAAGTGAGGGCGGATTCAAGTCTTTTGTATATATATATATATGTGTATACCTAGCGAGAGAGAGCTGACCTCATAGTCAATCAACGACTTTATCCATGCAATGGTTAATCCCATGCCTTCATATATTCTGAGAAGATTGCGTGCCAATGCCTGAACATCGGATGTCTTTCTGGCCATATCATAAATCAAGTCATGGTGAAATTCTTTTAGGACATTTATCAGTGGTTGATAGGCTTCGAGTGAAAAGACAGTGTGCTCTTCTAGCAAAATTCCCACTCGCACTTCGCCTAGTGCATTATTGCCTGAACCCAGTCCGGTAAGGGAAGCAAATGCACGGTGCTTACTTCCTTCTTTACGAATTTCATACCAGTCTTCCTGAAGCACATGATTTAGAGTAGTTAACTGATCCGCGGGTATAAAGACAGTGCCATAGATGACATCTCGATCATTCTTGCTATTTTTGGAATAAATAGTAACTGTGATGCCATGATTTATCTTGGCAATATCACTAAGAAAGATATGTGTGTACAACGATTAATACACATTCCAACTTTAGACGCAGAGCTTACGAGAATACAAAGTCTTCCCGCCAAGACAGAGTGGCGGATTTCTTTAAACCGCCAGTGAGCGCTCTGATTTCCTGATCGATTGCGATTTCACAGTACAAAACAGAGTCCTTCAGCTGAATCTTTCGCCCCTCGCCTACTCGTATTGTCAGACTTTGAACCTTTCTTGGCAGAGCCATCGCCTGTAAACAACTATGCTTTAGACGATTTAACCATAAATCTCGTTGAGCTCTGCTGCATGTAATGAGGTGATACGTTTCTGTTGGTAATGGCCGAATAGCGATACAGTATTGCATATGATCAACAGAATCAGAGAATGCATAAATATCTTGAGATGTGAGGGAATACAAATGAATAGGCCTATGAAAGAATTCGCTGCTATTCTTTTCCGTCTGCAAGTGTAAAATGCCACCTTCTAATAAAGAGACATACAGGATGCAAAGTTCGCCTGAATGTTGAGAGGTACAGTTTAGCTTCTTAATACAAGACTCTATACAGCATTTCGTTGATTAATATATTAGCTCCTTCTTTCCTCCTTTTCTCTCTTCTTACTATAAATCTTGAAAAGGCCTGTAAACTGTGTGGGCCCATCACTCGCGATCATGCCAGAGCAGTTTACAGAGCACTCACTAATAGGAATAGGATGACCTAAAGCTGTTCCGCAACTTGCCATCTCTGCACTGCTTGTGCTTTTATATGATGCAATACTCTAAGAATATGTCACATCAATAAAAAAGCATTAGTACATTACAGTCCGCATTTTACCATATTCTCTGTAGTGTGCACGCTCTCTACGGACAAAATAGACTTCTTTGACAAAAACCTATTTCCTCCTGACCCCAGTGGTTTAATGCGCAAATCCTTAAGTTATTAAGCAAGTAGATCTCTTCATAAGAGTGTGAGAAACTTACTGAGCTCCTCCTTATTACTTTACTATTGTTCCATGAGCTTAATGCCTGCAGCCAGCAAGAGAAATCTTTGGCTGTCTCTGTTTGAAGCTGGATGCTATCATGCACATATTAATAATCATAGTATGAACGAAAATAGTTGTAAACATACCAAAAACTATCTGTTGCACCGGAAATCTGTATGATATAATCACGCTTTTCTGACTCTAGAGACTGCACAACCGCGTGTTTTAGGTTGATAATCGTAATGGATACCTAGGTGAAATAGTGGTTAGTGTATTGTAAATAGTAGACAAATATGATCATACGCTTTGATTCTTGTATTGCTTTAAATGCCCATCATGACTTGATATATAAAAATAATGCCTTTTTAGAAGAAAGAGGTGTTATTAAGCATAAAAAAATGGCATTCTAGCTTTACCTTTCCCATTTTCCCGTATTGCTAACGGATCCATTCGCGTCCTTGCTTCTTTTCTTGATAAGCAGATAACCTCTTGTGGACATGTGCTGGAAAATTTGCGTTTGTTGAGCAAACAGTAATTCAATGCTATTATAACTCTGCTGCTCAGGGGCTTAGTCTATCATTTCACTACATATATATAGTTTACTTACTACAGTCTTTGGCTTATTCAAAAAAGGGAAAGGAACAGGAGAAGAAGGTCGCGATGGAACTTCTTGCATCGATTTAAGTGAACGATAATAGGAAGCAAGTTTTTCCTGAATATAGAGCGATAAACCCTCACTATTGCACTAGGGAGCTTGAATGAGATCTTTGTGAGATAGAGTATGCAGTTTTACCACACCTTTTTTTCAAATGAGGCACTTGTAGAATTTACATAATATATGAATTCTGTTGTCGATAGCGCTAGTATCTGTAAGGCTTTTATGTTTCTGTGCTTATCTGAAACTAAGCCTTCGAGCAAAGAAGTCAACTTGAAAGAGAGTTTCAGTAACCTGGCCTATGTTTTCCTTTCTACCAACTTACCTTTTCATTTAATAGTTCTCTTGTAGATCGAATCAGCGAATATAATGATTGAACATACTCTAACTGAGCTTTACACAATGATCTCTTTGCTGCATACAAGGTCGCTGTGATTTCCTGGAAAAGGTATACCGTCAGTTATATCAAAAGATTATGATGCTTAATTACATCTAATGGCTTATGACTATTATGTGCTGCTTTTAATTTCTGAGTTGCGCAATAAGCATTAGAAAGCTGTATGTATTTTGTTCTTGAGTTTGGTATAATGTCTTTATAATACTTTTTAAAGAAACAGTTAAAAAATCGCTACTATCACTTTACAATCACTTACTGCTACAGTTTCTTTGATCCTTGATCCATGCTCTCGAAGTAAAGCTAAAAGGGAAGATTGTATAAGCATTTAATACATAGAAAGAAAGAATTGTTGTATCTTACGAAGAATAAGTCGCACATCTTCATTTTCCCATGCATCGTCATCATCATCTTCTTTATCAATCCAACCTAACTGAGTGCATTCTTCTAGAGTATAGAATGGCTCATTTAATAATAGCTTTGTTTGCTCATATAACAAAGTGAGTGATTTGTTGTAAGCTATTGGTCATGTTACTTGCTTGTGAATGTTGAAGACAGAATATTGTTTAGTACCTATTTCTAACTGTCTACACTGTTCTACTTTTTCTAACCATGCCAAATAGTACGATAGCCAGGTCTCTAATGTGTGCAAGTACTCTCTGAATATAGGTGAATCCATCCATATGTCCTCATACAGGCTACCTTGTTCTTTATTCTTATTTTGTATAACTTTGAGAGTAGGTGGTACAATGGCTTTTCTACCAGAAATGGCAATACTAATTTCGTTGTCATCGTCATCATCACTACTAATGCTACTGATGCTGTTATGAATGCTATCTATACTTATTGTGCTGGGGCTACCACAAAAGCTAGCTACACTTCCATCATTAGTATATACAGGTAAGGTAGCTATAGACGTATTGCTAGGTGTTGATGATCTTATGGGGGGTAAACTAAATGACGATCTTGGTAGTACACATTCAAGTTCGTGGTGCATAACATCGTTAGGATCAGTTTGATTCATAAAAGAAAAAAAAGTAAAAGAAGAAGAAAAGTAAAGAAGAAAGCATATCATATTGAATCGTGCATTTTGGTGGAATTAAGCTTTGTAAGGAGCACCATTTTAACCAACTTGTGTATTCCTTGCCTTTTTTTTCATTTCACTCCTTCTTCTTCCTCCCCCCTTTTTTTATTATCTATTTGTATACAGAAACATTTGCATGTATTTGCATAAACAAATGGTGACGTTGCCCTATTGTCTCTTTTATCTCTTTGCTTTACTCTCTCATTGATTATTATTATTATTTTTTTTTTTTTTTGCTTTTTTCATCTTTGGTTTACACCTTCATTTTTACTTTTTTTTTTTTTCTTAATTCAAAATAATCTTCAAGGCTGAGCCCTGAATATACATTACATATAAATTTATTTACATAGCTTATGCTATTATATACTGTACAGAAAGCATACTGGAGATGTTGTCACTAGCTGTATCTTTATCAACAGAAATAACAATACAATCATTGATGCGAGAAGCCTTAACTCATTTTGATTCTGGTCATTTTAAGGTAAAAAAACGTGGTTATAAAAAAGGGGGAAGAAAGACCAAGGCAGTATGAAAGGGAGAAACAAACAGAATTGGGAGACTAACTTGACCACAGAGTTCTTATGGGTTGTATATTCAAGCTTTATTCTCTGCAATAGAAGAATTAAAGAAACTCGAATTCATCGATCAATGTAAGTCTTGCACTATTAAAAGACAAAGACAAAGAAAAAGGGGAATAAAACTCTGTATGATAATTAGGTGTTACTGAAAATAATCTATCTCCTATCTTCACATTAGCAGACGCCTGCTTAAATTATGCAAAAGAGATCGCCCTACAAAAAAAGAAGGTGCCTCCACCTTTACCTCCAAAGCCACTCTCTTTATCAACATCTACTTTCCTTCCTCCGCCTTTGCCTCCTAGAAAGCATGTCAACATCAAGTCAACGCAAGACAGCAAGTTGAAAAAAGGTAAAAAAGATAATAAATCACTACACACTTACACAAACATTCTTTTTTTCCAGGACTAAGAAAGGCCTCAGCACCAGGAACAATAAAAAATAAAAATATAAAACCATTGATGACGCCACGGCGTTCATCCTCTCCTAGTATAGTTGTCAATTCATCGAAGCCTTTCTCATCGTATACCAACAATCAAGAAATATTTCTCCTTGCAACTACCAGGATTCATACTCGTGTTCGTGCAAAGACGTTCACAGATCTATCATCCGATGATGTGCCTCTAATACCCCAGCCACCTTTTGATTTTATTAACCAGTCCTTACAGCATCAACAAGAATTTAGTCCCTCCTTTGAAAAGTTACGAACACTCCAGTCAATCAATATTCTTTCCATTCTTCAATTTCATCCCATGATGACTGCTTACCAACTGACCCTAATCGAATCCGCCATCTTTCGTAATGTCACGACAACAGCTCTATTGAACCATACACCCAAGTCACCAGATCCATGTATTGTTGCATCTACCGATTTCTTCAACTATCTAACAAGGCTCATCGAATATAGCATATTGATCAAATTGGAAGCGTCGGATAGATCCCAGCATTTAAATTATTGGATAAAGGTAGCTGGCAAATGCTATGAACTTAAAAACTATCAAACCCTGAAGGCAGTGATATCTGCCCTAGGAACACCACCGATGCAGCGTTTGAAACGCTCTTGGGCATTTGTGCCCAAAAAGGCAATCAGTTTACTGGAAGAGCTAGTTGAGCTCATGTCTGAGACCTCCAACTATGAAAAATACCGACGGGTCATGCTTGAGGATATCAAGTTACATGAACCCATGATTCCCTTCTTGGGTACATTTATCCATGACATGACTTATCTCAACGCATTAAACAACCAGCAAGACGCAAGACTAACAGATCTTTTAAGCTTATTTACTGACATGCAAAAGAACCCAGACTATTCCCCTGCATTACCTGCGATGTATACCAAGGAGGTGATTTCTTACAACAGACCAAAATTCTCCATACGAACAACTGCTTCTACCAGAAAGGGAGTTTATGATGATGAGCTTGCAAAGATAAATATGGACATGCAGCAATGTCTTGTTACGCAGTATCTGGTAAGTCATATATATATATAGATCCAAATGCGCTATGACTCACGGTATCTAGTTGACACGACCTTGGGTAAATGAAAAGACGGTGGACGAGCTCTGTGTCCTTCGTGAACCTACAAAGGCTAATGGAGGAATATGCCTTACTTCTTCCGTCAGCTTAACGACAACCCGAAGCAGTTCAGGCAGCTTGACTAGTAGTAGCACAAGTCCCAGTCGTCCGTTAAGTCTAGAAGATGAAGAAGATTATTTTGAAAGGAAATCATCAGCTGGGTTTTGGCTGTTTGGAAGAAAAAGTGTTGATCAGAGCACTGCTTTTAAACCAGTTGAATCATTTGCCACCTTGCATCGATCTCCACGCCATTTTTCCTTTGATGAGGTCAACACAGATAATGATGAAAATGTATGCATTAAGAAAAGATATCATGGGACAGTAACAAGTCAAAGTAGCAGCTCATTAGCTATTTTCCGAAAGGACTTTTGGAAAAACAACAGTAACACAAACGGCAGTAGTGCCAGTAATGGTAGCAATAAGTTCTCTATAATTTCATTCAATAGTGAACCATCTATTTCATCTGTAACTCATAATACAGCATCACCACATCCTTTAGATAACTCACAATCTGATACTTCAAGTTCTTTTGTTTGGACATGATTTTTTTTATTAAAGCAAAAAATAAAAAGAGAACAAATATGTGGTTCTTCTTCTTCGGGATTCTGCTACGTCAGTTGCATTTAGTGATTACCTCTGAATTGGCGGCGGTTATTCATAAAGAATCTTGAAACAGGTATAGGATCATTTCCAGTAAGGTCTCGAATGTCGGTTGGGTTGTCCACGACAGGTGACCATTCGGGATTGCGAGCCGTTTTGAAATGATCCATGATTAATTGAATACAGAAGGGCGTCAAGGCATTAGCAGGGCAAGGATACCATCGAGGGTCATCTTCTTCCTTCAAAGCGGCTGAAAATAGAATTCTTCCGACTCCATGATAGACATTGTAGAGTAAACCAGGCTTGTAGCTGTCAATGCAGACTCCAAGGGACATTGGGCCGAGAATACGATGCATTTTAGCAACACTAGAGCCAGAAGCGAGCATCTTTAGGTAATGTTCCATCTGCTCCTCAGTGACGACTGCAGAATGAATTTCGGGTGCCTGTCCATCTTCTTTGAGCGACTCAGATAATGACTTGGCCATGTTATAAAGGGTAAGAGAAGGTGCGCTTCTTAATTCGTAAACTCGTTTTTGTGGGTACTTGGTTCCCCATACCATGGCCTTTTTGGATAAGGCAGCTTGAGCTACGCTTGCGCAAATGTCCTTGATATGGACAGTCTCCAAACTGTCGGTTTGAGATATAGGCATACCCAGAATGCGTCTGTCTTCAACCATTTTGGACCAAAAGTGTAGGTATTGCTGGATGAAAGGGATACGGAAGATGATCCATTTGCCAAACGTGTTAAATTCTTTAAGCTTCTGTTCAATTGCCAAGAATTGGCACATGGGTGAGCCAGTATCTGGTCTTGCAGTCGTGACGCCAAAGCTGTTTTGAATAAATGCAGTTAGAGGCAGTATCTATTTACATATTGGTGCTTACGAAGAGATCGTGATCATGAAAGATATCATTTCTTCACGAGCAGCTTCCAACACATTCAAGCCTTGCATAATAAGACGATCATCATGTGTAAAAGGATTAAAAATCATGGTTTTAACGTGTCCCTTCATGGCTTCCCGAATCATAGGTTGACTTTCGTAATCAACTTCCTATTAAATAAAACTGCTTTAAAACCGTTTGCTCTGCAAGAGTTCTATACCAACAGACCTTCACGTCAATATTTCTTTTTTCGTACTCTTCCTTGTACTGAGTCTTTTCCTTACAAATGACTCTTACGAACCAATGCTTCTTTGTGTCATGCTTGTAAATTTGTTCTGTAAGATAGATGGCTAAGGTATGACCCAAATAAGAATCACCATGAGTGATTAGGATATACTTGGGCTTTTTCTTTTCAATAATGGGAGTATCTACGGAGGAAGCCATATTGTTTAAGTAAAGTAAAGTGAAGAAATAAAGAAAAAAGACGTATTTTTATCTCGTATTTTTTATATGTTATATTAAACTAGTTCTTAATGCAAAATACTACCATCTCTATCATCGATAATGAAATATTTTATCAATGATGTGTTGATGTAAGGCTTCTTTGTAGATGAATTTAGTAAATTATTATTTATTCACACACACACAGACACACAGACAAAATCAAATAACATGTAGAATGAACATACGTATTGTAAGACGCTCATCATGTTCAAGGAATGAAACAAAGGAGAGCTTATAAATATCTGAAATACTTGTACTGTAAACACTTTCAGAGAATGATTTACCCTTGAACAAAGGTATGATATATATCTTGCGTATACATCTTTCTGACGATTGATACTGATTTATTAGAAAGTATAAACGGCACCCAGTTAAATGTGCCTGTGTGAATGCTAATATTAGAGAAAAAGAACTGCACACAAGTTATCAATCAAGGAGTACACTTGCTGCATACTCTTTCTCATATTTGCCCAGAAATCAACTTTGGAAATAAATAGCATCACTTGGCGTGATATAATCAAGATCAGAACTTGCTTAACAAAATAGTCTCTTATAGTGACGGTCAATTTAATCAAGTTTGATTATCGCAACGGATTGAAGTTAAGATACACCCTATAGAAAACTTTACCTTTAAGGCGTCTACAAAGATGTAAGATATGCCAATGTTTTGGCAGCTTAAAGTATAAAACGACTGAATACAATAGAATAGGCATCTAGTGGTACTCGGAAGATCTGCTTTGATACGGAATTAGAAAGTAAGAATCATACATTAGTTTGCTCAGAATTTACAGCTTGTTTCGATTAGCAGTCTGTATGATGTCGATACTTTAACTACAGGACAATATCAGCGAACCGCTTGGTTGAATTGGACGGTATTTTTTTAATTTAATGCCAGCCAAATTTGTTGTAACTTTAAATCACGGTCAAGTTGGCAGCTCTTTTTTCTTTTTTCTGTATTGTCAAACAGCATAACCAGAACAAACAATGTTGGAGTTATCCTGGCAAGACTGGGCCTGTGTCTTTGTGGGAGCTTTTGTAAGCTATCACGTACTCAATTGGCTAACAACTATGCCTCCAAAAAAGTTTACTGTTCCTGTACCTGAAGGTAATGATGACGCTTGTATAATTATATTACTAAGGTGTAATGTTTTATTAGCTGCGAATCCTAGATGGAAAGGAAAAGTGCTTGAGAATGCCACGATTAGAGTAAGATGATCTTGATGCAGAATGTGTAGGTGTATAAACCACAAATACAATAGGATATAAATGACCCTTCAAATATGATCTGCTATGACCCTTCTACTGGTTATCATTTAGACACCATTCCTTCACCTACAGCTGCAAAAGTCAAGGAACTTTACGAACGTACATCAAGTGCTCAATTCGAGTGGTCTAAGACATCATTTGAAGAACGTCGGGCAGTCCTTCGTTCATTATTAGACTTTATTTTGGAAAATCAAGAGGTGATCTGTCAAGTTGGATGCAGAGATACCGGAAAGACAAGTAACATCCATTAGAATATTAGTTTGCAGTATTTTACTCATCAGAAATCTATTAGTGATCGATGCATCCTTGGGTGAAGTTATTACCACTTGCGCCAAATTACGCTGGACTATTGATAACGGCGAATCTGTTTTGGCAGATGATTATAGAAGCCCTGGATTGATGATGATGTATAAACATGCCAAGATTGTTTACCAACCTATGGGTGTTGTAGCTGCTTTAGTCAGCTGGAACTACCCTTTCCATAACGCTATTGGTCCTGTCATTTCTGCTTTGATGTCTGGTAATGGTATCATCGTTAAATGCTCTGAATATGTTGCCTGGTCTTCGAGATACTACGAATCTATCATCAAGGCCTGCTTGGCTGCTCATGGTCATAACCCTGACCTTGTTCAATTTGTTAGTGGATTTGCTGATGTGGGAGAAGAAATCGTTCGATGTGGTGTAAAGCATGTGACCTTCATCGGTTCTCCTGGTGTTGGTAAATTGGTTCAAAAGAATGCCGCAGACCACCTTATCCCTTGTGTGCTCGAATTGGGTGGTAAAGATTGCGCTATTTTGCTAAAGGATGCTGATCTCGTTCAAGCCATTCCTGTTTTAATGCGCGGTGTTTTCCAAAACTGCGGTCAAAACTGTATTGGTATCGAACGTATTATTGTTGCTGAAGAGATTTATGAAAAGGTGGTTGATGAGATGAACGCTCGCATCGGCTCACTCAGGCAGGGCTCCGTTTTGACAGATGGTGAAGGCGTAGACTGTGGTGCAATGACAATGGGTAATCAGTTTGAAAAGCTTGAAGGACTCGTTCAAGAAGCTGTCTCTCGTGGCGCTCGACTCTTGCGCGGCGGAAAGCGTTACAATCATCCTGTACACAAGCACGGCCAATACTTTGAACCTACTCTTCTGGTAGATGTTACACCTGATATGGCTATTGCCAACAATGAGACATTTGCACCTATTATGGTTATTATGAAGCATCGTGGTCCTGATGATGCTGTTCGTATCGCTAATGAATGTCCCTATGGACTTGGTTCTTCTGTCTTTTCTGCTGATAAAACATTAGCCGAAAGCATGTGTCTTCGTCTGAAAGTGGGTATGGCTAATGTAAATGATTTTGCTGTCAATTATCTCTGTCAGGGTCTTCCATTTGGCGGTGTTGGTATTTCTGGTTATGGGCGCTTTGCTGGTCCTGAAGGCCTTCGTGGATTGTGTGTTCCAAAAGCAATCACGACTGATCGCATTCCAGGCGTCAAGACGCCCATTCCTCCCATCTTGGATTATCCTATTGGCAGTGCTGCCAAAGGCTGGACCTTTGTTGAATCTCTTGTCAACTTGGTTTATCATCCTGAAGTGCCTGCTAAAGTAAGAGCCTTGGTTGGCCTTGCTAAAACTCAACTCTAAATGAATATATACGCCACATGAATAATAATGTTTTTTTATGTGTGTGTGTAATAGCAAAAGTAATAGTAAATAACGGCAATAGCTTCTTTTTCTTTTTCTTTTTCTTTTTCTTTTTTTTTATTTCTGAATCATGTTTCTTATTCCTGAATTGGTTGTAATTCTTGGATTTGCTTGATAAGGAATGCCTTTTCATCGTTAAACTGTTCATCGTCTTGTCTATCATTGTGGAAGTTTCCAAGGAAATGAATTAACTTTTCTTGGTTCTTTACCAAGATATCCACAATGGGTTTAGTCTTGTGAGGATTTGCGACAAACACTTTGAACACATGGAACGCTTCAAATTGTATGTTCCTGCTACGGTCTCGTAATAGATTCATCATCAACTTCAAGTTATCTGCATTACTGATATAGCGAGTCATGACAGTGAAGTTGGTTCTATCCAGCAATATTTCTCCCAATAGCTTATATGCACCATTATTATACGCACTTTATCAATAATTTTCTTCTTACCTTTAAAGACTGTCTCTTGGTAACATAGTTTTCAGACTGTAATAACTTTCTATAATGGTCAAAGAACTAAAAGCTTGTTTTGTTCAACTTGGTTTATAATCAAAAGAAGAAGATGACTTACATCGTCATAATTCATTTCTAAAAAGTCTGCAACCATTGCCTTATGTCGTGTCAAAATTTCTTTGAATGAGGCAAATGCGTCTGAAGCAATATCGAAGGTGCTCATTTCAACATATTCAAAGAATTGATAAAACTTGCTTGAATAAAGGATAATCTTGGCTAATGCTTCATGACGAATACATTCACGCAGGATCAGACCACAATTAAGAGCAACCTCAGGCTGTTCATATCTTTATAGACCATTAGAACAAAATTATTACCTTTTTTTTTTTGACTGTACCCTCTTAGCAAATTAAAGAGAATTTCTTCTCTTGCACAAATGTGTTCCACTGTTGGCCATCGAGAACCAATTTGTCTTCTCAACAGGTTATTGAATATCTGTGCAACATCCTTTTTTGCCTATAAACACATAGAATAAGTTCAGGACTATTATATATATGTATATATACCTCAAATTCAAATTTCTGAATATTCAATACAAGTAGCTGTAGTAAATCTGTTCTATAAACCTCTTGAGCTAACTGAGCAACAAGGTCAGGACTAGGATCATGGTCTATATATATCAAGAAAAAAAGAAAAAGAGAGAGTAATGAATATATAAAGCTTTCTTTCTCCTTTTTGTTTGATATAACCATCTTCTCCATAAAGTATATTCTTCATTAATACCAAATACTTGGATACTTCTTCGGCTGCCTTTTTAAATTATATCAATACACGCTTCTTTCGTGTTCTTATATCTGTTTTACCTTTCGTTTGTCGGGTCCGTCCAACTTGTAAATGGCATCTTTAACGTGCTTCACAAGGTCATGTGGCGTCTTTTGCTTTGTTTTGAAAATATTGAAATTCATTAGAGAAAAAGGGAGGTTGTTTTTATGTGTGAAAGAAGGTTAAAAGAAAGAAAAAAAGAGACTGAAAAGGGTGAAACTAATTTTATTTTGCACCAGAGAACTGAGATTAAACAAACAGCAGTAAAAAAAAAAAATTAGGCCATGGTCTTCTTTTTGTTCTTCTTGGTTGTCACCACTTTAAAATCATCATCATCCTCTTCTTCTAATCCAGCAAGAACAATATCTGTTCTTCCTGCAATATCCGCTTTTCTACGACGCATGAATTCTTGAGCAAATCTCTTACCATCAATTCTAAGAGAGTTGGCATAAATGACATCTTCAATAATCTCTGCAGAACTACCGTCTACGGGGAAGGAAAGTAGCATTTCTAATATTTCGTCTTCATTCACACCAGAGTTTAATCCTCTCAATGCCTTTCTGCACCAACGACGGAAATCTTCACTAGGACCACGGGCAACAGGTGGACGAACGGCTGGTTTAACAGGCTCCCATTTTATAGGTTCCTTTACGAGAGGAGCGGGGGCTGGAGCGGGGGTTGGCGCTGGTTTAGGAGCACGAACGTGGGAGACAGTAGTCCAGCCTTCATTGCCAGTAGAAGGGACTACTGTAGAAGCGACAAGAGGTTTAGAAGAAGCAACGATAGAGGCGACAGTGGGCGTATCAGTCTTGACAGCCTTAGTCGCGTTCTTTTTCTTCATGGCCAATTCTTCTTCCAACTGAATTTCACGTAACGTCTTCTTAGGAGCACTGTTGACAGCAGCAGACCACACAGCCGTAGAACTAGTCGTGCCATTAGCGGATGTCACAGTCTTGTTAGGAGCAACCACTCCCCATGATATCGTACTACTGCTACTACTACTTGAAGTATGGATTGACACTTCAGGAACTATCTCCTTTTTATTCTGAGCATTCTTTTCTTCCATTTCCTGAATTTCACGCAAAGAGAGAGGCTTTTCAACCACGGGTTGAGACCAGGTTGAAAGGGATGTTACCGCTGTTGTTGTTGTCGAAGGAGAACTTGTTGAAACCCAAGTAGAAGCTGTGGACGTGACCTTGGCTTGCTTTTCTTTCTTTTCTTTTGCAATTCTCATTTCTTCTTCTTGAATTTCTCGAAGTGAAACTATAGTTGTTTTAGGAGCAACAACAGCAGGAGCCTTTGCTTCAACTTTTGCCTTGACAGGAGCTGTTTTTGGTTTGACAGGTTCAGCGGCTTTGGCTGCTTCCTTGACCTTTTCTTTTTCCTTTTCCTCTGCTTGAATATCAGCAAATGATTCAACAATGGGCTTAAACTTGGGTTTTTCAGCGGCCTTTTTAGGTGATGAAGGTGTTCTAGGAGATTGAGCGCCGGGTGCTTTGGGTTGGAATTCATCTGTGACCTTGGAAGGTAGAGCACTTGCTCCGATAGTTCCCCATGGGCTGGATGGCGCATCAGAGGCTAAAGGAGTGCCAGGAACTGATCCCCATCCACTACCGCCTGTTAAGATATTGTTTGTTCTCAAGACAGGAGAAGCATGACTGCTGCCAATAGGATCAAGTGAAATATTCTTTAATGTGCTTTGAAGTGACGTAGGTGACACTTGCGTTTTTTCCGTTGGCATTTGTACCTTGTCATGCTCGAATGAAGGCACTTGCTCCTGTTGTTGTTGTTGCATTAGGGGTTGAGAAGCTGGAACTGGCGGTGTTTGTTGTGGCTGCTGTTGCTCAGTTAATTTTATTTGTTGGAACTGCTGCTGCATTTGCATCATTTGCTGTTGTTTTAACATCTGCAAGTAATGCTGTTGTTGCTGCTGTTGACCGAGTTGGTCGTTCATAACGCGCTGATACTCGAATAGGCCAGGAGTACTGGCTGCAGAACCAAAGACTGGGTTCAACCCTGGCTGTTGCTGCTGTTGTTGCGCGATGAAGGGTGAAAGCCCTAGAGGTGCAGCTCCAAGAGGACTACCCGCAGTTGGCGCGTTACCAAACAAGTCTGAAGACTGACTTAACCAAGCTGGTGAACCTAGAGGTTGAGAGCCATTGTTCCATCGATTGTTGCTCAACAAAGAGCCTCCGAACGAACTGTAAGGGTTTTGGTATAATGGCGAGGGAGTAGATCCGCTCAAAAAGCTGTCGATAATACTTCCTCCGGGGGTTGTAGGCGCACCGAATGGCATATACTTGTCGCTTCGTCCGAACAGTCCCTCCGAAGATCCAAAAACATCAGGAGCCGCAGTTGAGGGTCGAGGAACCAAGAAAGGTTGGTCATCATTACCCACTTTTTGAATAATTGTCATTAGTGGCTCAAACACGCTTTCATCATCACGACGAAGGAGAAGAGTGGGTGTAAAGAATCCAGCCTTATACCATTCTTGCATTTCATGAGCTTCAAAAGGCCCTTGCACTTGACCAGAAGTATCACGATAGAACCACTTGATATCTTCTGGTTTTCTGACAGGAGGAATGCCAGGTGGAGTTGACAGACCGGCTGTTAAATCGCCTGCAAAACTAGATCTGAAGGGCGATTCATCCTTAAAAAATTCATTATTCAGCGGCCCGCTATTCATCGACTTGGACCAGGGCGCATCTTCCTCTGCCTTTCCAAAAGGTGAAGTCAAATCTTCAGTTTTCTCCTTCTTTTTTAATAAATCTAAATAACAAAGTTTAACTAAAGGGAATCTAACCATAAAAAATAACTTTACCATTGTCGTTATTACGTCTAAACGATGGCTCCTTTGAGAAATAATCGCGACCTTGTGATATGTTAATAAGAGTCCTTAGATTAACTGCTCATATTGTATACCTTTACGTCCACCAAATCTATTGGGTCCATTTTCAGAAAGGGGACTGTTGTTGTTGTTGTTGTTGTTGTTGTTGTTGTTATTGCTGTTGTTATCATGACCCATACGATGTCTCTTGTCAATGATACGACGAGTGCTTTCGACATGAACAGGTCCAGCAAGAAGCTGCGCAATCATCAGAACGAAGCCCTTTCTCTCTCTCTCTTTTTTTCCTTACCTTTTTTTCTATTTCAGTCAATTCGTCAAAAGCTAATGGTGGTAAGCTTTCCTCAACAGTCACATACTCATGTTGTTGGAAATCAGAAGGTAATTGAGGAGATGGCTTATACAAGCTAAGCATGTACTCTTTGGAATATTTAAAAGCATTTATGTTGTTCTCTTCAAAAGGTAAATCAGTGAGAACACCATTGTTGTTGACATTTTTAGAGAAACCTCCACGCATCCTAAATGAAAATTTTTTTGACGTTTTGATAAGTTATATTTGTTAAAGTTATACAAACTTACCATTCAGGGCCGAAATTCAAGTTAGTAGACATGTTTAGTATAAGTAAGTTTGACAATAAAGTTTAATAAAAGCTTCTTGTAAATAAAAAAAGGAGGAGGAAGATTGTTATTACTTTTTGTTAAAAAGTATAGAAAAAAGAAAAAGAGAAAAAAATCAATATGTGTGTGTTTTAACCTAAATTGAGACGGTCGAAAATTGATTCAAGCGCCGCTTAACTAATATAAGGGCAGAGTGACTTTGCCTACAGCTCTATCTCTTTTTTTTTTTCATGTCATTTTCAAGAGATCAAGGGTTACGTGAAGTACAAGAGTACTTGAGTAAAGAAACAGACAAGGAACATTACGATCCTTATCAGGATCAAGATGAAAGACGTCGTATAAGAAAAGCATACAGAGAATTGACAGAAAAGACGCTAGGTAAGTTGAAATTGATTTTAAAAGATAATATAACTCATTACAAATAGAAATGAGAAGAGAACTTACAGCATCCTCTACAAAGGATTTGATGTACAACATTATAGACAAGACTAACGCCTTGTATCAGTCAGGTAATAACATTCGCCTTGACCTTTACTTGTATTAACCATATTTCCTAGTCAAAAACCCACAAGAAGCAGTACTAGATGCCAGATTATTAGCTATTCAAGCTGACATGAACACGCAAAAGGCGAGAAATCTAAAGATTGGCTCAGATACACTTGTAGACATTGATGGATTTGTATCCAAAGTCATTGCGTTCTCCAGGAACGGCGTCAATCATATGGAAGAAAAAAACCTTGACTGGGAACATATAGGAAAAAGAGCCATGAGTTATTGTAAAAGAGCAGCTACTATGGATTTCATGTAAGATTATACTTTAAGGAAGAAGGTAGAAATTTATTTCTCGTTCTTAGGTTGGGTCCACTCGCAGTCGAACAAAAGCAAATAAAAAAGACAAAGCAAACTCGTATCACCAAGAACAAAGAAGATTTAGTTGTCCCAACTAAGGTAAGTATATACGTATATACGCGTCTATATGGGCTGCATATATTTATCAATTATAATAATAGCTTAAAGAAGGCGATCTTCAGCAACAAGAAAACGAAACATCTAAAAATGTCAATGATATTTACAAGATTCTAACTGAAGTCGAACCCATCAATTATTTCAAATTTGTCACCAATCCTGAATCATTTTCTCAAACTGTCGAAAACATATTTTATGTTTCATTTCTAGCAAGGAAAGCAGTTGTTGGCATCAGTATAGAGAATGGACAGCCAGTATTGAGTAAGCAAAATTATACGGTTTTCTACTTTATACTCACATATACACTAGGCACAAGAAACCCACCTACTGTAGAGAATTTAGATGATGTTGTGCTTAAAAAACAAATTGTTGTAGGAATAGGTATGAAGGAATGGAGAGAAATCATTGAAACGTACAAGATCACTACTTCCTGTATTCCGACAAGAGAGAAAAAACAAGATTTAGCTGGTAGCAAGTGGTATTAGCAATGGTTGACTTCATCATCACCGCTTGACTAAGGCTTGACTATGTAAATAGAATGCTCTCTTTTTTTCTTTTCTTTTCTTGCAAGTTTGCATATTGCATGTACATAATATCACCTTACAAATAAAATTAATAGTGGTCTCAAAAATAGATTCTTTTATACATGCTATTTTTATTGTTTCCCTCTAATAAAAGCGTCCTTCAACTTCCTCTTTCCAGACTGCTTTGGTATCAAATTTGCTTCCAAGCTTTGTGCAAAGTAAAAATGCTCCAGACAATTTCTTATGTAGACCATATGTCTCGTCTGGTGGAGGTGTCAGACGATGACGAAGCATGACTGGAATCGTCTCTCGTACTCTTCCAGTGATGGTTTGACTCGAGAAATCAAATATGTCTGGTGCTGTCTTTCTAAATGGCTCACCCAACACCATGACGCTATCAATATGTGCATTGCGCATTACTTCTGTTTCGTATCCTGTTACGAATCCTAATTCTTCTGAATACTTCCACACTCCTTCGCGGTCATTGTTGGCGGCAGACGAAAGGATACGTCCGTACTTGTTCAAAAAGTCTTTTGAATATTCTCTGCATGCTCCAAAATCTAATAGCTCAATCTGGTTTTTGTTATAAAAGAAGTTGGACCAGTTGGGATCTGTTTGCATAAATCTAAATGAAAATACTTCACGAAGACACAGGCGAAGCAATCGTTCACCTAGCTGTTATTGCATGTTAGATATTATAGAGCAAAAAAGGGGAACAAAAGATTTACCTGGTTGCGTAATTCTTGAGACTCTTCAGTTGCCTTACTGAGGACTCTGCCAAATAGTCTCTCGCTTACAAGTACACGTTTTGTCGATATATCTTTATAAACTGTTGGTACCTTGTATCTATTATCTCCTTCAAGCAATTTTTTAAATTTGATCGCATTGTCAGCTTCTCGTTCATAATCGCATTCCCAAGCGAGTTCTTCTTTTGTGACTCTGATTGTGTTATCCAAGTATAGACCTCTGGGAAGTAGATTACTAAAGGTGACAAGCGCTTTCAAACTACTCAAGTCGCTATCAATTGATTCAGCTACACCTGGATACTGAATCTTGATAACTATCGGCTGATCATTAGAGGCTAATGTTGCAGCGTGGACCTGTCCGATAGATGCTGCAGCAATAGGAACGGGATCGAAATCCTTAAAGTATGTCTTCCAGTCACTACCTAATTCAGTAGCCATGACATGCTCCATTTGCTTCCTTGGCATATAGTTTGCACTATCATGCACTCTAAGCAGCACTTGTTCTAATTGAGGCGGTAATCCACTTGATTTATCACTAGCTGATTGAATGCCTTGTATACTCAGCATTTGGCCCATCTTGAGGGCAGCACCACGCATACGAGATAACTTTTCGACAAGTCTATTTACATTGCTTTCACTTAAAAGAACCGAGCCTATCACACAACAGCCATATGAGCTTATTTTCATACAATATTATTATTTTTTTTTATGTACCTGAACTTTGGTTGGAAATACCAGTAGCTCGCTTTAAAGATTCATTCATGGCGCCTAAACCCATGCTAGTTGCTAAAGCACCATAGTTCCAAAGCCTACTCAAGCGCGACGTAGGGATACGGGATTCTTTCAATTGTCTTCTTATCTCAGGTGCCTGTGGTTCAGCTGGCTTTTCTATGAGAGGATCAACTCGTACCTCCTTTATAACAAGGTCTACTTTAGCGTTCTCAACCAAGTGCTGTTGCTTGTTTATTGATATTTCGCTCATTTGTCCTGTATTTATAGTAGTAGTCTGAGCCTGAGGAACAGTATCGGAAGCAGTTGGGATTGATGTCGTGTTGTCTCGGACACCAAGATCGTTAAAGGGTACTTCGACCATTTCCTGTTGCTGTTGTTGTCTTTCAGGGCTGTTTTCTATTTGGACTTCTTTTATCATAGGAGTAGGATTCAACAAACTCGAAGTTTTTACATGCTGACATACTGAAGAAGCTTGACTTGCTAATGCAGAAGCACTCACTTTCGAGACTGCACTTGTCAAAACATAGAGATCAACTAAATTACGAGCAAGTGACATATTATGCAAGATGAATTGACAGGCCCCGCGCAAAATATAAGAAGCTTTTTCATTTGTGACGTTGAACCGCAGCGCCTGACAATATGACAAGCTAAAAAAAGAAATTTTTTGCCCTTTATCCTTCCTCTGTAAATATTTATATGACAGAACAAGAGAGCACGGGCGAACTTGGCTGGCCGGAATTCATCAAGACGAGGGTGATGACAAACATAACAAGCCCGAGTGTCTCTGAAAGACTAGATTTTTTAAACCATTCCTTGTTGATTCGTCTTCGCCGAAAAGGTTATTTCCAAGTGTGAGAGAGACTGTTTTCTTGTGCGTGTGTGTTAACAACTTTATAGATCTACCCGTCGAAGCACTTGCTCCACTTTTACACTTGATATTCTTGACTATATCTCGCTATCAAGATCGTGAATCGCGTAAAGCTATTGTTGAAGCCCTTAAGGAGTTAAATAACTGGAACCCAGAGGTATTTCAAAAGGCAATTATCCCAGTTATTGTCAGAGAAGCTGAGAAATGTGGAAAACGCAAGCCTACAGGGTATAATGGCATTATAATTAATTGATTATCTCTAATGTTTTATAGTGAGTGCGTGTCACCTGCTGCAGATCGATTCGTTCTCTTGACATGGATTGATGTACTTTTTACTTGTGTATTGAAGCATGTAACAATTGAAGGAGCAAAGAACAACCCTTTGTTTAGTTCAATTGTGAATGCTCAGGCCATCTTGATTGATTCGCTCGTAAGCGATAACAAAAGGTCAATTAGCAAAAGTGCAGTAGCCGATGTCAGACGCACCATTCGTCTTAACGCAGAAGCTATCCCTACCATCATCGACGTTGCTCTTGTCAACGCACAGACATGTACACCTTCTTTCAAGAATGCAGTCTTGATCGGCATTATTATTGACTCCAGTCTTCGCTTAAAGGCAAGATCTGATGGAAAGCAAATGATAGAGAACGCAGAAAGTAAGTTGACTGATTATTACTTGAAGAACATCATCTCGTCCCGTACCATGGTTCATCCTGCAGCTTTGGATGCTTTTAATGATTACGTTGGAGTTATTATAACAAAAGATAAATTTGAAAGTCAATTATTACCTGTTCTTGACAAGATGATGCTTAGATCTCCAGAAGTTGTCTTGCAAGGTAAGCACCGCTCGGGTATTATGATCTTATAGATATTCTTACAACTTTACATGTATAGCCTTGGCTCATGTCACACCTGCATTATCGTTTGATCCTGCACCCATCTTTGCGAACAAATGGCTTGATCCTCTTTTGAATCACCTACGTTCAACGTCAGCTGCAACTGTAAGTGGTGCCAAGGCATTCTGGGAAGCACTATGCCTTGTATGTCACGAAACGGAATCTATGGTCAAAGTGGGCGAAAGCGTAAGCAAGACCTTGACGAGTGGAAAAGTTGGATCCTGGGAACACCGTGTCATCATGTACAACGCTCTTTCATCACTTGCTCAAGTTGCCGATCCTGCCGTAAGCCAGAAAGTGTTGGAGGGATATTTTGCCATGACAGCTAAAGAGACCCATGAACAAGCTATGGCTACAGCTGTAGATGGTATTGGTCGACACTTGACAGTGTTGATATACAATGACGAGTACTGTAACAGTAACAAAGAATTTGTGGACAAAGCTGTCAAGGTATCCACTGATGGTTTAGGTAGTAGTAAGCCTTTAGCAAGAAAGGGCTGGGCACGTGCAGTGGGTGCAACTGTTTGGGATCATGAGAAGCCTAGCGCAACCTTGAGTGCAAAGACAGTGGATTATCTTCAAGCCTTGTTCAAGACATTCAACAAGATCGTCGATAAGCCATTATTATGGAAGGATGGACCATTAGAAGCCTATGTGATGATTGCCATCATTTCTGGTCGTATCATGCATTGGTCGAGCATCCCTGGCCCTGTGTCTGATTTATTAAAAGCACAAAAATATCCACAGCAATTACTGCAAACATCCCCCAAGCCTAGTTACTTGTTATGGGACCGTATCTATACAAAGGCCACTCCTGCTGATGAAGGCATTTGGTTAGTTCGTGCCTTGAGTAATGTCTGCTTGAACGAAAGTAAGGAGTCTTTGGAAAAAACGGGTGCCGGTTACTTGATTGCTCAAGCCATCATCTGGTTGATGACGAGCCATCCAGAACACACGGTACGTAGAGCCACTCGTGATGAAACAGCAAGATTGGCAGCAGCAGATGCTGCTAAGCTCGGCTTCTTTATGCGACAAGCTCTGAAGCAATGGGTATTGGATATTGAACATCAAACAAAGGATTCAGTGGCTGCACAGGCTACCAATTCTGAAAACTACAGAAAGGATATCGCACCCTACCGACTTGCCACTGTTCTGAACGCAATCACTTCCTTCAGCAATGATCTCGATAGCACCATTAAGAACTCTGAATTGATTCAGCTTTTAATTTTGGCGCACCATAAATATATTGCTTCTCCTACAAACAAGTACAACTGGATCACTCTCGTCCAGCGTGCTAATGTGGATCCTGGTAAGCTGATCAGTGAACAATCTACTCATATCGTAGAACTGTTAAAGAACGCTCTGACAAACAGAAACGAGGTAAGACTCGATATTAACTTACTATGAATCTTTTTATTCTAATTACTCTTCTTCTAGTCTGAATTATTTTACGAAGCAGCACTTGGTGCCATATCCACTGTTGTATTCGTTTTACCAGACACAATTCCTGATTTCATTGATATAGCCGAGAACAACCTTGAGCCCGAATTGATGAAAGACATTCATGAATTAGAGCGCAACATTTGGAAGTGTCCACCTGATATCACTTTTGTTGATGTTCTCAAGAAAGACAAAAAGACAGAAAGTAGAAACACAAACAGAAAGAACAAGACTGACGAAGAATGGGAAGAAGAGCTCCGTGCCGAGCTTGCCAAGAAGAAGGGATTAACCCAAAAGTTGACAAAAGAAGAACAGGCTGCTGTTAATGCTCAATTGAAGAAAGAAGCAGAAATTCGTGAAAGAGTTCAGCAGAGTTATGAAAAGATCTCGCTCGGTTTGGGCGTGGTTTGCTCAATCATTGCTGGCAACAGCGGTGGAGCTGAAGAATATTTGATTGACATTGAGCGTATGTTGCTTGAAGCTGGCAAGGGTCGTGTCGGTCTTCTTGTGGATGACATGCTCGTGAACACTTACCTTCGACTGGGTGACTGCATTGATGAGGACATCCAGAATATCCGTGATGCTATCGGTTTGGCCACTCTTCGTGCCAATCGTATCGAGCCTATTCCTGAACGCTGGCTAGAAGAACCTCTTGAATCCCTTTCTGGTCGTGTGCTTTATCGCTTACGTTTCATTAGTGAATCGCGCCCCTTGGCACCTGCCTCCTTTGGCTTCTGTTTCCCTGTTCTCTTCCAGGTCATTGAGCAAGGCAGCATTGGCTACGAAAAGAATAGTGAGCAGGCTCTTGAACAAATCATTATGGGTGTCGATATCATCGGATTCCACTGTATACAAGGTGACTCCCTCTTGATGCCACGCAAGGAAATGATCACAACCTTGCTCCGTGCTATCAAGGAGTATCCTTCTTGTAGTAAAACTGCCAAAACCTCGCTGGTTACTCTAACTGAAGCCATGGCCGATTCTGCCACTATGGAAGAAATCAATACGGTTCTTCAAGGTCTTTTATCACCTGAAGTCCTTGTCCGAACTGCTGCTCTCCAATCACTGGAGAATCTTGATCTTACAGACATTGACTATTCTCCAGAACTCTGGGTTGCCTGCCACGATGAGAATGAATCCAACGCTCAATTGGCAAAGGGACAATGGGAAGAAAATGCAATGGATGTTGATGAGAATTACTTGGATCAATTATTAGCCTATGTTGTGTCTGACAACGACTATGTTCGCCAGGCTGCTAGTCGAGCCATGGCCGAAGCTGTAGAAATTTACCCAGATACGGTAGGTGCAACACTTCAAGCCATCTACGATCGATACAAAGTCCTTGCTGCTCCGCTTACACCGGAATATGATGAGTACGGTATGGTCATTCCCGAAACCTTGGATCGTCCAGACCCTTGGAAGGCTCGCGTTGGTCTTGCACTTACCCTGAAAGCAATGGCACCTTTCATGCAATCTCAAAACGCACCCAACTTCTGCAAATTCCTGATCGTTGGTCAAGCACTGGGTGACCGTCATGAACTAGTTCGTAGTCGTATGCTAGAAGCCGGTATGGCTGTTATTAATGCCTATGGTAAAGAAAGCGTTGCTGAGTTCTTGACCACCTTTGAAAGCTACTTGAATTCCAAGACAGACAATAGCGATGTTGAAGATCATATCCGTCAAGCCGTCGTCATCCTTTATGGTGGTGCTGCAAGCCATCTATCCCCTGAAGACGAAAAGGTGAACACGGCCGTTGAAAAGTTGATTGATACCCTAGACACACCATCTGAAACTGTACAAAGTGCGGTCGCTGACTGTCTTCCACCTCTTATCAAAATGTGCAAGGACGAAGTACCTCGTCTGATCAAGTCTCTTTTGAACAAACTTTTCAAGGGAGAAAAGTATGCCCAGCGTCGTGGTGCTGCATATGGTCTTGCTGGTGTTGTCAAAGGTCGTGGTATTACTGCTCTTAAGGAATGTAATGTGATGAATGCGCTGAAAGATGCTGCTGAAAGCAAGCGTTCATATGAACAACGACAAGGCGCCATGTTTGCTTTTGAAACATTGTCTGCTACCTTGGGTCGTCTATTTGAGCCTTACATCATTCAAATCATTCCACTTTTACTCGCTTGCTCAAGTGATGCCAACGCTGACGTTCGAGAGGCTACATCGGATGCTGCACGTGTGATCATGAGTAAGATCAGCGGACACTGTGTAAAGCTTATCTTGCCCTCTATCTTGGAAGGCTTAGACGATCGACAATGGCGTACTAAGAAAGCCTCTGTAGAACTTTTGGGTTCTATGGCCTACTGTGCTCCTAAGCAGTTATCTGTCTCTCTTCCCAACATCATTCCACGCATTTCTGAAGTCTTGGCCGATACCCATGCTCAAGTGAGAGCCTCTGCTAACCGATCACTTCAATTGTTTGGTGAAGTTATTAGCAACCCAGAAATTCAAGCACTTGTTCCTGTCTTGTTGAAGGCCTTGTCTGATCCTAATAATCAAACAGGACCTGCTCTTACTTCACTCTTGCAAACTTCCTTTGTGCACTACATCGATCCACCATCACTTGCCTTGCTGATGCCTATTCTTGAGCGTGGTCTTCGTGAACGTACTACAGAAGTCAAGACAAAGTCTGCGCAAATTGTTGGCAATATGGCCTCACTGACAGATCAGAAGGACCTTGTACCCTATCTTCCCGTAATCCTGCCTGGTCTTCACCAAGTGCTTGTGGATCCTGTTCCAGCTGCACGAGGCACTGCAGCCAAGGCATTAGGTGCCCTTGTTGAAAAACTTGGAGAAGAGAACTTCCCTGGCTTGGTCCTTGACCTGCTTGATACACTCAAGAGCGAATCTGGAGGTGTTGACAGACAAGGTGCTGCTCAAGGTTTGTCTGAGGTCCTTGCAGGACTTGGTCTCGAGCGACTTGATGGTCTCTTGCCCGAGATTATTTCCAATGCCGAGTCACCACGATCCTATGTTCGTGAAGGTTTTGTTTCCTTGCTTATTTACTTGCCTGCCACATTCGGTTCACGATTCCAGCCTTACCTTGGCCGCATCATTCCTCCTATCCTCTCTGGTCTTGCTGACGAGAGTGAATATGTGCGTGAGGCATCGCTCCGTGCTGGTCGTATGATTGTGACCAACTATGCTACAAAGGCTGTTGACTTGCTGCTTCCTGAATTAGAAAAGGGCTTATTCGACACTAAATGGCGTATTCGACAAAGTTCAGTACAGCTCGTCGGAGAACTCCTCTTCCGTATCACGGGCATTCATACCAAGAATAACGATATGGCGCTTGGCAACGTTGTTGAACTTAATGACGATGATGTGGACGCAAACTATGATGAAGATTATGGAGCAGCCGAAAATAAGAAGAAGCAGTTGGTTGAAGTACTTGGTAAAGAAAGAAGAGACCGTATCCTGGCCGCACTGTATATTGTCCGTCAAGACTCCTCTGGTATGGTCAGACAAGCATCACTTATGGTCTGGAAATCACTTGTGTCCAACACACCACGTACACTGAAGGATATTATGGTCGTTATGCTTCACATGATCATCAAGCTCTTATCCAGTGAAAATTATGAACAACGTGCGGTGGCTGGTCGTACTCTGAGTGAGTTGGTACAGAAATTGGGAGAGAGCATTCTGCCCGAAATTCTTCCAGTATTGGAAGAAGGTATACGCTCTGACGACGAAGCCACACGCTTGGGTGTCACTGTTGCATACAGTGAAGTAATGACATCTGCTGACAAGGTGCAAGTAAACGATTTTGCTGAGCAAATCGTACCTGTTATCAAACATGCATTATGTGACCCATCAGACGAAGTGCGTGAGGCAGCTGCACAAGGTAACCATAAAAAGACAAATAGACATAGGTCATGTAACCTTTTTCTATTTTTGTAGCATTTGATACACTTAATCAATGTATTGGCGCAAAGGCCATTGACGACATCCTTCCATCACTGCTGAACAAGCTGCAGTCATCAGATGAGTCCTCTGGCTATGCATTATCAGCTCTTAAAGAAATCATGTCTGTGCGCTCTCATGCCGTCTTCCCCGTGCTCATTCCTACATTGATCACTGTACCTATTACAGCCTTTAATGCCCGCGCTTTGGCTTCACTCGTCACTGTTGCAGGGCCAGCGCTGAATAAGCGACTGACAGCTATCTTGGATGCCCTTATGGAATCACGCATGGTGACTGATGATGAAGAGACAAAAGAAGCTTTGAAGGCAACTACGGAAGCTTTGTTACTTTCCATTGATGAAGAAGACGGTTTGTATACACTGACAGTTGCACTTATGGAATACTGCCGTAATGATAATCCCAATAAGAGAGCCATTGCATGTGATATTACTGGAGAATTCTTTAATGTCACTGAACTTGACTGTTCAGCCTATGTACCTGATTGGATTCACTTACTCCTGCTCCTTCTTGACGATCCAATCGAGAAGGTCATTGAGTCCGCATGGCATGCACTCACGGCCGTGACCAAGTCCGTACCAAAGGAAGAGTATGAAGAATTGGTAATTCCTACAAGACGAGCACTTGTCAACATTGGTGTCCCTGGCTGTGACTTGCGTGGATTCTGTCTGCCCAAGGGCATCAGTTGTATCTTGCCTATTTTCTTACAAGGCTTGATGTATGGATCCACCGAAGTGAGGGAACAATCAGCCCTTGCGATTGGTGACTTAATTGATCGTACATCAGTGGTTGCACTCAAGCCTTTTGTCACACAAATCACGGGTCCTCTTATCCGTATTTTAGGTGATCGTTACCCTGCGGAAGTGAAAGCTGCTATATTACAGACATTGAGGTAACATTGCAAAAGAACAAAGAAAAAAAGAACATATAACTAATCTTTACAATAGACTTATGTTGAATAAGGTACCTATGCATCTGAAACTGTTCTTGCCTCAACTTCAGCGTACCTTTGTCAAATCATACTCTGACTCAGATAATGAACAAGTTCGTCAACTGGCAGCTTCTGCTTTAAGAGTACTTTCCACACTTCAGCCCAAGATAGATCCAACTGTAGCAGAGATTCTCGAAAAGGAACCCAATGCATAAATAAACTCATATGAAAATTTCCCTTTTTTCCCTAAAAGCATTCTTCTTGATACGTAGGGCCGTGCACGAGATATACACAAATCTGAATTTGTATATATAAAAAAAAAAAATAGATAAGTTGAAGTGTCTATTTGTCCTACACAATTGAGATCCGACGGTTCCGAGAAGGAGGGATGTCAACAAAATCACCCTTTATTTGTCTTGCCTTGTTTACATTTTAGCACATAAATATTCACTTGGCAACCGTTTCAATGGTGATTGTTATCTATAGTGACAAAAGGGGAAAACGGAATCATGAAGAATTAGATGAACCAATGTAATTGATATGGTTTGACATGTGAAAAATTAAAAAGTATAAATAGACTTTTTTCTATTTTCTTTTTGATTCTTCTCATTCTTATTCTAAACCATTGATGACATCTTTAGTTACTTCCATTTTAAACAATAAAATGACAAACATACTTGGCTCAAATAAACAGAAATCCAAAACAAACACAAACCATAGTAGTCGATTAGCCATGTATGCGAATAACAATAGCAACAGTCTGTATCGTCAACCACAGATGAGCTATAGTGCCGAGTACATTCCCGCTCCACCACCTTATGATAGCCCTATACCGACACCTAGTACCTCTTGGACGTCGGAAATGAGTGCATTCGCTGAAAAAATCAAAGAAGATGTGACAAATACATTCAAAAGTAGTAAACACGCAGCAGCTGATAGACACTCAATATCTCAGGGCATGAAGTTGATCTCTATTGCTGCAGATGAATATGATCAAGGAAACGAATCTATCGCATTGGACATTTACTTAACTGGTGTAGATAAACTCATTATGGCATTACCAAGTAAATACTAGTAGCTTATTTATTATCCAATCATTTCCTGATATTCCCTTCTATGTGTAATAGATAAATCAGACATCAATACAAAGAGAATATTGCATGAAAAGTTGACAAGGTATGTAGTAAATAAATGCTTTAACTTTAGCTAACAGATTATGTAAAGTGTGGAAGAGCGAGTAGGCATCCTTCAATTACCAAGAAAGAAGAACCAAGAAAGCAAAGATAGTAGCAGCAATAGCGAGAGCAACGACGACAGCGGTCAAAATGGCATGCTCCTGTCAAGAATAGTTTCTACTCTAAGTTCAGTTTCATCAAGAGCATATGCTGCCGCTATCAACAGCAATTCTGTGCAAAATAGCAGTTCAAGTGACACTACTACTGCAACAGGTACGACTTGTAACAGTACAAGAACAACTTTCACTAGTAATACAACCAATACCACTCAGCCCTTGGATGATCCAATGACTCGATTTAAAAAGCTTGGTCAATATCTAACTGAATGGACTGTAACACTGGCTGTGCTTATCAAACAGTCACCTATACCTGGTAAGTTTAGGAGCCATTTGCACCTGTAAGAAGACTAAGATTACGTTGATAGACATTTTTACCTTCCTATTTGGTTATATGATACAATTGTGTTTATGGATAGATAAACAATACTGCATAACAGAAAAGGCTCAAAATTTAGGTATTCAATGCTTAAAGATTGGATTAGAAGCCGACCAACAATATAGATTACATGAATTCATCACAGAGGGAATCTACATGTTTATCACAGCCGGATTAAAGGCTATTATAGCATTTAAAGAAACTCCCAACTATAAAAACTAGAATGTATTTTTATTATTATTACGATTACGATCACTCTATACATATATACATACATTGTATGAAAGTGTAAACTTTATTTAACAAAAATTTTTAAAATAAATTATGTGTCTATAGTGGAAGATAACTTCCGTTCAAAGGCAATGACGACGGGAGTCCGCTATGTGCCAATTCGAAACTGTTGACGACTGCAGTTGTATACCACGGAGTGTCATCGAAGACGCAACGCCAGCGGTATTTCCAGATTGTTGTGATGCCCATGCCAAAGAAACAAAGAACGTCCGTATCGCCTATGGTTGTTCGTCAACCGGAATAAAAGAAGTGAGTACAGACCACATTTCATCTGCAGTAAAGAACTTGTCCAGCAGAGAATACTCCTCAAAAATGAAGGACCAGAAGCTGAGTTTGAGAGAGCAGCTTACAAAGAGATGATGGTGTGTTTCAACGTCTTGTTGGCAGAGTCTGCCCAATGGAGAGGTGGTCACGCTGGGATTCCGGGTATGTTGTAAAGCAGCCGTAGGAATGTAGCCATGTAACAGGCGAAACCATGGTGTGATGGCCTTGAGAGGTGTAGGAGATCAAAAAGTTTGCCAATACTGAGGTCGAAGAAGCAGTGAATGAGGCAGAGCCAAAGGTGGATGGCGTGGTTATGTTAGCAATTCGAAGTCTTTGTGCGATATAAAACAAAGCTGATCAAGAGGGGCCTTGACAATTTGAATAGGTACTGCATTGGATTTCCGCGTGGGGATTGGGATTATCCAATGAGCACATGAGGGCAACCAGAAGGAGGTGTTGTCAAATCTATCAGGCGCTGACACCTGAGATCCCAAGGCTAGATCGTCGCGGGGCCCAAAGGTGGCTAATCTCTGGTATCAACTGTAGCGTAACTGGAGCTGTTCTTCTGCTTGGGAAAAGGCTCTGTCTAAGCGCACGGAGAGCAGAGGATATGGATATGGAATGAAAATATGAATCAGGAGATTATAAGAAACCTTTCAGCTATGCTTTTCCAGTGCAATCCCTTCGCATGTATTTACCGTCATGCGTATGAGATATTGAGCAGCCATGAAAGTCTAGCATTAACAGTGAAGATAGATCTAACAGCGGTCGTTCTACCGAAAGCGAATCGCCTTATATTTTCATAAGACCATCGATGAGAATGCGCTTCACTGAAGGAGGTGACAGGCTTGCCTAGTATTTACCAATAATGGAGGAGTTTGCTGCTGTTATTCCTATTGAGTATAGCGGCAGAAGCTTCCGTGACATCGCTCTTACCTTCGGAAGCAGCAGTAGAAATGATAGTCTCCGTTGAGAACATGATTTTGAGCAATACTTTCAACGTATCAACCAGACACATGCTGCATACATGTGTACAAATTATGCACTGCTATTTCGTCATGGAACATAGGGATGGCATTGGAGTTTGGGCCTCTTCTTTTCCTTCTTTGCCGTTACTTTTTCAATCACTGTTCCTAGTGTTTAGATGATGATGCATGACCATCGTGTGTCATTTTATTACCCTTATTCATTACTTTTATAAAGATAACTACTTTGAAGATCACAGTTAAATTCACAATGTATCAAAAGTGAAGCATTTTTTCATTCTTACATTTTACTATTAAAAAAAACATGATAAATTAATAAAAAAAATGTTGTCGATCGTTAATTTAACATGACAAAGTTGTCTGCAGTTGCTTTTTCTTTTTTTTACTTCAACATGAAGCGAAAAAGACGATGACCCCTCGTCTCCAAAGGCAAAGCGAAATAAGGGGAAAGGTATGTAAGCTATAAGGCCGATATGGCATTTATTAAGTGTCCATAAGCCGTCGATCGCGGGTTCCTTCTTTGCACAAACGCAAACAAATTTATTCAAGAACACGTCTTTCGAAGCAAGTGATAATGATTTTCAAGGAACACCATTATTTAGAAAGGTAAAGGTAATATTTATTAGTTCCAACTGTTTATAACAGATTGTTGTAATAAATAAGAACATCCGTACTACTTTGAAAGCTGTTAAAGAAGACGCATCTTCTCCTGGTCCTTCAAATATTGTTACCCGTGGCAAGGCACCTATGCCTACAGTCAACAATGATACCAGTGCTCAAGCTGCATTACCTGCTCCTATTCCTTTCACTAGCTGTACTTCTGCTCCCATCATGACCTCTAAGAAATATCAAGACAAGGTTGATAAGACTGAAGCACTTAAAAAGGAAAAAGAAAAGAACAAGACGACAAGTAATGAACGAAAACAAGTATGATGTCCTTCTTGTGGTGGAACCAATCATTCTCGCTCCTCCAGCAAGTTGTGTCCTATGAATAAGTCAAAAGCGAAGCTTCCAAAGACTAAAGATATTGCCGAGAAACCTTTTGTAATCAAGACATCTTTGGCTAATGCCTGCAGATATCCCAAGTTCGTTAACTTGATTCAAGAAGTAGTTGACCACATTACTCAATTGGTATATGCACCTACAAAACGTATTACTGAAGAAATAAGACGAAAATGCAAACAATCCAACGAGGGGACCGAATTTATTTCGGTTGACGAGTATTTAGCAAGTCAGATCTGTAACAAGTGCAAATTCAAACAATTAAACAATATCTCAACTACCGGATCAAAGCGAAGAGTACACTCTGTCCTCAAGTCTGAATCTTGTGGTACTGTTTGGAATCGCGATGTGAACAGTGCATTAAATATATATAGTATCTTTGTTTACAAATCAAAACATGACAATGAAAGTCATCCTCTTTCAAAAGATCTCCAAAAGACTAACGGTGCTCCCTGGATTTAATACGCTGCTTATAACGGCAGTGCATTCCTTAACGCCTCGGTAAGTATAAAATGAATAATACACTATTTTTTATTCATTAGTCTTTTAGTTACGATATGACACCGTTCTTGAGCATAATGTCGATTAATTCTTGTAATGGCTGTAATTCTTTCTTGTCTAATAAATCAAATTCTCTTGCAAATGATATAAAGTGTGCAAATAATGAATTAAAATGTGGTTCTTCGTTTAGGCTTAGTACTTTATCATAATGTTCATGATAAATATGTGCAAACAGTCTAAACATCTGCCCAAACATCCTCTTTATGATATTCACAACATCTTTGGGGAATTCTACACCCGATTTAGTAGGAAAGATGGACTCGTCATTAAATGTATTCTCAATGCTTGTCGTCATTGAATCAATATACTGTGGTGCATTCAATCTAGCTTTCTTTGATAATGAATCTGTCCAAGTATATTCTACTCTGTACCCAATACAGCATCAATTCATCTTGCACTTTTATATATAAAAATATATTCTTTTTACCCTGCTCCTGCTGACATCGTTGGACAACTCTGTGGTGTACAAAATGTTGTGATGGATCCATAAAACAAGTTGACATGATTAAAGAACTCAAATGCTGTTATTGCCAGATTAGTTCTTCCCATTTTTTATTTTTCTTTATCGCTCTTACTGTTAAATGCTAACCACTCATTCATGTCTACATATTTAGGCAACTCCACAATGGTTTTGAAGTTTCCTTGAACAAGCATATGATTCACATAAGGATGACTCAAATAAAGCGGTTTATCAGATTGTTGTATAATAACCTTGCGCTTGTTTCCTTTATTATTCTTCTTTCCAAAACTGTTTAATATAAGTACCTTCTCTCTTTTTTGTAGTTGTCCTCATTTACCTAAATCCAAGAAAGTTCATGAGTGGGTGATACAGCTCTTTTAATTCGAATTGGGCGATTTTATTTATTTTTTTATTTTTTTAAGTTCGACTTCACCCACTCTTGTGGTCAAAAAAACGTAACGAATACCAAAGCATACCATCTTCGTATTTTAAAATGTGTGAAGCAGGGCGCGGATAAAACTGCGTAGACAATGCCTGAATAGCACCAGAAGAAGAGCATTTTAACTGGAGCAGCCAAACAAATTATTTTTTATTTTGGCAGAACAGACGGAATCGTTCACAAGAGATATAAATGTCCAACGAACATATGCATAATAATGGATAGGGTATAGGAATAACATTTGGAAAAAATCATGGTGATGAATCAGTGATGAATAAACGTGGAAATGATTTTCTTTTTTGGGTAATGTCGCTCGGCTCGTTTGGGCAAGATCGAATGGAAAGTGTTGTCCTGTTGATGGTGGTCGTGGTGCAGATTCCTTTTTGACCCTTTCGTGCATTTCTTTGACAGAGAGGAGATCGTCCAGATACGTGACAATGCACGTCAAATTATTCATAACCGGAGGAATTGTCACAGATGGTAGTTCAAGGAAAGTCCGAATGCCGCATTGTTCAGTCATGTAGAAAAAGTGCAACGTACCACCTGCATTAAAAAAAGTTTACTTTGCGGTTTGTGCATTGTCCTCCAACAAAGGAAGCTTGGCTATTTTTTTTTTTTTCTTGTTTTTCGCTTACCAATTACCTAGAAGTAGATGACGCCGTTCAAATTATGCTTTCGCAAAATTTCTTTGGCAAGCGTAGCAAGGCGATAAAAATCAATAACCTTCAAACGATTGGTAGTATTTTTGACCAATACTTGTTGTATAGGAAAGGCAGTATTGATCATATACATCAGTTTGATAATCAGACGCATATTCGAGCTGTAGAAAGCATTTAAAAAAGAAAAGCAATAAAAGAGCAGATCGTACTACCAATGGGAGACAATATTGTTTCTTGACGATGAGAACAAACCCTTTACGAAAGGGTGGATATATGATGCGGCCAAATGATGTTCTGACATCGCTTCAATAACGAGGTACCATATTACCAGCAATCTATTAAAAAAGGGAAACACTACATGCACCAGACGTTAGACTAATTATGCGGGTGCTATCTACAGATACTACTTAAAATGTTGCCCAACAAAACTTTTCACCATCTTAGTTTGTGTTTCTTTTCAAGAAGAAGAAGAGATAAAAAGAAATGCTGCTATTTATTCTAGTTTTATGTTGTCAATTGATCAATAAAGAGCCAAGATCAATCACATGCAATTATGATAATATCGTACTTATATCAAAGAGAGTAAACTGGACAGCCTTACATGTAGTACCTAGAAGAAGCACCCGTAGCATTGACCTATTTTCTGGTGTATGTAGCGTTGACCATTAAAAAATGACAAACCTTGGTTCATATTGCCGTCAATAAAAACTAACAGGTCATATCCTCCAGCTCAAAAATAAGACTAAATAGCCACACTTCTTCCACCAAACTTAACAGTTCTCGAAAGGTGACAGATCTTGTAACGTTTACCTTACTTCTTCAAGATTCTTGGCTTACCGTCATTGCCAAACGCCCAGAATCTTGATTCTTCGGACCAGATCACCTGTCTCCATTGATCATTGGTCCAGTTAACATGACTTTTGGCCTAGTCAAGACGTTTTCTCTTCTGTTTCTCGGTCAACTTGGGTTTGCTTGCTGGAGAATGGTACCTGAAGTCCAACTGCTTTATCCATTTCTTCAAAGTGGAACGACAAATAGCTTTGTCCATTAGACGGAGTTTGACTTTAAGAGTACCAATTGTTTGGAACAAATCTCTTCTGATTACCTGTTCCAAATATCGTTGGGTATATTCGTCGAAGGTAGAGGGCCTATCTGTGCCCTTTCCTACCAAAATGATGCTAGTAGAAGCCACTCTATCGATAGCAACCTGCACAGTTGTGCGCTTCATGCCAACCATGGTCGAAATATCATACTGACTAAATTCAAGCTGCTTTAAATAAAATGTAGCGTGTGTTAGCCCTTAGCACTGACTTCTACCTCTAATTAACTGCGATCGACTCAGATACTTCTCTTCCTTTTAGTTATCCAAGCCATGTATATCATTTTACTTCTTCCCTAATGCACACAAAAATATTCCTTTATTTCTTTAATTTATCTTACTATCTGTGTAGAATCCGATTCAACAATTTTTTATTTTGTTACCCTTTAGTGTGGCCCTGTATGTTTCATATTAATTTATCCGGCATAATTCTAGTTTATTCTACGCTTCTACCTCAGCTTGTACACTTATCTTTTCCGGTCCATTGTTTAAAGAGGTACCAATCCATTACTCGGTAATATTCTAAAGATTTGCGATTGTATAATGTCAATGAAAGTTCAAGATCAGTCGTTGGAGCCATGTTACAGTAGACACTTTTTTTGTGTTAAATGTTACAATAAGAGAACAATGCCATTGCTATGGTAACACGATGGCCTGGGCTCAATTAATCAATTGTTCCCGCATTAGGATCCATTCAGAAAAAAAATTTTTTTCTGCAAACTAAAGCAGAAAAAAAAAAAAAGAATGCTATAACCACCTTTACTACTTGTATATTTAACCAAAGAGGACGAAACCGTGTCTTTTAATAGCTCGTTATTTTTCCTACGATATCACTTTGCTGTTATAAAAGGAATTATAATCAAAACGCATGTCAACCATTGAAGCGCGGCTGTTCTTGCTGGTTGATAGACCATCTCCGCTTACTTTGTCTAAACCGTTTTGTTGAGTAGTTTTCAAAAAAAAAAAAAGGGTATATAAGAGCAAGTGTTTGGAATCATTACTTTTTTTTTTTTCTTTTCCACATCTACGCTGGTCGTTTAAATATGCATCTCAGTCTTATCGTCATTGCTCTTTTCGTATTTGTCACTGTAATTCAAGCAGCAAGCCTTGAGGCCCGTAGTGCCAAAAAATCTGGTCACGCTACCTTTTACAGCGTTAATAAATCAGGAAAACCATCCTGTGGTGGAGATGCCGATAATGACGATATGGTAGTTGCTCTTTCTAAGCATCGTATGGGTAAAGGGCACAAGAAGCCTTGTGGTGAAAAAATCAAGGTTCATGGCGAACGAGGTTCTGTTACTGTCAAGGTTGTTGATACCTGTCCAGAATGTGACAAAAACGATATTGATCTCTCTCCTGCTGCCTTCAAGAAGATTGCACACAAAAAAGACGGCCGTGTGAAGGTCAAGTGGTCTTTTTAAATAACAAAGTTGAACTTTGGTAATAAATAAAAGCATTTATATTTAATACAAACAATCTTTATAAAATACAAAGCAATACCTTACGATAAATCAACTTTTGGTTGCACATAAGCCCTAGTTTTTTTTTAGACTTTGCTGAACCTGATATGGCGTATATTCTTTTAGTCATTATTTAGTGCAGTGTCGCAGAGATTTTCATATAGAGTAGATGTTTTTACGAACATCATCTACGGTCAAAACATCACGATTATCTTCCTTCTGTTACAATCAATAGCTATAATGGGCTTCAAGGCCAACTTTTCTCTTTCCATATTCAAGCGCGACTCTCATCCCGTAGCTTAATACTGAGACCTCTACATGCAATACTGGATGTCTTTCAAAGAAAATTTACTCACCGAATTTCGCGGAAAAATTAATTTAGACAGGACATACTACAACAGTATGGCCTGTATAATTCGATGGATCGCAGCCTGGTTAACGAAGAAAGGATTGATTATGTTGACAAAGCTGCTGTCAAACTAAGCTCGTTCATTACTAGAGGTAAGATGATCAGGACTCGCCAAGGTAAAACACATACTGTCATTGTAGCGTTCAGCAGCGGAACCTACCAATCATTAGATTCAAAAGGACAATCACTAAAACGCCGAGTGAGCCACTCATCTTTACGGCAATTCATTACAAGGAACAATGATATTTATGACAGTCAACCAAGTATTCTGTTCATTGGCTGCTTTGTGGATGGAATGGAGATGAGAGCATGATGTGTAAAACAATCACTTTTCGCCATATTGCAGTTACTACTGCTGACTGCCAGATCGCTGAGTTACGGTATAATTGTGGCTCCTCTTTCTTCCCTTCTACTTTAAGCCGTTAATATTTTTTGTGCTGTCTTGAAAAGCCAGCAAACATATTTTGGTACGATTATAGTCCATTTTATTGTTATTATTGTTATTGACCTTTATCAAGTTTAAGTCCTTTTTTTTTCTTGGAATCTTTGTGCTACTTTTAACAATGCTTTTTATGTAACAATTTACACACTAAAAATCACACCAAAAAAATGAATAAGATCAGGTAAATACTCACGCTAGAGTAAACACTACATAAATTGACAGCTTTGAACAAAAAAATAAAAAATAACGTGATCTTTATGATTTTATAGTGCATGTAATGTTAATCCTTTAGAAGTCGACACATGACTATTAACACATATGGGTCATCCTACGGCATTCAGGACTAACCCTTTCTGACATCTTTTGTGTGGCTCATAAAGATTTAGAGAAAGAAGGGGTTTCAGAAAATAAGTAAAAAAAACTGATTGGCGGGAAAACATTAAGCTGATAAGCTTAACAAAAAAAAAAGAGAGGTGATTTGATTTGTTTCGATCTTACAAGGACCCTTCATCGCTATTCATATGGGATTTTTTTTTCTCCACAAAAATTGGTGCTTTTATGACGTTCTATACGCTGAAATACCTCTGCATCAATGTCCGATGGGCTTAACTCAGAATGCAAAGAACTTAACTTTTTCTTTCTCTTTCTTTTTCTCTCTCTCTCACTTTCCATCTATTTCTTTTACCTTACCTTTCCCTTCTTTTTCTTTTTCTTTTTTTTTTCTTTTTCTAAAGGCAACCTATCAACATGGGCTCAGAATCCGTAACAGCTATTAGCTCTGCTATCGATTCAGGCTCCAGTAACCAAGCCAGATCCAGGTCACATTCGATCTCTACTCAGATTTTATCGTCTGTCAATAAAAAGATCAAGGAGATAGAAGATGCTGATAGTACTCGAATTCTCCAATACATGGACGATCAAGTACACGAGACTTGGGACTGTGCGAAAGCTGCAATGATCGGCGCCCAGCGTCTCCTACAGTTTCACGAATTGCCAAAAGAATGGCAGGAAAATGAATATATACTGTCAGGGTGAGTTGAAGCGAAAAAACAAAAGGGTTGCCATATATGCTGACTTTGACGCTTTAGGTATCGGTTCTATCAAACAACTAATGCATGTTTGAAATCCATATTCATGATTCACAACGAAACAATCAATATTTGGAGCCACTTGCTAGGATTTATATTCATGTCTTGTCTTTGTATCTATGGATTTAATGTAAGTGACACTTTCTTGCCGAGTAATATCAATATTAACCACATAAAACAGAGCCACTTTTCGGACGCAAGCTTCAGCGATAGAACCGTGCTAATTACCTTTTGTGTGGCCGCACTAAAATGCTTGTTTTGCTCGTCTCTCTATCATACCTTTATCTGTCACTCACATCGACAGGTCAAACTATTTACGGCCACATTAGACTACATGGGTATTGCCTTTCTAATCACCGCATCCGTACTTGTATCCGAGTACTATGGATACTACTGTCGGCCCATTATGCGCAACCGATACATGATGTTCACCTTGGCGATCGGTAGTCTAGGGATGTTTGCCCCCTTTTTAAAGCGCTGGGATACAAAAGAGTATAGACCACTTCGAATCGCCGTGTTTGTGTCCATGGCTGTTTCCAGCATCATACCAGTATTACATCTCATTTTCTTGAATGGATTCAAATCAACCTTGAGCTTCTTCAGTTTAGCATCACTTAGTGTTATCATGTATATCCTTGGTGTCATTGTTTGTAAGTTACAGATCACATACTTAAATGTGCTTATACTAACAGACTTATATACAGATGCAAATCGATTCCCTGAAAGGATGTACCCTGGTGAATTCGATTTTGCTGGATTCACGAGCCATGCCATCTGGCATATTTTTGTCTGCCTAGGCATCTTTGTAAGTTATTTTAGGAGCCATATAGGCTAGATCACTCACATATTATATAGTTTCATTACCTAGCAACTCTAAGGTTTTATGAAAATCGTCATACCTACGGATGTGGCATTCTGCCTGGTAGATACCACTAATCCCAATACATTTATTTATTTACATATATAGAATGCTTAATTCCAATAGAAAACAGAAAAGGAATAAAAATAAGCATATATTTATTTGAGCATAGTATAATATAATATATATATGTGTGATAAGAAAGAGCCATCTATTTCCTACGATGTTTGCTATTGAATGCTGGCCCATTCTCAATTAAACTATCGATATGATCAATAAATAGCTGAACATCTTTAAAGTAATCCGGTCCGAGAACATTTGCCTTGACAGGTTGATCATCCTGTTCGATAGAGTAGCAGTAGTTATCATCCGAAGTAATACCTATAGTCTCTAATAGTCTAATAGCGTCTTGCTTTGTTCGCGGAGCAGGGGTAGGGAAATAGATCCGCAATTCGCTTTGGCTTATCACCACTTTAAATTTTTCTGGATGACGCTTTAGGCATTTAAGTAAGGTCAGCACGTGATACATGTGTATCTGATAGCTCTTGTTGAGAGATTCTATTGAATCAATAAAAGACGAGTCCACCAAGCTTTCGATGTCTGTAGGACAATTGAAAAACTGTAATGTGTCAAGTGTGATCAATAAATAGATCGTCGAGGTCACGGTCGTTGTAGTAGTGCTTGTAATCGATTCAAGTTCACTGTTGCTTAATAATAGTACTGTCTTCTTTTTATCTTCTTCAGACTTATCAGGCTTTTTGCGCACCGAGTTACCTTCAGAATTTGTTCTTCCGTGTCGTAGAAGAGCCTTACGTTTTGCAGACTTGTTAGTTACATTGTTACGCATAGAAGAAAGCTCATCGTGCTGAATGATACAATCAAGCTTCTTTTGAGTATCAGCGCGCTTAGTAGAAGTTGAGTCTCGGCGAGCAGATCCACGCTTTTTGGAGTCCAAGTGAAATACGTAATGGTTGACATCATCATCATTTTCCATGTCCACGAGTTCTCTCATGCCTGCAGCATTTCTGGCGGCAAAGATACGGTCATAGTTGGGCTCCTCGCTCTCTTCTGTCTGCTTTTTGGGGCTTACAGAGGTTACCTTTGAAGGCTGCTTTTCTTCAGATGTAACGGGAGCATTCATCTTGGTCCCTGCGGGAGAAAAGATGCGAGAGGAGACATGAGTAATGATGTTTGGCTGTTGGTTCGTAGTGGTATTCTGAAAAATTGTTACACAGGGAGATTTCGTAGTCGAAAATTGGCGAGTAAACCCTGGGCCTCCACGCCCTGCGCCTACAACAGCCGTACGAGGAAAACCCCAGGTAAGTCCTGCAGACGTAGGTCCTGATGGTCCTGTAGCAGACATCATGGTACGAAGCTGCTGTTGATTCCATAAGCCAAGTCGTTGGTGGTACATAGTTGCCGCATAATTAGGTGGAGGAGAGAATACTTTCATGACAGGAAAATGCTGTTGGATTGCTTTTAATAGCTTAGCCTGTTGTTGATGTTGTGGTGGTAATATGTTTGTTGCTGTCGTTGAAGACGGTCGATGAAAGATGGTTGCAAAAAATTGCTGTACATTTTGCTGCTGCGTAAAAGAGGTTTTATAATGTATTAGCTGATTATTACTGTTCACTGGATGTACCAGCTCCGATATTTTGGTTTGGAAATAATGCCGAAGCTGGTGAAAAGAGACAAATAGCTTGGATGGACGTAGCATTCTAAGTTATTGTCTTTTCATTATCCTTTTATTCAAAAGAAAGAAAGAAAAAAAGAAAAGAAAAATAAAGGGAAATTTTCTTTTTTTGAATATTCATGTGACGCCTTTGGGATAATGATAATCGTTTCTTGACCAATCAGTAGGTACTGTTTGCATAATAAAGTACATTTTCTATGTTACTATAATAGTTGCATAGCAACGGTAACTAGGTTTCAATATATATGAATAAACGCAAGCTTAAAGTAACTTCAAGCAAGAAAGAACATTCTTTCGTTAACCCCAAAAAAAAAGGTTATCGACCTTCCCCCTTTTTTCTCCCTTATTTCTAAATTAACGATGCATGTAAAATATGCATCATTTTTATGGTTGACACAAAGTCAAAATTGCGCCAATATGTAAAATACCAGACAATTAGGCAATCTTGTTATTTGTTTTCATCATCATTAGTACTATCAGCGGCATGTCCATTTGGTTTATTTTATATCATCATGCCGTAGCAACTATCAGCCTGGCACATGCTATTATTACTCACGCTACAAGTTGCTGGTGATCTGAGATTAAACTTGACCATAGAGTACTTACGATGAACCACTCATATATTGAGCCAAATAACAGAATGCAGGATGAGAATTTGGCTTTTTTAGGCTTAAATATCAAGATTTGACAGATCTTGATAATTCTATTATCTCTGAAAAAGTTTGACCCAAAGAAAATTCATATATTCATTTATTTAATGGAATGAGAGAAGGTATGACCGTAATGGAATTTGCTAAATAACACATGTTTTCTCACAGTAGCGCATACAAATTTGCTTTATGGGCTCAATGCAAGTGGTTGCATTGTTTTACCAGGTGACTTTCCAAGAAGACTTTATAAATACACCCCTCAAAAGCTTTTTGGTGCTCATGGTCAATTATTGGCTGGCTGCCTTGGTAAAAAACGTTCGACTTATTATCTTTGAATTAACTAAAAAGATCATGATTCGATTAGTAACAAGGTTCATGAAACCATTAGACCGAAGATAATAAACTATGGTAAACCTTGATTACTTTGACCCAAAGTATTGCGCGAGAAGCTCTTTTTGCAGCTATAGGCTTGGCTATGGGTTTTAGCGCTTGGGTGAATAGAAAATGCAGTTGAACCGCTATAACTTGTGATCAATGCCAAGATATCAATGAACCAATTGAACATCTTTATCAATGCAAAAGCAACACAACAAAAAAACATGACTCAAGTCCATTCTTATTTTCTTCAAACATTATCAAAAATATCACCAAGCGCGATAGTGTTATAAAGAAAACCCGAATTACTCCATCCAAAAGAGCTTTATGACTATCTGCCACAATCTACAAAGAGAGCTTTTCTTGAATACAACAACATCACAATCCAACTAGAATTGTCTTAAATTAGCATAAGAAATAAAATTGTGGAAAACTAAATATCACTCTTTACTCTTCTTTCTTTTTGTTGTCCATACAATGTCACCTAGTGAATTAAGTGGTATAAAAGAAGGCATTAAAATATATACATTCTTGAGACTAAAGGGAGGCATAAAGACCTTATAAAGGAGATTATTGATTGCGATTTGATTGAAAATCACTTGTTTGTAAAAAGAGTCTGGACAGAGATGCATAGCCTTGATAAACACAATGACTTTGGCTTGTTGCAAAATGGTACCTTTATTTTGTTAAAACGTGATAATAAGAGCTTATGAAAGTCAATATAGCCATCAGGTTATGGAATGAGATCATTAATATGAGTAGCAAGTTGAATATGAATACGATAGTTACATGTAGGAAAAACATGAATGAAAACTTTATTGACAACATAGAATCATTAGTGCGGCAAATCGTTTTTAATATCATCTTTCTTTATTGTGGACGCTGGAAGGAAGATAATCGTTGGCAATACTTGGATATAACTTCATCTACACTGAAAGCATGGCTTGGTATACATAAAACAAAGAAGAGGGAAAAATTAAACAAAGTACTTACTGTTATATCAAGATTATGATATATTGCATGTTACCGATGCAGTTTTATCAGAGTTTAATAAGGTAAGATATGCCTAAATAGATGATACTTTATTTGTTTATCAACCATTCGGTATTCTAGTTGTTAGATGAAACACATACGGAAGATTATACTTACTTATCCCCCATTCAATTGCGATGCCTATCGAGATGTTATCTTTACAAGGCAGAACATGTATACTACAAAAAGTTCATTTATTAGAAATATACTAAAGATACTTATTGGTGAACAGGCTTCAATAAACTGTAAATGGTCAGAAGCTCAAGAGTTCTTTGTAAAGTCAAATGGTAAATCTAGTACTTGCTAAATTTATGAATGCTAAAAGTAAAATAGATATTATAAAAGCTGTTCCCTATGAAATGATTGAAGAACATGTAAATCATCTTTATATACACTTGACTCACGCAGCTTATTTATGTGTTTTAATTTAGATAATATATACACATCACATGTTATTATGTACAGGAATCGACATGATGAAAGCAGTCAATATAACGTCGGTAGACGTATTACGGTGGATATCAAATATTCGATTTATAGCAGGAAGCCGTAGATTACCTATACATCTTCAAGTAAGATAAGCATGCGTGATATGTAATCTGAATTAACTTTCTTTTACACTAAGGAGTACTTTTTGGAGCTTATAGGTTGGAGACAAGTTATCCTTTTTGTTTGATACTTATTGTATTTCAATGTAGTCCAATGTGCTCAAAAAGACGACCTGGTAATTAATCAAGAGGACTCATGCGTTCTTCAGCAAGTTTTGGATCAGTTCAGTGCGCGGGTAAAGATGTTATTACATACATGTACGCCGCTTATAGTTGCTCTTTATAGGATAGTAGAAACCACGTAAAATATTATCCTGCAAAGATATGTGCTGTCTTGAAAACTTGCTCAGTAAGCCAGATGGCAATTGAAACCAGTAAGTTGTTCTCTACGCGTGTATATTTCCTATCATAATCACCTCTATTATACAGCATTCTTTGAAATGGTGGAGAATATCATCATTTCAGAAACATCACAAATAGCCATGTACGTATATACACATTTACATACAGAGAGATATACTATCTGTATTAACTAGCGATGACACATAGCCTTCGGCTTATTATTAACAAAGTATCTCAACGCATAAGGTATGTCAAACTAATGTACTTCCTCTTCTTTACAAAAAAAATGACACATTGCTTAGTGCTATGTCCATTATGGATGGCATTGAGCTGCTTATTCGTAGGCATCAAGAAGTCCAGCATGTGTCTGTGGGAAATTTTTATTTGTTCAAAATATATACACTTTACGAACTTGCAATTGAGAATGACAACGAGAATTACGAGGATGTAATAAAATCTGTTATGGATGGTTCGTTAAAATTAAAAAAGAAAAGAGGCTTTGCCAGAGCTTAATATTATCAATAGGTATCTATTTAGTGGCCAAAGATTTCGATAAAATGGATTTAGCGTCTATACAGTTGGTAATAGAGATATAAGGGACTACATAAAAAGAATATTAATTCTAGAAAAGATGCTATGGAGAACAGGAGATTACTTTAACGACGTATGCTTTTTTTCACTAAAGCGTATCTTATACTTATTGTAACATAGAAAGAAAATTTTACTAAAGCTATACCTTGGTATTCCCATACATTAAGTACTATGACCATGACAGCAGAGGGTCAGCAAAATACATTAATTCTGGCAAGGTGTATTTTTTTTTTTTTGCTCAATAATATCAAAGACTGATTGTTTTACAATCAGGAAACTAGCACTGTGTTATGCAAAAGGCGACGATTATGTAGCAGCATGTACATGCTTGGAAAATGCGATAAGTGCAATCAACAAGGGACCTTACGCTCGGGATTATCTTTGGCTTATTCAATGGTCTATTCAAAGCGGCGATAATCCCACAAAAAGTAAAAAAGTTAAAATACAGTAAAAGATGGCATATTTAACAAGGACACATATAGCGGCTTCTTTTGTTGACAAGTTAGTACTAGCCCAGGACTTTAAGCCAACCATGTTCACAGATGTTTTGGATTATTTGTATACGGTAGCTGTTTATTCTCTCTTCTTTAAGCAGCCATTGATTATTTTTTTATTTGGGAAAGCACGGTAAAAGATGCCAATTGATAGTACATATCCTAAAACATATTGTGCTGCAAAACACCAAGGAAAGAATAAAAGACAGTGATCAAGAATCTTTGCTGAAATGCAAGACATTGTTTATAAAGCAACTGATATTCGCTCTAAGGTACATGGCTTATTTATATAATCATTTCGTATTTTGACCTTTGTTTTATAGATGTATTATATACGTCAAGACAACTGTTTATGAAGAAATATTAAAAGAAGAAAGCTCACAGATCAAGTAATTGTCTAAAAAGAGAACTCATAACTGTTTCTTATGCTGTATTAGATATCTGAATTTCAGATCAATATCAAATTACATCAGACGTGGTTAGCTTGTTTTTTTCTTTTAATTGTTATGTCTACGTCTTACGAATTGAACACTAGTTTGTCAAATTATCGGAAGAAACAGAGACTATTTATGTACATGTAGTCAGGATAAAGTATTTATGAATCATATTGAATGGATGAAAGGTACAGTTTGGAATCTAGGTCTATACTGTCTCAGCGTCGGCAAAATGATAGAAGGTACCCGTCTCTTTTGTGTTTTAAACAAGGTAACTGTCTCCTTTATCCTTCAAGAGAAATGTTTATTCATTCTTTATTACTTAGCTCACATCTATATTTGAGAGTATGGATCAGTGTACTCAAGAACAAAGGCTGATTCATGTATTCATGGCACTTTGCTCAAAGTCCTTGGGCTTACAAAAGGTAATAGTAAACCGAAAGAAGTAATAGTAGTAGTAGTAGTACTTAATGTTATTACCAGGAGTGCATAAGAAATGACGTGCAGACACTAAAGAAACATTATGATCAATTACCTGAATGTATAAAGACCCTTGTAGGACTGTTTGAGATTGAGTTTCATGTTTGCCAAGGTCAGTTTGATACAGCCATTGAAACGTTTAATGTAATCTAAAGGAGATGAGGGGAAGGGGGATAGGACAATTTTGAATACACTAACCTTATTTACTTAGGTCTATCTAAATTTGGAAAGCCATTCATTTGTTGTATTGGAGCGCATGATTTGTAAAGTCAATAGTTTTATGTAAAAAATACTAACTCTTTTTTGGGAGTTAGGCATTGTTATACAAAGTGACCAATGTCCACAAAAAAGTAGGTAATGCTGAACATAAAAGAATATATATTTAATGTTATTTATAGTTGCATTCCAGTTGCTCAAGGTAAAGCATGTCCTATATACACTTTTGTTATTTATTTCTTCCTATAGTCTTTCCAAAGACTAAGTAAACTCGCTCAGCAAACAATCGATGTATATGCAAGATGGACGCGTATGATTATATCAACAGCATTAGCCTATGATCAATCTGAAGCATTTGACTGTCTTGAATGGATGATGAATCAAGGACTCTATCAAAAGGTAAATCTTCATTATTACACATTGTACACCTTATTCACATTCTCTCTTTCTTTCCTTTTACTCAGCATAATTATCCACAGAATGAGTTGTATTACTTGATTGTAGTCACTTGGAATGAAGGGATCACATGTTACTTTGGGTAAGGAAAGAAAAAAGAAGGAGGATTATTTAATAAATAAGGCTATCCCTTAATGCAAAAATAGTAGTCATAAGCTTAAAGGAGAAGCCTGGTGTAGATGTTCATTTAACCTTTTGAATTGTTATCGACAAGAGAATAAGGCTCACTTAAAAGAACAGGTAATAGTATACATATATTTTTTATATCTATTAATACGCATCTTAATGCCATTAGATGGATAAAGCATATCGAATGTTTTCCACACAAAAGGAAACAAAAACAGACGCCTGATTTTTTTTTTCATTCGTTTATAATTTCTCTTCCGCTTTATTTTTCTTTCTTTTTTTTTTTTTCTTTTTCTTTTTCTATTGTATTGAAGTAAATGACTCAATTAGGATCACCTCATGAACTTTATGATTTCATTGAGCAGATTGGAGATGGTTCTTTTGGAACAGTGCACAAAGCAAAGCATAAAACAAGTCAAAAAATTGTAAATTGAGAAATTATGCGCTTTATTACGATATGCTTATGTAACAAACATTGATTTTAGGTTGCTGTAAAGGTGATGAAGAAGAAGTATGAGAAAATACAAGACTGTCAAGATCAGTTTGAGCCCAAATTACTAGACTTGGTGCCCCCACATATAAATATTGTCCAAATGTATGACAGCTTCTTTTCAACAAATGGTGATCTATCCTTTATTATGGAATTTATGGATGGTGGCAATCTATATCAACTGATGAGAGAAAGACGACAACAACATTTACCACTAAGTCACTGTGAACTACGGACAATTCTGTAATTGTTTAGTATTTATTAAGATAAGCAACTACTAACCAGTCTTATTTACTAGACATCAAATATTATCAGCGGTCTCACATATACATCATCATAATGTCTTTCATCGAGATATGAAACCAGAGAATCTATTATTAGAGTATGTTGCAGGAAAACCAATTATAAAGCTTGCCGATTTTGGTTTGGCTCGGGAATTGAGTAGTCGACCACCCTACACAGAATATGTTAGTACAAGATGGTAAATAAGGATAGAGTAAAAACACCTTGCCTCTCTTTCTAATACAGTTGAAGGTATAGAGCACCAGAAGTATTGCTTAGATCTACCGAATACTCTGCCCCTGTAGATCTTTGGGCTGTAGGAGCTATTTTTGCTGAATTGATTACCCTAGAACCGCTGTTTCCTGGTGAATCAGAGGTGGATCAAATTTACCGCATTTGTGACATCTTGGGAAGTCCGGGGAACAAATTGACCATTGGTAAAAAGATTCACAGAATGGTACGACCCGAAAAAAGACCCAGTCCAGGATTCGCACGAAAAAAGACAGCGGCAGAGATCGAACAGGCAGTTCACTCAACCTTATCCTTTTTGGATGGTGGTGGGGAATGGAAGGAAGGCGTCAAGTTAGCTTATAAAATAGGTTTCAAATTCCCAAATGTAAAATCATCCTTTACAAACACACACACACCACATATGCAATACATGCTTATTGATTCATGTTCTTAGTGTATACCAAAACCATTGGAAACGATCATACCAGGTGCAACCGAATCCATGCTTGACCTCTTACGGCACTTTCTTCTCTTCAACCCTACCTATCGCTGGTCTGCAGATACAGCCCTAAAGCACGCATTCTTTTCAGAAACAGACGAACCTGTGCATAATGTCATTCCTCTCGATATCGAGCCGATCACTCCACCAGACAAACATGAATCCATCCCGATCGACAGGGGACTCTATTCGAGCAAATCACATAAATCCATCATCACTCCCCTTGACTTGCTCCCTATACCCACATCACCACACCAGATTTGTCCTGACTGGGATCGGCCGATGTCCCGGCTGCTTAGTCGGCCCAGCACCAGAACAACCCACATTGACTTATTTCTGCACGACGTCGAACCACCGTCACCGTCACCCACAGAGAACGCGTGGCTCACTCAAAGACCGATTTATAGCTCTCGTGAAAAGGTGCATCCGGTAACAGACTGTCCAAATACACCCATCTGGAGTAAGTACCACTATGCTTCTCATCAACAGCAGCGACTGGCTACACCGGTTGAGCCCAAGCGACTTTCAAACCCATCATTGGAAGAGGAAATCCATCAAAAACGAGTCCAGCATAACCATTACCATCACTATCATCATATTCACGATAATACCGTTCACACATTATCCGTAGGCAGTAATAGTAATAAGGCCGCATCTACTTTTAGTCTCGATCGTATACCACAATATGGACACCAACTCATCAAATGGACACCTCCTATTCACTTTGCAGTTGAACCAGAGGTAAAGCGCCCTGTAAGTAGAAGATCTAGGTCACCTGTACAATTCTCCGTGAAAAACCAAAGGCACACTGTAAATAATCACCATCATCCACAGCAAAAGAATTCAAAACCACATCGATTTAACATGTGGATGCCCTCAGATGATGACAACGATGACGACGTGGGACAAACAGAGACACAGGAAGATATGGACATGGTTTTTCTTCCGTTGCAATAATAAACAAGTGTCTTTACAAAAAGTTTCCCTATAAAGCATACAACGGATATTTTAGAGAAAATTTATAATAGGGTGTACATACTTTTGTGTCTTTTTCAAATAATTATTCCATCTTTCTATACATTTAAATGAAGGCATGGACGGAAAGTTATCAAGTGCTTGTTCAGATGAAAAATAACCGGTATCAACAGCTGCTTCAGCATCAACAGAGGATTCAATTGTATGAACAACACCTATCGGAGACACAGGCAAAACTAGTACAAGTCATGGCTCTTGAATCCCGCGAGATCGAAAAGTGGAACAGTCTGGTGGAATCAGATACGTGGGTCACAGCTGAGGAACACGAACGTATTCATAACAAGCTTCAGAACATCTCCGAAAGACGAAGCATGTGTATGGCATCAAAGGCTCAGCAGCGTCAGGATATTATAGCAGAAGCTCAAAAAGCAAAGACGCAAATGACACATATCCTCGGTATTGAGAGAGGACTGGTCTCATTAAAGAAACAAATGGAACTTTTAGAAATTAAACCTGTTCAGAAACGACCATCCCTTCGAAAAATGATTGGATTGGTTTTCGCTTTTACAAATATCACTCATAGGTCAATCGCGCCTGATTCTACTCAAAAGCCTATAGGCGCTTTGTACCAATAAAACTATTTATATCCAACTCTTATTCAGTCTTTTCTTAGCGTATGTCTCTATTTGTGTGTATTGTTTGTTTAGAAAAAGAAAAAGAAGGGATCTAATAGCAAAGTTGTTTTCAAACATAAAAATGAGCATTATTTGATCTACTTTTGTCCTCCCCCCTGATTACACGAATGAATAAATCTAGCAACATGCGAAAACTTGATACCCATATTGGCATATATGTATAAATACCTTAACCCAACACTCTGTATGTATTATGTGTGTGCGTGGTGATTATAACAGATGCTAGACTATGATCAATATAACAGACAAAAATGTTAACCTTTTACGTGATAAACTAAACAGATATTGGTTTGATAAAACCTTAAAATAAGCACAAATAGACCTTGACTTGTTTTGTATTCTTGTATTTGATATAATGTATTTTCATCTTGAATGACATCCCCCTTGTTTGAGATACTCTTTTGCTCATAAAGAGATGGTATCGACTTGATTTAATGAAGATCATTTCTTGCAGTACGTAACAGTAGGATGATCTATGATAATCATTTAGTACTTTAACTTGTCAATACACACCTTCCCAGATAATCAAAAGTGCAACATCACTGGGAGAGAATAATTGCAGTTTTCGCTGAATTGTGCATGCCTTTTATAGGTAACTGAATCTTGAAATTCAAGATAGAGTTTGGACACTTTAAACGATATCTAAATTCTTTTGATTAGCTCATATGTGTAACTTGTTAGTAAGTTATAGTCAATGAGCCTTATGCATCGATAAAGTACTACCTTTCTATAATATGAAGCATGTCTTTATCCAAATGGCTGGTCTTCAATTCTTCAGGTTGGGCAGATTTGTCTCAGATATTTGAAATACAATGCAAGGAAATTCCTTGGAATTTATGAAATAAAAAATGTATGAGACTCCCCCCTTTCTCTTTATTATGTAATACATCTGTAGGCAACATACTTTACCTGAGTGTATTGGTTTTCTACTATTGCTACAAACCATTTCTCTTTAACATAGTTTTAGTTGAGATTTGAGACGATATTACAAGTATGTCTTTAAATAGGATAAATAAACTTTCCAGAGGGAATTAAAAGAAATATCCAAAAGGAATGTTGATTAGAATATCTAATAATCAACCAGCCAAAATATGGAAGATCTTCACCTTGTTATAAAACCTCTCTCTCCTCTCGAGCAATCGACTATCTTTCTTTTGTTTTTGTTATTTCTCTCTTCTTCAAGACAAAAATGCGTGCCATTTTTACTATTTCCACTGCCATCGCTTTTTTCACGGCCGCTGTGTTTGCTGCTGACAATGCCGATTTTGATCCTCTCGATTTCAGTGCTGAAGACCTCGCTACAACTTTAGATAGCTCATTCGCTACTTTCCGCTGGAAGGGTGATTCTACTATGGCTCAAGAAAGCTTCAACCTCGTTGCTGAAGAACCCACACGTATCCAAATTACTGATTTCAAGAACCTTGGTGACGTTTTTGAAGTCTTTGATAATGGTATCTCCTTAGGCACCACAAGTGAAGTTGAAGAGATTGCTGGCGAAGAAGTATTTGCTGCCACTCCTGAAGAAGCTCTCGAAGATGAACGTTTCAGTAAGGGTGTTTTCACTTTAGAAAAGGGTGAACACAAGATCACTATCAAGGCTACTGGACCTTATGAAGCTGGTACTGCTGCCATCCGTGTTTTGGACCACTCCAATGTTGCTTTCTTCAAGAAGGGCAAGTGGGACGATGACGATGATGATGACAAATGGGGTCGTGGCAAGGGCTGGGACCATGGCAAGGGCTGGGATCACGACAAGGATTGGGATCACGATAAGGATTGGGATCACGACAAGGATTGGGATCACGACAAGGATTGGGATCACGACAAGGATTGGGATCACGACAAGGATTGGGATGATGACAAGGACTGGGACCATGACAAGAAGTGGAAGCATCGTAAAGACTGGGACGATGACAAGGAATGGGACCATGGTAAAGACTGGGATGATGACAAGGAGTGGGACCATGGTAAAGACTGGGATGATGACAATGAATGGGACCACGGTAAAGATTGGGATGATGACAAGGAGTGGGACCATGGCAAGGAATGGAAGCACCGTAAAGACTGGGATGACGACAAGGAATGGGATCACGGTAAAGACTGGGACAATGATAAGGATTGGGACCATGGCAAAGAATGGGATCACGGCAAAGGCGGCAAGCACTGGGGCAAGAAGAACAAGGGATGGTTTGAGCATGATGACTACAAGGGACATGATGACTACAAGGGCCACGACGACTACAAGGAACACGATAACCACAAGGATGACCAGAAGGATGACCACAAGGAAAACAAAGACTTTGATTTATCTCCTCCCTACTACGACCTTGACTATAGCCATACTGTTACTGTTACCAAGACTGTGTGGGTTGAAGGAACAATTCCAAGTAAGTTTCTTTTTGTTGTAATATCATGGCTTTTTGCTAATTGTTATTTTTTTTATAGCTCCTGCGTAAGATATACAATACAATCTGGTTATATATATTTGGTACTTACCCTTTCTTTCTCTTAGACCTGGTGACCCAATCGTTCCTGTTATTCCGCCTACGAAGGATGACAATGACAAAGACTTCAAAAAGACTCACGACCACCCTCCTTACCATGACCGTGACCATGACAAGGATCGTCTCCACTTCCATTAAATGATAACAGCTGACAGTCGCAACTATAAATAGAATTGTAAGTTGAATCATCAGTTTTTTCCAACATATCTAACGCTCTTTTTTTAGTTATTTATCTTTTCGAACTACACTTAATTTTTATTTGTTTATAATAAAGTTTCGAATTTTTCTTTTAAAAAGTTAAACACAAATACTTTATAAATAAATACGTGCATTTATTAATTCTATCATTAACAAAACTTCCAATGGTTTCCACAATTGACACATGTAACAAACGTTGTCATCGGTTCATCCGCACTTCGTGTTTGCATTTGGAAGTAAGTACATTTTCTGCCTTGGCATTTACCGCACTTGAACATGTCTGTTTCGGCTTGTGCACTTGTTGCGCCTCTAGCTTTAAATAAAGCTTCCTCTGCTAATTTTCTATCACGCGCCTGTGCCTCCTCAGATGCCATTTCTTCAACGCTCATCGTACAGAGTTTTTCAACTGTGAGCTCACCGCTAACAACACTCTCACGTAGCCCAGGATTACTTTTGTTCTTCAGGTTGTTTGCCAGTGTACGCACCTTGCTTTTATATCCTTCATTGACATCGCCGTATTCTTGGAATATTCTAGCTTCTATAGCTAGTGAACGTTTCAGCAATAGATCAGAGTCTGCAAAAAGAGTGTAAGCAATAAAGAGGCTATAGTCTGATGGACAGTACCTGCTCCACTATTGAACCCAATTGCTGCATACATCAATTCAATTGTTTTGTTACGAGGTACATTTCCTGTTGATTTATATGTTACTTCATCCGACTTGATTGTACGCGCCACTCCTTCATTCGAGGGTGTCTTTGGTGAAGAGGTCTGTGATGATGCTCTACTGGCTTCTGTGCTAGCAACACTAACTGTATCCGTAGGTGGTGATTGTGCTGTTGGCTTTTTTGTATTTGGATTGTTACTGGTCGACTGTTGAACAACATCATCTTTCCACTTCTTTACGATAGCTTTTGCCTTAATCGATAGTTGATTATCTTTATGCGTTCTTAATTTTCCAACTACTTTACCGATTTCCGTTCTCTGACATGTCGTATTAGGATGATTTTAAAAAGAATCGCCTCGTAATTTACCTTTAAAAGATCACCGGTAGCCTTAATTTTACTCAAATTGTTTAAAATGTCTAAACAAGCCTGTTTTACGCGCAAACGAGCTATGAATATGAATTTATTCATTATGAAGAATCAAAGACTATAACTCACCTCAACATTGTTATTTTCTACAGCAGAATGAAGTGCATGTTTAGCCTTATTGATTTGTGCTTCTACTGTATTCATAATGAGTATGCAAAAAAAAAAGAAAAGAAAGAAGAGAAAAGAAAAACAGTCTTTGGGTTTCTATTTTGTCGTTAGTTAAAATTTCATCTGTTCCCATTTGAAAAAAATTTGCTTGATGCATTCTTCCATCCTAAAGCTGTTACCTTGGTTACAGGGGTAACATGGCATAAATAATTAAAATTCGTAGCTATGAGATTTTGCTATACTTTACTATTAGTCAATAGAGATTATTCGTACGTCAGATTAAAATAATTTGCCCGTGTTTGGCTAGAAAAAAAAGAACTTGTATGTAAAGAACTATAATTACCACTGCAGTTTCCAGTTTAGTCTTTAAAGAGGAACAAGATGCTCTGAATTTTGTTTTGATATACAAATGTGTCTGTACGTTTTACATTTATCAAGTCAATTGCATAAAGAAGTGTCATTGAATGCTTTAATAGAAAAAGAAAATTGTAAATGGCTAACTTCAATCATAATATATATATATATATATATATATATGTCACCATGCTTCTATTAAATCAATCAAATGGCCCAATAAATAATCATATATGACCGTTTGTTAGACAAACTAGGCTAACGTTTACCATGAATTTGGAATCCAAATGGAACTATCATCTCTTTTCTCTTGACTATATTCCGAATAAAGATACACACAGTCTCATCGTATTTTTACTTTGTCCGATACCAACTTTAAACTTAAATACAACAAGTAGCTGAATGATATTGTTGGTAGGTATCCACGACGTAATCATGTCGTTGATCACGATCATCTGTTACTATTTGGGTATTGGGGCTATGACATACAATGACAAATGAGTTAATGAAAGCCTGTGATCGATTACTTAGCAGTATGATAGTTTGGGCGAGTTATCAACTGACAACAAGCTTTGAATGAGAGGGTGGGCGTATGAAGCAATAAGATGGCCTTCGGACAAAGGCTGCAAATCAACATCCTTCCATATGGGAATCCTGATTATCAGGAGAAAAAAAGAAAACATTAAGCGTCGAAAATGGCAAACAAAAATCACTTACAACGACTCAATCGCGCAGATGACGTTCTGCTGCTGCCCTTCCACCGTCCTGACTAATGGCAGTCTGAATTGCGCTTCTATGCTATTGATTTCATCACCTCCAAAAGCCTGTAAGAACAAAACGTGAGAACTACACATAAGCATTGAGATGCAATTACTACAAGGATGCCCTTGATAGGCATAGCAAGGTTGGTTTCCATGGCTTTCTGGAATGACAACCGCTGCAAAAGCAGCCAGTGCGAGGCTTTCAATGAAGCTGGCGAGAGACATTCCACAGGTATGGTTTCGTACACAAAGCGTTTTTGCAAAAAGAGGATCAGTGAGGTCAGCGGAGAGTGAGGAGCTTGCAAGAGGAAAGGCTGAATAACTTACAATAGCTCATTGAAATGTTGATCCAAGCTGTCATATTTTGCACAGTTGGATAAACATTGCTCACGGTAAGCGCGAAAGCTCTGAGACACAATATTGTCATCAATAATCCAGTCGTCTACACGGTCCACGGTGTCATCATAGTTTTCCTCGTAATAAAAAAAGGAAGAAGTGCACTGAATACTGAAGAGAAGCACTACATGCGACAGAAAACACACCAGAAGTTAGACTAATTCTACGGGCACTGCCTCTAGCCATTACATGTAATGTCGTCAGCAAGCTTCTTTACTGTTTAGCGTTAAACTAAACATGACTTTATAAAGTCACCAACTTAGTTTGTTTCTTTTCAAGAAGAAATAAAAAAAAGTGTTGCTATTTGTTTATTTATGTTGGCATTTGATCAGCAGAGTCAAGATCAATCACATGTACTTATGATGACATCGTACTTATATCAGAGAGAGTGAGCTGAGCAGCCTTATGTGTAGCGCCTAGAAGAAGCACCCGTAGCATTGGCTTATTTTCTGGTGCATTTTTTAGCGCATGTAGGCTGTGTATTGTGGAAAACTCCAGAAGTTTCGCTATTTGGTTAGCTTACAAGACTGTTAGGAGAAACTAAAGACTGAACAATATACATCATGGTTCGAGCCTTAAAGGTCTTTCCATATCCATGACAACGAAATATGGGCATGAGTAGATCGATTTTAGTGGATTCATTACGACGAAATTGGCCCATCTTCTCGCAATGAAGACATCTCAAGGATTTGCAGTGACTTTCAAACTGCAAAAGCAAAGTAGTTACTGCTCCATGAGTGAGAGTATCATCCGTATTTATTAAATTATTGTTATTTATGTCGCCAGGTGGCATAGTTGAAGCAATTGTGCTCGACGTGGTTAGTGTAACGTATAAATATGCGAAAGAGTTCATCTTTTTTTTCTTAACACTGATTTGGACCATCAATAAAATATCGTTTAAACAAAAAAAAAGGCGGTGTAGAGAAAAAAGGGGACTAGATTTTTCGTCCATCTCCATGATAACAGAAACAGATACTCACTGTGCAATCGGACTGTGCAAAGAGAAGAAACCAAGTTTCCAAACTTCAACAGCAGTATCTAATCACAAGTGTTAATATCATACTGCATGTTATACGGTGGGCTATACGACAAATGATAAAACGAGAAGCCTTAGAAACAAGGTGATGTAATAGATGAATGTCAGCTCATTGATCATATTTGTGGTAGATTGCAAAGTAGAAGTCGAAATTCAAAGAGAGAACGATGTTTTGAAGTGCCTTTTTTGCGACAAAACTTACCGTTCCGTGGATTCCTTCAAAAAACACATCGACATCTGCAAACCTGACGGTAGCAATGCAGGCCAGTATCCAGGAACAACGTGATGAAAAGTACGAGTGTCTGTCATGTGTTAGCTAACTATTCATTTTTTTTGTCCCCAGATGTGAATTTGGCTGATGATAATTCTAAGGATATGACAGCGGCAATGAAGCTTGTTGCCATGCCCAAAACAACAGCCATGACAGCAACGCTAATTTCAACGAAAATATCAAAAATGCAGCGTGATTATGACCAAGCAATCATACATGCGTGTCAATCCATGGATGCGGCCGAAGCGGAAAAGATCAAAGATAAATGGATCATTGAAAGAATACCCTTGAAACCATTTGCTCTCATCAGCCGTGATGATGACGGAATGAAGTAGAATACGATACATTCAGCCACCATAAAAACATCAAAAGCATGAGCAACCGCACATTCGAATGCAGACCGATTATCCCATCAAAGCAACCACTGGTCACCAATGCGATTGGATCAAGCATCTGCAACGACTTGGCATCTTTGATCTACAAGTCACCACATCGATGGCTGCTCGCAAGCCGTGAATATTTCGAATTGGACGATACTGTAGAACTATTGCTCAATAAGGATTGGCTGCATGAACCACCGGTCAAATTTGCCTGTGCTCAGGTATTGGCAGGTGCAGTTCTAAATACAGTGGTTTGCGTTTAAAAATCAAATTTTTGATGTAGTATACGAATTTATAGCAAACAAAGAGACGAACCGAGAAGAACAGGGAGAGAAGGGCGGGAACAACCAAGATCACTTAGCTCTCGTGTAATTATGATGATACTTCATATTCTCACTCAAGAAGATAAAGGATCAAAAAAAAAAAAAGCTTTTTATATTACTGTATTTTATTTTACGTTGTACAATTCGAACTAATAAAGAAAAAAATGATTACAACAACCAAGATCACAAAGCTCGAAGTCTAATTTCAAGTTCTTTATGATATCATTGAGGTTGGAATCTCTTTGGATAAGCGGATCATTGAAGTTGCTGTTTATGGAGACAAATGTTTTGTCAACTAATGATCGTTCTTGTAATCGATCTACCATCAGTTGAAGTAAACGTTCTCGGACTTGAAGATCAACATCTTGCTTAGATTTACGAGCATATCCTATGATAAGATAACCCCCTTTCTTTAATATTTCTATGTGCTGTTAATACTTGGGCAAATAATTTATCATTTTATCAATTGTATCGCCTAAGATAGAGTATAATCAATATAGTAGAGATAAAGAACTTAAATCCAGTATGTCTTACCAATAAACTCTTCTTTCAAAACGTATAAACATCTAAGTGATACTCTTTTGCTCAAACTATTTTTTCTTCTTTTCACTTCACTGTTCAAGAGATCTAACTTCTTGTCGTTGCACCATTTATTCAGAAAATTTGATCAACTCACAAATAATTTGAAATGATCATAAAAATCTTGAATGAGTTAAAAACATTTTGATTGGTGACACTACTGAGTATTCTTTTGGTTGTAAACTCGATTTTCGCGGCAGAATAATTTAAGCAATAGCTTTCTCTTTTCCTTATTTAAAATAGTCTACTCATGTTGTGCAGGTGAAGCTCCGGTAATTTGGAAGAAGTTGTAGATGGGGTTCATCTGGCACATGGGTAGAAAATGGCAAGTTAAGAAAAGAGATTCTAGACGTGGCACTTGGGGTGCGTTGGGCGAGTCGTGACGATGAATGAAATAGGAAGGACAAATGTCACGGCGAAGCCGGCGTCTAGGATTCTCTATTATTTATGCTAGCCATTTGAATTTTTGGAAGCTGCTACTTTTTATGGTTTAGATTATCTGCCCTGATAGAGCTATCAACCAGTGTTACAACCAAAATAAGTTTGAATCAATTGAGATATGTCTGATATGTTCAAGCCGATTACAGTCCCTTCCAACAAAAGAAATTGTATTAGTTGGCGCAGCAAGGTTACTTTGATGGATCAAGATAGAATGTATTATGCTGTTCGCGACTCCTTCTTGTAAAAGCAATTGTATTAATAATACTTGACTTCTTTTGATAACTTTGATAACTTGTAAATGGTATAAAAGGATTAGAATTTCAATAAAGAGAACAACAAGTTTGAACCAAAACGAAAAGGGTTTTAAAATAAGAAAGCTAAGCCTTCTAATTGAACAACTTATCGTAATACTTCTCCTGAAGTTAATCGATACTTACACCTGCAAGTTTAAAGTGCTTCATTTAATAAGAACCACCACACAGTACATCGTCATTGGCCAAAAAAAATTCTTAATTTTTATACGCAAACCACTGTAAAACTGTTTAACCGTATATGTCAACAATAACATTGACAGATTTAGAAATGTTACACTGAAGCAAATAATTGCTGTCTTCTTTGATTCCTCTTTCTTTTCTTCTTTACATTATACTGAAATGTCTGAAGAAACATCAACATTTGGTGATTGGTTATCCAGCTGGTTTAATATATCAAAGGAACAAGAATCATCAACAAATCTATTACAGCAACAACAACAACAAGGAACAAACTATGCAAGAAATCAGCAAACTCTATCCTCACTACGGTCTCAAAAGCAACAAGCAGAACCATCAAATAAGCAAAGAGAAAATAATCGGCATAAACTAACACGATCAGACACAGAAAAATCGTACCTCGATGCCCCTAAATCACAACAAGCAGGAAATGGACGAAAAATAACCCGCAGGCTTCCTTTGACCAATAATCATCTAGTCGTCGATTGCCCAATACCAGATAGACTGTTGGGTGCCCTGAATTTTAGTGAACGTGATGAATTTTCCCAACTGAGATACACTGCAGCTACTTGTGAGCCCGATGATTTTGAGACAGAGGGCTATACGTTACGTCAAAAGATCTATAATAGAGAAACAGAACTGTTTATTGTTATGACAATGTATAATGTACGTATTCATCACATGTGAATATACGAAAAACCTAATCTCCCTATAGGAAGATGAAGTCTTGTTCACTCGCACTATGCACGGTGTTATGAAAAATATCGCCCATTTATGCAGTTTGAAAAGAAGCCCAATGTGGGGGCCCGATGGATGGAAAAAAGTAGTTGTTTGTATTGTAGCTGATGGTAGAAAGGTAGTAAACAAGAGAGTACTCAATGTCCTTGCATCTATGGGAGTATACCAAGCAGGGATCGCAAAGAATGTGGTGGACGATAAACCTGTCAAGGCACATATATATGAAGTAAGACAAAATACCTTTTTTGGAGAAACAAGTGTATAACAATGCATATAGTATACGACACAGATATCCATCGATCCAAGTATGAATATAAAAGGATCAGATAAGGGTATAGTGCCTGTTCAAGTCATTTTCTGCTTGAAAGAGAAAAATGCAAAAAAGATAAACTCTCATCGCTGGTTTTTTAACGCATTTGGTCCTATTTTACAGCCCAATGTCTGTATACTGCTGGACGTTGGCACACGACCCGGAAACAGTAGTATCTATCAACTCTGGAAAGTATTCAACAATAACCCACTGGTTGGTGGCGCATGTGGTGAAATTCGTGCCATGCTAGGCACTGCTTGCTGTCAATTACTCAATCCATTAGTCGCAGCACAGAATTTTGAATACAAAATGTCAAATATCCTGGATAAGCCACTCGAGAGCGTATTTGGATATATCAGTGTACTACCTGGTGCATTTTCTGCTTATAGATATGCAGCACTCAAGAACGATGCGAATGGTCATGGTCCATTGGAAAAATACTTTTTAGGTGAAGATCTTCTTCACAAGGACCAATCGGGAAAACAAGCAGGTCTATTTGAAGCCAACATGTATCTAGCAGAAGACCGTATATTGTGTTTTGAACTCGTTGCTAAAAAAAATGAACGCTGGTTACTTCAATACGTCAATAGTGCTTTTGGTGAAACAGATGTACCGAATCAGTTACCAGAGTTTATCTCTCAAAGAAGACGATGGCTAAATGGGTCGTTTTTTGCTGGTGTATATGGACTTATTCACTTTCCAAAGATTTGGAATAGTGGACACGGGTTTAATCGTACACTCCTATTACTAATCGAAGGGATCTACAATGTGATTAGTCTTATATTTAGTTGGTTTGCTGTGGTAACGTATGAGGTATTTTATCTTCTTGCTAGATATTAACCCTTCCTTTTCTCAGGGAAATTTTTATATTGCATTCTATTTCATCACAAAAAGCTTGGCAGATCCAAGTGTTGATCCTTTTGGAAATGGTTGGGGAGAGCGTATATTTGATTTCTGTAGATATGTATATGCTTCATTGCTATTCATTGTGTTCATTTGTTCTATGGGAAACAGACCACAAGGGTAATTTTTTCAATGAATAACTTCTGCATAAATTACTCATTCTATTCTTAGATCAAAACATCTCTTTATGGCATGTCTCGTTGGATTTGCCTGCATCATGGTGTACATGTTATTTTGTGCTTCATGGTTAATATACAAGGGAATACAATTAGCAGCCGAACGACATCAATGGACATTGGATACAACGACTAATTTTCAAATAGCCATGAATGATCCTGGACTTCGAAATATGTTGATCTCATTAAGCTCTACCTATGGTATTTACTTTGTATCAAGCTGTCTTCATGGTCAACCGTTCCACATGTTTACCAGCTTTCTTCCATACTTGCTACTACTTCCTGGCTATATAAACATTTTAAACATATACGCTTTTTGTAATACGCACGATGTTAGGTAAGCAACAGTCATTTCGCATTGCTTTCATATTAACAAGGTCTTAGTTGGGGTACGAAGGGCGATAATACAATTGCTAAAGACTTGGGTATTGTTAAAGTATCAGATGAAAAAGAAAAAGGCGTTAAAACTGCAGAAGTTGAGTTACCAGCTGATCAGTATGACATCAATTGTCAATACGATGCAGCACTCTTTGCACTAGACGATAGACCTAATAAAATGGAGGTAGGCTATACAAAGTCTTGCGGTGACCTTTTACTGACAAAAGAGACACACACATTTAGGAAAACAAGAGTACATTAACCAAGGATGACTATCAGCGAGCGTTTAGGACACATCTAGTGCTAGCATGGATAGCTTGTAATGCAGTTTTGGTCATATTCATTACTGCGCCGTCCTATGAGTCCATATTCGTGCAATCAGCTGGCACGACATATATGTCTGTCTTACTCTGGGTCAATTGTGGACTTGGTATATTTAGATTCATTGGCTCTTGCATATTCTTATTATTAAATATCTTTACTTCCGGTTGATTCGTGTGCAAATAAATTCATCACGCTGGATCTTGTAAAACAAGAAAAATAGATATAAAAAGTTGAAAAAAGGACAAAAAAAGGATAACTACTCGAAAAGGCATCTCAATGACGTGTACCTCTTAATTTAGCTTCCAGTATGAAAGTACCTCAATATTCATTACTGTCAATAACATAAACAAAAAAAAAAAAAGATGAACACTCTTTATGTATAAATATTATTCATAACCCAAAGCAGAGACAGATTCCATCTCGTTTTAAGCTTTATCTTCGAAAAAAAAAAAAGCAGCGACGATCCAAAATTTTCACTTTTTCTTATTTCTAAAAAAAATTATGTAACAATTATTGAGACAGAGATTATAAATACAGAATTTGAACTTTAAACAAACCCCTTTACTTACTATTTCCCTTCTCAATGTCTGATAACCCAACTATCGTCTTGGTAAGTCTATCAAAGAGGTGCGTATGCAAATAGCTTACAAGTATCATTAGCACTGGTACCCTACCTCACCTTTTGCTCATAAAGTCGCATGGGCTTTAAACTTTAAGAAAGTACAGTACAAGTCGGTCATAATTTCTCGTGTCGAACCTCGTCCCAATCGTCGTCCTATTGATGGTGGATACAGAAAGACACCTATACTCCAAATTGGTAATCATACTTACTGCGATACCAAGGCTATCTTTGCTGAACTTGAAAAAAGGTTTATTTAAGAAAGATCTCAATCCATAATCTGGTAACTGACCCACAATTCTCTACTCAGATTCCCTGAGCCAAGCTTTTATCCAAAAGGCCCTCATGGCGAGCCTACAGAGGCATCAATCAGCGCTTTGGCTCGATGGTTAGACAATACCCTGTTCATGAGCACCGGTAGTCAATTCCGTGTTGAAACTTTTGACGAGACTTTTATAAAGGACCGAAGTCAATTCGCTGGTAGAGAGATAAACAAGGACCAAATAAATGCTCTCAAGCCTTTCACGCGTCACACCTTGAAGGCTGACGTGGCGCTCTTGAATCATTTAGTGACTGAACATAGTCAAAACGGCGAGAAGTGGGCCTTTGGCACAAGTGAACCATCTGCAGCCGATCTTCATGTAGCTATGAGTCTTTGGTTCATAAATGCCATGATTGGCTTTGATTGGATTACGGATAATTTCCCAGTGCTGGGACTTCAGTTGAAGAAGACTCTAGACTATGTTGGTTACGAACAACTCGGTTCTTTACCAAAGATTTCTGAAGAAGAGGCTATTGAAGTTGCCAAGAAAGAAAGATGGGATTTGGAAGACCCAAAGCATGATGGCTCTTTACCTATTGAACTTGGCACAGAGGTCACAGTCATACCTACTGATACAGGTGTTGTGCCCAGCGTAGGTAAATTAGTTCATAGCACTATTCGGGAAACTGTGATTGAGCACAAAAACGAGACTCATGGTACTACAGTTTATATTCATTTCCCTGTTGTCGGTTTTGTTGTTATTCCAAAGTTAAACAAGTTATAAACACATTTCAAAATAAAAAACAATTGTATCTAAGTGGTTGCTATCAATTTATAAAATGTATAAAATAAAGATATTCATCTTTTGGAAAACAATGCAAATCAAGATGGCTTGTATAATGTGGTTAACGCTTCTTATTTATATATTTACATTAGTGTGTGAATATATTCTGAACAAAAGTGTAAAAACCTTTAAATAAACACGTAGTTGTGCAGATACAGATGATATTTTAAGCTCATGTTTTATGTATATAATACACGGTGAATTTGATATAAATTAATTAACGACTACAGACCTCCTTTTAAGAGTTCTTTGTAGAGATCATGTAGCCATGCAAATCGTTGCTTAGTAGATAAAATGGTAATGATGTCTTGTAGTTCTATAGGAGTGGGTGGTATGGGTGATGAAGGGGGTGGATGCTTGAGCATATAATTAACGTCGACCGATGCGCTACTTTTGCTATACTTTACTCTAGGTGGGGGCGGTAGCGAAGCCATAATCTGAGGAGTAGTCTCTTTGGCTTTATCTGGTGCGTTGTCCAATTTTGCGGACAAGCCAGTAATGTTTTTTATGTGCTTCATGTGTGGTTGTATGGATGAGGATGACGGTTGTTCGTAAATTCGGCGTTGCTGCAGAATTTGTCCACTCTGCTCTGAGCGATATCTTTCAGCTGCTATATTTGTCATATAGCATGCCATAGATTGGTATATGTTGAATGGGATACACTTGATTGGTTCTGTTAGGGTTTGATTAATTGCAAATCCAATGCTTGAACCCTTTACAACTGCTGTAAATAAGATCAACTGGCAAGGGGACGAAGACAAGACAAATGCTGGAATATCTAAAATGTTTGGATATAGTGCTGAAGACATGGCAAGGAACTTTCCATAGCTTGACAGTGCGAGCAATTCTTTACAAGCCTTCACAAATGAGTTGATGAACTGTGTTTTTGTTGTTGTTTCACTGGTTGATTTCATGCCCATGGTTGTGTCTTTATGTGCCATATTGCTGGCTAAAGAAGCCACAACGGACAAGGTCTGCCCCTGCATGCTCATAATAATATTCTCTTGTTCCTCTGTTAACTTTTCTATTGGTAGCTGTATATTTGGAAACGCAAATCTTTTCTTTTTATCGACTATAATATGACGTTGCACGTTCTTTTCCGTTTCTTCTTCTAGAATGACAAAAAGACCAACTTTTACAGATGGCTTATCTATGCTTGGTTGTGATTGTGATAAGCTAATAGACTTATACATGGTCGAAGCTAAATCTGTCATCTGAAGCATATCTTGAAAGTAGCATAGAACGTAATCTGAAGGTATTCGAAGCTTATCACCCATGATTTTTGCAATGAATACAGGTTCAGCAAATCTGTATCCAGAGGCCAGAAGGGAATTTAAAGCTTTAGGGCATTCTATTTTTCTCACAAGAAAAATGTGCTTGTCTTCATCATTAAAGTCGCGGGAAGAGAGCTCTATATTTGTCTTGCTATCATTATCAGTATTGAATATACAGATCGCTGATGCGTCTTGACTTGATGCGCTCTTTGAACGTGTTTGATCTGGCTGTGTTGGTTCATCCATGGCTGACTCTAAATCTCCAGATGGTTTTTTACTTAATAACCATGCTGCAGGCTGACTGACTCTACGTGCTTTCCTTTGAATCCCTTCAAGTGCTGTCTTTGAAAGTAGTCCATGGCGTTTTTCTACAATGGTGTTTGTCCTTATAACAGAATCAAATAAATAGCCTAAATCAGATAACTCAGATAAATGCAAGTCTTCAACTAATTGATTGGCAGTGTCTAAAAATCTTGCTTCAAATTCACTATAGTTTTTTCGTTGAGAGTAAGAGATAACAGGATCGTTAGCATCGTCATCTAGTTTAATCCATCCTATGGTAATCTTGAGTAACGCCGCAAACAAAGGATGACTGGGTGTAAAATCACGAATGAAACCCTGTAATACAAAAATGGTTAAGTCGATGAGTCTGAAATACCATGAACCTACTTACATCATTGTCCTGTTCCTCGCTCCATATTTCCTTCATGGGTACTAGACCATCTATATTAACCAAAATCCTTCCATTTGTGTCAAAAAATACAACATCCAGAATGATACATCTATGCTGATCTCTTCTTCCTTTGCAGAATAACATATTAAAGAATTCATGTTTTATGCCGATAGCAAAAAATAAAACGCATGTAGACACAACAATAGCAGTAATGACTCCAATTATTACTGGTGTCTTTAGTACAGATGATGGTGGTTCACCGCTTGCTCTGCCAGGGTAATACTCAGTTCCAACCATAGCTGTGTAATGCATGCCTTTGTGTAACTTAATAAGGTACCATTTGAATAAAAAAATGTCACGTACCACAAACGGCCAGGCCCATTAGCATTGCGCACCCCAACCGCTTGTACCATTGATTTGCCCATTGTTCACGTAGTTTGAAAAATATAAAAAGAGCTGCAGTTACGGCACAGACAGCTATGATAACAGCACAGACAACGTAGGTTGTTTTGTTTTTCAATATGAAAAAATCAACAGCCACTTGGCCTATAAAGTGTCAATACAACTGAATTGATATTCTTGTATATTGCCTACCCAAGTAATGCATGGAGACAATCCCAAGCTGATGTACAAATATAGTTAGCTTGAACTGTAAATAGTCTAATTTTTTTCTTACACCAGCAACAACACCACTAGGAACAATTCTAACTACTTTAGCCTCTTCAGTGATGCCAACGAATGCAAATGCCAGGAACATGGTAACGATAGCAACGATTAAGCTGAGGAAAGTAAACCCTGGGGAATAATATAGTGCCCGCACCTCTCCGTTAGCAAGGGTGATAGTCAAGCTATTATTTCCTATAAAATGCATGCACCAGATACCTACTCCTCCCATTGCTGCTGCTGCTGCCGATAAAAGAAACCTTACAAAAAGTATAAGTATAATGGTCGACGAGAAGAAAGTTTGAGTTACCAGTTGTAAAATCCAGATATGTGTGTTCTCTTTGTCAATAGCTCTAGAGTGGTCATTGCACCCAAGACTGCAATAACATAGCTGGTAAATATGATGCCACCATTGTATTCTTGTCGGGCTGCTGATTTAAAATCCATATAGACCAAAGGCACCCAGGTTAACGGGATGAAGAAAAAGAAAGGAAAGAAAAGAGAGTAAGGAAAATGGAAAGATATGAAAAGTCAAATGGAACATTTTTTTTCCAATAAAGGGCCCCGTGTTACTTTCGATAATAGAAATGATAGATGAAGCATTTGAAGTAACACGTTGTAGCATTTTATTATTCTGCACTACAGCACTCACTGAATTCTTCGACGATATTACGCATGATCAGTTTTATAGCCCTTTGAGTTAACAGAACAATAGCCGTAATTGACAAGAGAGAGATGCTTAGAGTACACACGTCATAGCTATTGGACAGAGGAAAGATGAGGCATATTTGCTCATTGCTTACTAGTACATATATTGAATAACTATCTAGCTTATCTAATCATTCAAGAGGATCAAGGTGTTAAACCAAAGTTACCACTACTAAACGAACTAATTAAGACTTAAATGTTACAGTGAATACTGTCAAAGTATTATTTTTTTTTTCATCATTAAGCTTGTAACAGGTTACGCTATTAGTCATTTATTAATGAAAATGAAGCATTCACTTGAATGAACCATGTGCATTGTAGTCTAATCGCGGTCAATACTTACTAGCCGTAAGTACAGTAAATAAATAAGATGACGCGTCAATATAAAAAACTTTTTAGCTCTTTTTGTTTTTTCTAAATTGACAAGTACTACCATGCTTTGTTGTTATTATTGCTTACAAAGGGTATTTTTGTACTTCTAGTGCTACTCTCAGTATCTGTGCTCTATAAAGTATACCTAAAATCACATAATATGAATTTGGGCAATATAGCTAATAATCATGTGGATTTCCCTTATATACATATATTTTTATCCTCTGAAGATAATTATTATTATTACTTATTGATATCTGTTCCTCCGAAGAGTTTGTGTACCCCTTCGATCCTTTTTTTGTGTTTCTCCGGTGGTGTCACTGAATGAGCTTCGTACACGATTGTCATGGCACCGTTTTTGGGGATCATAGTCTCTATAAGCCTTGTGAGGTTCAAACAGGCGCTTTGATGATTAAAACCTTTCATTTTCTATCAAATGCTAAAGATGGCGATAAGCATAGCACAGAAAAAAAGGTTATATGAAGTTATCTTTCTGGTTTTAATATTATAAAACGTGATATTACCTTGTGTAATTAAACCATACACTTTTGTTTCCTGAAGTGCACCAATAATTTCTGAAGAAAGCTACATCTTATGGATACTCATGACACACCAAGAGCATAACCGCTGTATTTGTTGGCGCTTTGGCTGGTCGCCTAGAGACCAACCACGGCCATGTCCAAGACGCCTCTCTTGTATGCTTACCTGATCACACGTCATTGAATGCCTCCAGGTGCATCGACGACTATGCTTTCCGCTCTCCATCTTAGATCCCTATTGCTTCTCCCTAACAAACTACTTACGAGCTCTCGAGTTTATCCAAGATACGCTGGCCCTTGGCGATTTTATTGGTCGATCATCTGTTCCATTCTTTCTAAAGTGGATCAGCTTCAACACGGCTGATTCCCTCAGGAAATCGACTCTCAGAGTGGGCGTTTCTTGAGTAACGTTTTTATTTTTTTACTCACCATACACATCCACAACAACATTATCAACCTCACCAATACCAATATAATAATCATTGTCAATTGGCTAGTCTATTTCTTTTTCTCTACCCTTCCCCTCACTCATACCGCCATCTTTCTCATAATATTTTATTATGCTGTAGCTTTTGCTTCCCAGTAAACATACTGAAAAGAAATTCCCGCTTTCCACATTTAACCAAGTGAGCGGTTTCTAAACAAAAACTCTGGGTGCATTTTTTGCATTTTGATTATCTTTTTCTCCATTTTTAACAAGCAACTTTACATGCTTTACGAAAATTACCGCAAAAAGTACAAAATGTCGTTACTCTTTAAAAGATTCTGCGTTTCTTTTTCAATAATGGACAGGACATGTAACAACAATAACACCAAGCGTAATATCTTTATACAGAACTTTGATCCCCGCTTGCAGGCACACAAAAGAAAGGGCTTAATGCAAGGCAATCAAATACAAGATATAAAATAAGACGTTTTTATGAACAAAGATAATCAGATACAAAGTGATAAATAAGGAGATATTTTGGTGAACAAAGATAATTCGAATGATCAAGTTCAGCAGAAAGCAAAAGTAAAGAGACAGAATACGGTGTTCTCTGGCAAAAAAAACCATATCGCGGAAGAAGTCTTATTTTGAAGAGCTTCCTGATATCTTACAGTGGACCAACAGATGTGCTTTAAAAAAATGAAGTTGTAGATGCTAAAGTTCTTTCACTTCGATCTGGACAAAATAACAAGTTAAACAAGGCTAACAAAACTGCATTTATTCTCGGTGTAAAGCGAATTCCAAAGGAACCATTGGATTATCACCAGAATGCGCTCCTTTGTGTTGATAACGAGGCCCCCTTTAACACTGTAGGAACATATTTAGAGGAATATAGTATCGATTTCTACACTGTGGCCTGCGAACCCTTACTCTCAAGCGTTCACATGCGCAAGAGACGTTGGTGGGCCAAAGATCATAAAGTTTGGACAGTGGACCAGTAGAAAGGTGTAATTTGATCAGATGAGTCTTGGTTCACTGTACTAGGAAAAAACGTCTTTGCCAGATTATCAGAAAAGAGAGAGTGCTAAGAAGAGTGCCATAGTTCGTCTATTTTGGCATTCTGCTATGGATTGAAGCACTGTTTCTGGTCTGGCAGATGTAGTTTAAAAAAAAAATTTAATACACATTCTTTTAGGTTACCTATTTTTATGTCTTTAAAATGAGTTATTGTTGATTAATACAAATACTAAAGGAGCATTTTATGTATATTAAAAACAGTAAGCAAAGCTGAGAGTAACCTATCTCATATTCAACAGTTTTAGTAAAAGCTGAATATAATTATTTAATGCTTTTCTCTTACTCTTCAGTTTTCATTTACTCGTGACTAAAATTTCATACCTTTGCATCTTCCATGTAGTCGTAAATATTCAGCTTTTTATTTATGATAAAGAGAGCTCTCTTTTACTAACAACGCAAAAACATACATTTTTATGCCTTTCTCTTAAGCCAGAATCACTTTATTAGTTCAAACAGATCAACACATTAAGAAAAGTTGACCCGGAAAAAGATGTACATACAGCTAATATACTTCCTGTAGCTTTCGCATTTGTGAAGAAATGATCAGCACAACAAAGAAAATCAGAGCACATTCATCCAACCAAGGATAGTCAAGCGTACTAATGACCAATATTAGATGGTCATGACAATGGTGTCTGCACGAATCTGCTTAATATAAAAGGGAGGTGCCTTTTACGCAAAAGAGACGCAACAGTTCTTCAGCAGTTTGAACTTGTACTTTTTTACACAAATGCAAATCAAGCTTACTCTTTTTATTATCTGTGCTTCTCTTGTCGCTATTGGCTTTGCTGCGCCTGCTGTCCCAGGTTATCCTAATGGTCAAAATTCGCCTTTGACGTAAAATCTTGTTGATATGCTTTTAGGAAATAACGGCGAAGAATCTCTTATTAAACCAGATGCTGAAGATTTACTGGCCGTCTCTTTGAAGAAACGTCGGTCCTCACCGGAAAATCTCAAGGGTGGATCTTCATTTACCTGAATAACCCAAGTGTCAATCTCCATTACACTTGGAGCACCATACTAAAAGGATGGTCATAATGTCAAAATATAATAAACCATCAATATGTCCCTTCTCTTAAAGCCTGCATAAACTACAAACTCAATAACTTTCCTATGTATTCTCAAATTTCTAGTATGTTATTTATTTATTTTTTTTCAAGGAAGCTCTAGCTGAATGACAATTCCAGTTGATAGCACATATATAGTGAAGCCTAAATAAACTTGATAGTGTTCTTATATTTTATAAAAATACTATCAGGGTCCGTTTTGTACATCTGAGTCCGTCTTTGAGCTGCGTGAACATGGGTATCTAATTTTTTTGCTGCCGTTGAAGTACTCATAACTTTTTCACACGTCAGTCTAAAGAATCTAACTTTATCTTGATCCGTATAAAGTATATACGCTCAATTAGTCGATAACTCCTTCAGCAAGCGAAATCAACTAGTGGCATTAGAATTTAACAAGCACGACTTTCACTCTTACTAACAGCTAAAGATTTGGTTGGCCCAAATGGACCCCCTAAATTTTCGCGGCGCGTGTGATTACTACAAAGCTTAAGACTTGTATTTTTATTTCTTTGAGTCTCTCAATGTATTGAATACGTCTAAATCTCTCAAACAACATCAGTAAAATCAAAGCTCAGGCGTGCCTCCTGTCAATGTAAAAGTATCAGCTAGTAAGCGTTTTATCATTGATAATAGAGTGAAATCCGTATTATTCTGCGAAAACGGCTGGAACAAATCTAAGTTGAGTTTCCAAGGCAAGACAATTGCACCATCTGCGGGAAATGGCAAGGTGATGTACGATATATTGTTGGATGAAGCAAATGGTCATAACTTCAAACTCAGTGAAGGCTGTATCAAGTATGCCGACCCTCTTACAACTCCAGTAGCCAAGGAAACTATTGTCAACGCTATTGTAATTGAAACTAAAGATTTGTTGAAAGATGCAGTGGACGGAGATGAGGGAGAGGAAGCCATCAATTTGACTTCAAGTCGTGGGTGGACTGCTGGCGAGGCTTACATGGACTTTCGTTTAATTGGTTCAGCAGAAGGGTTCGCCTCCTTGAACTCTCGATTAAATATGAACAATAGAAGATATGCTTCTCCATTATATTATTTCTTGTTCTTCCTTCCTATTGATTATTTTTATTCAATTGTTCATAACACGAACGTCCATGCAAAAAGTACTGGTCCTGGAGGTTATCTAAATACATTTAAATTTCTTACTAACAGCATAAACAAACCACCAGCGACCATGGGTCAGTTAGCTATGATTGGACTCAATTCCGATGAATTCAGCCAACTGCTTGCTACTCGCTTTTATAAACAGATAGTCTGAGCTCAGTTAGCATATGATCTTGCTATTAGCAAAGTTAAGTATACGTAGGTTCTCGTTTCCATCTGAGGTTCATCCCAGTGCTGCTGATGCCGCGTTGGCGATTTTTAACACACCTACCATTAAAGTGCTTGCTCATGTCGACGATTTGCTTATTTTTCTGACCCATTCGCAAGATCTACTTGAATAAAACACTTCCTTTCTTGAGCGATTAGCTCACACGCCAACACCGCTGCTCCTAAGAAACTCGCTTGCACTATGGTCTCCTCTCCACTGGTATCCCCTCTACTGACGCCTCCTTCACTGGCATCCGAATCTCCATCGCAACCCAAGACTCTTTAAAAACATCAATCGTCTTCAGATTTAGATTTCCATCCTCTTCAGAAAGCTGCCAAGTTTAAAGCCTCCACGCTACTTTCTAGTCAAATGGCTGCTGCTCGCACCTTCAGTGCCTGCTCCGCCAATCATGGCTACAAATTCCTTTGCCTGCCTCTACATCACCGTCTTCCTATAGGTCAACTACATTCTCGTATGCGACAACTGAATATTAACACCAGCCATATCCTCAACATCCATTACCCCAACCGCCATCTTGTTGCCCTCGTAATCCATAATGATTACGAAATTGAGCTCCGTTTACTATTAAAGAAATTTGGGATTCCCGTTCAGGATGATTACGATCTTTTAGGCCCCTCAAACCTTCGTAATCCTAACTATGACAACTAGGAGACAAAATTTGTCACGCAGTAGGATCCAAAAGGGATATTTTATAAATAAATAAAGTAAATTACGTAAATATCGGAAGTATCCAGACTCATTTTACCACAACAAGAGGAATCATAGTATAACAGCCATGTTTGGATGCCAGTAATAGACAATCTATATGATAATAGATCGTGCTTGTGAATTTTGTCTTTGCAGGTCTTCATGTATTCTAAAATTATTTTGACAAGAGAGGGAACACATCAAGCATACTTCCAAGACATCTATTACAGACTTTCAGGTTTCACTTTATTGATGTTGCTGGAACGCTCGTCTCACGTCTTTTTGCTTTCAAGGACTTCCTTTCTATGTAGCTTTTTTAATGTTGGACAATCACACGTTTTCCGTTAGTGAAAACAAATGCATGTGAGAAAAAATTAAGGTTTATTAAAGCTGCAAAAGCTACAGAACGTTTGTTAAAGTTTATAGCTAAAGGTTAACGTTGATATCCCATGAAAAATCAAAAGGATGTTTAAGGAGCTAAGAAGCAACGAAGGGTCATGCTTTTTTTGTAATAAGGTAACTTTCTTGTGTTTCTTATTCAACTTTATGGAACACGTTCAGAGTACTTCATATTCGCTCAATTATAAAGTATTTTTCACAGTTATGTAAAAGCGTTAAATGGGAAACAATAAAATGGTAATAAAACATTTGCCTATTCATTTAAATATAAATTAGTTTCAAATCACATTGAGTGTAGAATCTATCCCATGGCTCCAGTAGCAAAGCGTTACGTGATACAACCAAGGAAGAACAGGAGTTCAATGCTTCATTTGGTGTTACCTTACGACATTGTTTGCCATGGACATTTTTCCGCGCTCTGGCCAAAACCTAATCTTTGTAGTTTAGCCAGCCTCTCAATTTTAAGTACTAAGCAGCCTGATATCCATGCACCATTGTTCATGTAGGCTTTGAACGTTGGTTGCGTGTACAAAGTTACATGGAATCCCAGTGTTCCTAATACGTATCACATCAATATGACTATGAACATTTATTAGAGTTTGTTGGTGTAATATATAAACAAGACTATTCGATTCTAACTATACTCTGATTTTTCTCTTTTTTCCTCTCTACAGTTTATAAACATGGATTATTATAACGAGTTCATCCAAAGGATTGGGCATACAGAGAAATACAAGACCATCTTGGGGGCAGCAGTAGCATCAGTGACCACAGTCTATCTCCTTAGAAAGGCCATAAGAAGTATGTCTGACAACAAATCTTACGAATTTAAGGGTATTCCTGTACCCGAGGGAGAATACTTTTATCTTGGTATACACAATAAACAGAAGCTCCCAATCCATCGCTTAAAATATTCCACTTCATAGGACACATGCCACTGTTGGGAAAACGACCTGGAGAAGTTATTACCAAGTGGCATCATCAGTATGGTCCGATTTTTAGGATCAAGATGGGTGTACAAAATTGGTTGTTCCTTGGTGATCCACAAATCGCCCATGAGATTCTCGTTTCTAAAGGGTCAATCACGGCTGGTCGACCAGAACATACCTTTCTAGGGAAAATTCACGGTCAGGGCGGAAGGTAACGATATAAATACAGATACAAATCGTAAATGAAGCTCATGTGACCTTAGAGGAATCGTTATGGCTGATTATGGGCCAAAGTGGAAGGAGGCGCGAAATGTGATCTTGCACATTCTCTCACCCAAATCTGTCGAGAGCTTAACCAGCACAATTGAATCTGAAGCTGAGAAGGGCATAAAGCACATGGTGGAATGCGTAGAGTCAGACGGTGCGATCGACCCACTTACCTTTTGCCGCTTTATATCAATGAATCTGATGTTTGCTGTCGCCTTTAATATCCCTGGTGCCAAGTCTGTTAATGATCCTACGTTTAAGGAAATGGTTCATTACGTAGATAGCAATTCCCACTTTTCTGATTTCTCTCACGATACTAGTGTCATGTTCCCCATCATGAAGTTCCCTGAATCATTATTCGGAAAGGAAAGAAAGATGCAGCGCTATGTGGACAATGAGCTGTATCCTTTCATTAAAGGGATCATCAAGATTGCTCGTGAAAGCGATGGAGATAGTCTGGTAAAGAAGATCGATAGCATAAAGGATGAATACGGTCTTGATGAAATGGGAATCACGATTCTTTTGAGTAAGTGTAATATAGAAATGCTGTCGCATACATGGCTAATCTTATCTTAGGTGAGATTCTCAATGCAGGAAGTGACACAGTAGCCATCAGTACGTCATGGTCTATAGCAATCCTTGTCAACCATCCCAACGTTCAAGACAAAATTTATCAAGAAGTCACTGCTTTCATTCAAAAGCATGGACGAGAGCCAACCTTTGCTGAAAGAGAAGAGTTGCCGTATTTTGTTGCATTTGAAAAGGAGTGTATCAGATTCCGTCCTCCAGGAGATTTAGGCTTACCTCACAAGGTTTCGAAGGACTGTAAGTAGCTTGTATTCATATTTATCCCATACTAAATTTGCTTCATATTTCAGTTACCTACAAAGACAGTGTTATTCCAGAAGGCACCATCATATTCTCCAATCTCCATACGTTGCACAGTGATCCAAACAACTTTGTGGACGCTGACAAGTTTATGCCTGAGCGATATCTTAATGATACACGGTCAATGTATGCCGCTAGTAAAGGCAGTTTCCAAACGCGAGACCATTATACATTTGGATGGGGCAGGCGCATCTGTCCTGGCATCTACATGGTAAGCATCCAATATACACCATGTCGAACTCAATATTTACTTCTTTTCAATTTTTAGGCAGAGAGTGAGATGTTTTACATCTTAACAAAATTACTTTCGAAGTACACTATTGAACCTGAGCTTTCATCAGCAGGAGAAAAGCTATGTCCCGATCTACAACAAGGCGTAAACACAGGCGTTACTGTCACACCTGTGCCTTTCAATATTCGTTTAGTCAAGCGTAATGATAATAATTAAAATTGATGATTATTTGAAAGTATGTCCTTTTATTAGTCCATTTCGAGACAATGATGTATATTACATTGATTAAAGAAGTGTCTATTTTATTTCTTTTTCTGCTGTTCTTTACGGAAATACTCTTTACGTCTTTCCTTTTCTTTAAGCTCGTTGGCCTTTTCAAGCTTGGCTTTCTTCTTTTCAAGGTTTTCACGTCTTTCGTTGTCCTTCAATTTACGTTTGCGTGTCTTCTCATTTCGGAGCGTATTCAGTTGTTGCATCAACGTATATACTTTCTTTTCTTCAGGTTCTAAAACAACAGCTCGTTTACTCAAGTATGACTTCTTCTTGGCCTTTGTTTGTTGTTTTGGTTTATTGGCAAAAGGTAACTCAGCTTGAAGTGACTTGGGAATCTTGAGTGGATTGAAGCGACGCTCTTTTCTTTCAATTGGCTATTGAAGAGTGTTAATTATGCTTATACTACACAGATATATTTTTTCTTTTTTACTTTATAAATAGAATCTGCATTTTGTGGTGCATGTAGACTTAATTCTTTTCTTACTTGACCAGTTGGACGCATACCTTGCCAACTATCTTTAGATGATAGCAACAAGGATGTCACTGGGTTATAGAACTTGCGTGGTTTCACGGGATACCATGCTCTCAGGAATACAATATCTAGTTTTGTATTCGTTAGATCCCATGTGTCACATACACCTTTGTCATTACTTACCGCTCATCAAAATCTTATCTTCAAAAGTGGCACGGAATTGTCCTTCAGGGGAAGATAATGCCTTCTTCACTTGACCACGAATACCAGAGACTGTTCGGATATTGGCACCTTCAAATTTAGCTACTTCAAGTGCGGAAGTGAACATGTCCTTGACGAAAGCAGTATTTCTATACACCTTGGCGGGATAGCCCGTCAGCTTTAACTTCTTTACAATTTCTGTAGATTGACTGATGTCTACTACAACACCAGTTGCACTGATACGGAATGCACTTGCTTTGTTGTCAGATACATTTTGAACAGCACAGAAGCCGGTATTGGGTGTATGCACAGGTCCATAAAATGTCGCTAAACAATGCATATGTTCTGGTGTGTATTTCAGCATACGATTTCGTGTACCGTCATTGAGTGAGTAGATGGGAATTGTCTGGAAGCGTCTCCAACCCACAGAGAAGATCAGTGGGTCATTTGTCTTTAATGTCTTGGGATACCATCGATGACGCTTGATTCTCACTTGCACCCAACCAAATTGATTTTCAGATGTTAAGAGACCACCAACTACGATAGGATAAGTTGGGTCAAAGTTTTGCACAAATTCACATGGCATGTCTTTGATTAGTATACGCACATAGCTACCAGGACGGTAACCTTCAACCATGGCTCTGGTCAAAGGATCATCATTTTCAAATTCTGCACGGTTTGTTTGAAGCTGCTGCTCGATTTCCTGCTTCTTTTGCTCGTAAAAGTCCATCTTGGGACCATCCTCGCTATCGTCATATTCCTCTTCAAATTTTTTGCGGAGCTGTTCCTTACGCTTGGCAATTTTTTCACGCTCCACAGCTACAGGGTCGCGGATCATATCCTCTTTGTCATTTTCATTACTGTTGTCATTCTCAAGATCCTCAAAATCGCCAAACTCTTCTTCATCTTCTTCGGGTGGGAACGCGCTTTCCCCATTAGCAGCATCAATGTCACCTGTAATAAAGCGGTTTCTGATTGAATCTAATGTCTCTTCATCATCCCACTCTTCCAGTTCCTCAAGATCGATAGGATCACGGCTACTGTCAATAGCTTGGGCACCATTCTCTGCTGTTTCACGCTTGAGTTTGAAGAAATTTTCTTCGTCGTCATCTTCTTCTATATCGTCGTCTTTCTCATTATCGTAGTTTCCTGCAAGGATATCTTCAGGAGAGAGATCAAGATTATTGTAGATGAGAGACATGAGGTTGGTGCGTCTGTTGCCTTTGTGCATAGCACTGGCTTTTTCTTTCAAGTTGGCCTTCCAACGAAGTTCGCCAGAGAGATCTTCATCGTCACCTGTATCTCTTTTTATGCGACCGTCAACCAAAACCATATCTTCATTATCTTCGTCTTCGTTGCCCAAATCACTATCACTATCAGCAAATTCAAAGGCTGGTTCATCCTTTGCATCATTGTCTTCGTCGCCTTTTTTGGGAATATTTCTTGTATCGAACTTGGTAAGGGCTCTACCACGTCGTGGAGTATTATCTTCATCTTCACTCATCATATCGTCTTCATCCATATCCTCATCGTCATCTTCTTCGTCATCCTCATCCTCATCCTCATCGTCTTCATCGCCCTCTTCATCATTTATTTCGTCTTCATCACCAAATACTGCACGCCGACGAGTTCTCCCAGATTCATCCTCTTCCAATGATTCTTTTATATCTGAAGCTTTGACAGGTGCGGATCCAGAAAATATACGAAGCTCGGACTCTTGCAACTGAGCCGAAAGTGTATCCTGAGCGTCTTGAAGACTCATGACAAGCTTTTCACCTGTGCCTTTTGGAACAACCTCATCTTCATCCTCTTCGCCATCCTGTTGTTTCTCTGAAGGCGCATATGCTGACTTCTTTGTAAAATGTCCAGGCACATTAATATAAACAGCATCCTTATCATACATGACACCGCCCACGTCTGACATAGGGGCATAAATCAACTTGTGCTTCTCGTCCAAGCGCTTTCGTTCCTTATCAGGCAAAGGGCAAGGATCTGGGAGAACAGATACGTCTGCAAGAGTGTGATCGCCTGCACCTGGGATATGTACACGCATGCCGGTCTTTAGGTTGGTGCCTCGCAAGTATCCATATAGCGTCACTGTACGATCACACGTTGGCTTTCTGTGAACTAGTTCTGGATCCGTTAGATCTTCTATACGATCTGCAATCACGTAAGGATGAGTGTTTCTCCAAACGAGCGGTCTAAATTTCATGACAGAGATAAATCGTGACAGATTTTGTATTTCCAAGTTGGGATATCTTCCATTGATGATACCAGACAGGTAGAAGAGTTTGGCTCCTTGGTAGATTTCTGTCCAGAAACGATCCTTGAGTCTCTTCTTGGTGGCTTTTAATGCCTTGTTACTACGGAACTTGTCGAGGTGAGTCAAGATACCCATGACTTTGGGGAAACCGTGTGATTGCAGGATATTCAAAAATTCGAATGTTTCCTATACACAATTCATAAGCTTATGAGGTTAATTCATTTGTTACTGTTTACCATTTCAAAGCCAAAACTAGCATCAATCATCAACAGGACGAGATCGACGACCTTGGCAATATCTATCATTGAATTCAAATCGTTGTTGCACTCTACAAATGTCAATCGACGTTTTTTGCCGCTCACAACTGTAATAGGTCCCTTGATCTCATTCAAGTTGTGTTTTGTATATCTTTTTACTAAGGATCTAATCAGCGTTGATTTACCAGTCTAAAAAGCAAAATGAGAAAACACAGTATAGACATATGGTCGCTAAACTTACACCTGGTGGACCAACGACAGCAATGACAACTGGAGGTGCTTCGATCGGTGTACGATCTACCAATGGAACATGTAACTTCTTTTCTCCTAGATCAAAGTTTCTCCTGGCTGTCTTTTCAGCTCTTCCAGCACTTTGGAAAGTGAAAGCTTTGGGATTGCTAGACTTTTTGGCATTGGCAAATTTATTTTCCTTCTTTCTCTCAACCTTTTTTCCTGCTTTTTGCTTATGATGAGTCTTGTGTGTCTGATCTTCCATATCCTAAAGAAAAAAGCAAAGCAGCAAGTGAAGCCTTTTTTTTGAAATGAAAAAAGCAGTAAAAGATAGTCACAATAAATTTCTTGCTTATTGGGAACTGATTCTCCAATCAGATTTTAATAAGGTACAACTCGTTTAATGGTATATGTGCTATCAACTGGAATTGTCATTCAGCTAGAGCTTCCTTGAAAAAAAATAAATAAATAACATACTAGAAATTTGAGAATACATAGGAAAGTTATTGAGTTTGTAGTTTATGCAGGCTTTAAGAGAAGGGACATATTGATGGTTTATTATATTTTGACATTATGACCATCCTTTTAGTATGGTGCTCCAAGTGTAATGGAGATTGACACTTGGGTTATTCAGGTAAATGAAGATCCACCCTTGAGATTTTCCGGTGAGGACCGACGTTTCTTCAAAGAGACGGCCAGTAAATCTTCAGCATCTGGTTTAATAAGAGATTCTTCGCCGTTATTTCCTAAAAGCATATCAACAAGATTTTACGTCAAAGGCGAATTTTGACCATTAGGATAACCTGGGACAGCAGGCGCAGCAAAGCCAATAGCGACAAGAGAAGCACAGATAATAAAAAGAGTAAGCTTGATTTGCATTTGTGTAAAAAAGTACAAGTTCAAACTGCTGAAGAACTGTTGCGTCCCTTTTGCGTAAAAGGCACCTCCCTTTTATATTAAGCAGATTCGTGCAGACACCATTGTCATGACCATCTAATATTGGTCATTAGTACGCTTGACTATCCTTGGTTGGATGAATGTGCTCTGATTTTCTTTGTTGTGCTGATCATTTCTTCACAAATGCGAAAGCTACAGGAAGTATATTAGCTGTATGCACATCTTTTTCCGGATCAACTTTTCTTAATGGCTTAAAAAAAAAACATATATGGGATGCTTTTGCATTGTTAGTAAAAAAAATTGGATGCATACAGCTAGAGTGTCATCTTTTATTATGTAGTTCTTGGCGATTATATACCTTGAAAGCTAGCATAACACAGAAAAGATATTTACCAAGATACAAAAGGTTGTTATGTATGGAGTGAACATTATCTATAAGCACAGCAAATACAACAGGCCAAGGCAAACCAGAATGTCGTTTGGAAGCAATGGCCCGTAAGTTTGAAGAGTTGATCACTAGGAATATCGTTCAAATAAAAGGCGATCACTTTTTGCTCCAAAAGGTCAATTACGCCTGAAAAGTGGCTTTTCAAAATAAATAATAAGCTCAAACATTTGGTACCGCAATCTTGTGTAACCGCTCTCTTGAGATGTCTCACTGGAGAGAGACAATCTATACCATCTTGCTAATACAGCCTTTTTATGTTTAGAGTAACAATATAGTCAAGAAAAGTTTATTTACTCAAGGCAGTAGTAAACCTTGAGGCTGGTAACTACGCTTGTCAATCTTTGTTCGACTAATACAATGCTTTCTTTTACGATTATCTGAAAATATGTCTAAAAGGATCATCAATAGGTACAACCGACACCGTCTGTTTTAATTAGTAGATAATTTATGCTAATACAACTAGGCTCTTTGCAATCACAGTTAAGGCATTTGCCAAGTTGCTGCTTTGAGCAAGCGTTTAACTGCAGAAAGAGAGAAAGAAATACATAGGATCTTCATTCATCAAGAACAACACAGCTGCTACAAAACATAAGGTCTTTCGACATTGGTTCGTCACAAAAATTTCTCTCTTGCTGCTACTTTATATTATCAGAGTACAGTCTAACTTTTGATATTGAAGATTCTCGCTTCAAAATAAAAGAATGTGTCTTATATGGACACGCTGGCCATTTTGGTGTCATGGTAACATCACCTTCCTTTCTTGTAATTTGTGACGCTGTTTTAACAAATGCTGTACAGGATTTACGTAAGCCATCTATTTATTTTGCACGTGAAAATCTCCGTGTGTATTTGTGCTTTTCCCCCACATTATTAAAAAGAATGTCAAACAATCAGCACAAAAAGAAAGTAGCCATTTTACCAACTTGGGCATTACGCTTAATAGGCTATTCTTCTTTAGCAGCAGCAATCATTAGTTTTGCTATTTATTGGTTTAAGAAATATCCCCCTCGCCGTGGTATTACTTCTAATGAGGTAGACTTGAGCAGATGCGTTGTGCAAAGTGTCGTTCTAATGAGCATGTTTAGAGAAATAATAACCGACAAGCAAGTAATAATAGCAGTATTAGCTGGAGTAATAAGCTATTTAAAACAAGCAAGAACAAGAAAAAGATGACTATTTCTTTGAAAAACGTATGTGTATCTGATGAGATTATATGAATTGGATTTATATTAATATAACTTATGATAGACTGTTCTTTGGAATCCATCATCTGATGTTAGTATGTATGCATTTCATGAAAATGCAGTCCAATTGTTATCTAAATTGACACACCTGTATGACATCTATGTCATCATACACGTCTCCTCAGATGAAGAGCGACAAGTTATTCAGTCATTATTAGAAAATGCTCAACTGTTTACAGAAAAGAAAGAATCAACGCTAGATAGCCGAAAAGTGCTGTTTTGCTCAGAGGAAGAAGGAAAGATGCACATTATTCGCCATATTGAACCCTCTGTTCATATCGAAGGCGGTTGGGAAAGAGATGATGGCGAAGACATTGTTAAAAGGTTAAAGCCATTTGTAAACAGAATTGTCTGGGTTGTTACAAGGAGAAGAAGAGACTCGTTCAGGCCAGAAAATGTAAAGGAAGAAGATCAAGCTATACTGGGCCATAATATCGAAGTATCAGAAAAATTAATTGACACTTCAGTGGCCCGTGAAGTAATGCAGCATGATTAAAAGCATCTAGAGGTTGTTATGGTTACCATATTTGGTAACGATCAGTATACCATATTCTTTCTGACCTTTCCTTTAACCATTGTTTATGACTTTTTATATATTTTTATATTAATAATAATTCCTATTGCAATTGCTTATAATGACGTATCCTTTTAAGGGAACATCGTATGTTGTGTATCATTGTTTAATGCAAGAGAGTGTCTGATAAAAGGAGTTAACATTTTTCCACAAAGGCTAGATGTTACTTGAGAATTGACTTTTCAGCGCCTCATGACAAGTAGTTTCAAGGCGAATCATTTATCCTAAATATTGCTAAGCGCAAATCCAGTTGCTGAGCAGACATTCTCTTTATTTACATTAGCCAACAAGATGACTACGGCTATACGGGAGAAATGATGATTGGCAGGTGAGATCACTCGGTTTGTAAGTCAACTGTCTTTTCTACATGCTATCCAGTAGGGGTAAATACAACTTCGGAAAAGTCTTACCAAAATTCCGTTCAAAAAATAATGATCTCAACAGCTTCAAATTTTGGGCCCGTGCCGAGGCAGGTCCACTTTGACTACTTGAACTGTGTAAAAATTGCGCCAGAAGATGAGTTAAATTAAGGTGATCACTTCCTATTCAGAGATTGACATTAGTTAAATAAGACATGTAAGCGTCAGCCATACCATAAATAGTTAAGCTTGAATAACGGTGGCGATCCAAACCCATCAGATGAAGTGCAACTGGTTTCTAACACAGTGTATTTGATTTTTAATTTTCTAGATACCCCAAACCTTTCATCGGAGAGACTACTTGTTATTCAGGCGTCAACTGAATATAAATGGTTTTACCGTAAGAAACATCAGAACCGCCAAGACATGCTTATTTCGTTTAACCCCCATGACCAAAGAATTCCCGGCTTTTCTGGTTGGGTTCTACATTAAGATATTGTTTGAAACGTGTGTGTAATTCATGACGTGCTTAGAAATACAAGTAGTCGATAATATTGCAGTGAACGAATATCACCCGCCTACTTTTAGCAGTAATGATGCTACTGCCAAGTCATATGATAGATCTATTTTTATTATGATGTTTTTTGTAACAATGCTTTTTTAGTCTAAGATAGTCTTACAAACATAAACAATGAACCAAAAAAAAACTCATTGCATAATGATTACCTGCTTTCTTCAGCTTAAATGGCGTTGATACAAGATATTTATAATTTAAAGTGTTACATGTGCTCTCGTCTTATAAAAGGAAATGGGATTTTCGCTGCTATTGTACGGAACTTGTATTTATGAGATCTGCGCAGCTAAACAAATTTGGAAGTGCATCTTATACCATATAAGGAATTTTCCACAGAGACGTTTATGAACAACCATAAAACACTTTACGGACAGACATGGGCCTGTTGATGAGGTCAATGTAAAGCTCATCAGTATTTATTATTTAAAAATAGATATTTCTACTTGGCATCAATTTTTCCAACGGAAACTTTCCAAGCCTTGATGTAAACAGTAGCCTGCAATGACTAACACAGGCATGAAAACTACTCTAATCTGCAATGTATCCGTTAGCTTGCTTCTAGCGCGTTTTTAAAGCATTATGCTGCCATGATTTATCTTAATCAAATGAAAAACAATAAGGGTTTCTTGGTTTTCCAAATATACCCACGCTCTCTCTCTCTCTTTCTCTATATCTTGTATTTTACTTGACAATGAAAGTTGTATTGATTGTATCAAAAGATCTTTTTGAAAACATGAGGCAATAGCTGTTATCATAGCAACAGAACTTATATAACTCGAAACAAGCCTAGTTGAACATATTCTCCATAGAGAGGAATCTGCTCAGCATTATAACTTGGAGCTCTTTTGCTTCTATAGTTTGCTTTTTAAGCATTTTCCAAATATATCAGGCTGCGTACTATGCTATTTTTAAAAAAAAATGTACACCATTTCCGGGAATAGATTACACAAACACAAAATCTTTGTATACATAAAAACTAAAGATTTTTACAACGGCAGTATTAGCAGTGACAGTGGCGGTGGCAGTACCATTGGCAGGAATAAAATGCTTATCCAAGGCTCATAAAGCGATCTCGCAAGATATAACTTAACTTTCTTATTTGTATTCTTTGTGTACTGTTTCTATGGGCCGATCTTCGTGAATTATTTCTCTCAATGAATAGCTGTAAGTCACAAAACCATTTTTGTAGATTTTCATTAATATCACCCTCTGTTTTTTGGTAAAGAAGTGCACTTGGTACATGTGATTAAGTTTAATATAGCTTACGGAATTCGTGGCTAATAAAATATCAAAATAGAATATTCAAAATTAAGAAAATACTGCTATCTTTAAAAGTGTTCTCTTAAAGAGACGAGTTCGTACTTTAGGACTGAAGGAATTTATTTACTATGTGATGGTATAATGATGGTATTTGATATTTGTTTTTCGTGGATATTCATAGTAAAAGAAAGCGCCAACATACAGCTAAGCTCCAGAGACCCTTCTGAATCGGCCATTGTCTTCGGGGGTGGATGCGGATACAATTCTTGACCAGCTTTTCGCGTCATTACTCTCGTCGTCATCCTCACTGTATGCTCTCTTGAGGGATGGCTTTAGCAACTCGATATCATAAACATCGTTAGCATTCATTACATTAATTACGGACTTGATAACTTCCAGAGCAGACAACAAACTAGCAAAGAGAGAAAGAGAACTAGGGAAAGAATCAATAGTACTTGGCATCGATATTTTTTTCGAGCGAACCAAAACACAAACGTAGCCTTCATGGATCGTCATCCAATCCAAATATAAATTCAAGCCAAATGTTGTCACACCCAAAATAGTTAACTTCTTTGACTTCTCCTGATTAAACTTAACACTGTCAAGCAAAGCCCACAGCATATCTCTCATCATCTTTGGACATTTAATTCCCCTGTCCTGCATCATATTTGTTCCATTATCTGATGCTTTATCTTCACCACAAGCCAATTCGATATCATGGTAGCGCAAGATGAAATCCCCACGGCGACCCATCCTCTTCCTGGCAAGATTTTCAAAGCAAGCAGCTCCGCGGTCAATATTCTTTCTTGCACTACTTGAGCTACTGCTGTTTTCGCCTCTGATCCAAAAAAAAAAAAAAAAAAATTGTGAATATCAAAAGTAATAATAATAAATAGTCAAATTGTACCTTACGATCCTCAGATCAGGAATAATCTCAAATAATGTATCAATCATGAACCAAATTCTTTTCTGATACCATTGTTCATTATGCTTTTCGTTCATTATCTTCTTTTCGTACAATGGTAGTAGTGTATCAATAGATCTACGGATCCAATCCAAGGAGGCATGTTCATTTTCGTCATAGTCTTCATACCATTTGCAATTATATAGTGCTTTTCTAAGGCCAGAGGTCGATTTCTGAAGATACGAAAGAGTCATAAGTTGCAGTCAATTAAACATAAATATGCACTTACCTGGTTGAATGCTGCAAGATACTCAGTTAACGAAACGTTAAGATCTGGAAAAGGGATTAGTGCTTTTTTCTTTATTTCGGCAAGCTCTTTAGCTGTAAAGACGTTTTGTTTCAGAAGGGTTTGATCAGAAGGGTCAATGGTAAACGAATGAGCTAAGCTGTTGAGACACATCATCAGTATGAATTGTATGCACAAATCTTTACATTGATACATACTGCTCAAAATTGCATGTAAGACCAAATTCAAAGAGAGCATCTTCAACACACTTTCCAGTCTCGAGATACCATTTTTTGCTATTATTCATAAGAGAAAACTTCTTTATGAAACTATCAATAAAAGGGATTTCTTTCGGCATACTTGTCTGAGTAGCTTTTGCTTCAACTCCTTGCACTTCTTGCTCTTCATCAACAACTGATTCTTTTCCCTTTGCTTTGCTTTTTCCAAGAGAATTCTGCATATCTCTTGCGGCGGATGACGTAGCTATAATGCTGAAATGTTTCTGCTCTTGCGCAGCAATTTGGGCACTTATCTCGTACCAATAATTCTTAGCAGCTTCAGAATCAATATTCTATCACAGGTCAAAATTAACATAAAAATAAGTATCATATGCTATTAGTATCGATATGGCTTACAGAAAAATTGAGGCTACGTTCCTTTTTAGCCCATGTTTGAAGACTTTTATGATCATCAACGGTTGCTTTTCTTACTGTATTTTTGTACACTGTTTCTGACGTGTCTTGATTTGTGTTTCCATACGCTTTGTAAAACTGCTTGATGTCAAGAGCTTTGTGATTTCTTCTAAGGTAGGCAAGAGCTGATTGCTTCATTCTAAAGAGGTTTTTTGTCTGAACTAATTATAAAAGGGAAACATTACGCACATGCGAAAATACACGCGAAAATGAAATTAATGTGACGTATGCATAACTGTTTTTTGGTTTTACTGTTTGCCTTTCTGGCTTGGAGCGGACAGTAACAAAAACAACGCTCCATTTTTACCGAAATCCGCGGCAGCGCTGCAAGCTTCAGCAATGCTGGCATACTCACAATCTACACCAAACCTTTCAAAAAACTCAGCATTCATATCTTTAAAATCGCCTTGAACCAAGTTCACAATGTTGTTGTTGACGGCGTTGAAGTTTATAGCTCAGGTTATATCTTGTAAATTACATAAAAGAAAAGGAACAAGGGTAGCAAGTTTTTTCCTTTATTATAATTGGTGAAATTGAAAACTAGCTTCTTTGAGCTTCAAAAGATATAATAGCTGTTATACTGTTCTTTTATGATATACTCAAGACGCATGAACAATTTTGGAATTTAAACGTCCGAATCAGGAACAATGAACAGTCAAGCACTCTGCGCACTACTTCATGGGAATGCAACGTCACTAATTTCGAGAATCACAGTCCGACAAAAGATGCAACGTCACTATTTTGAAATCTGGGTGTGCACTAGAATCTCCCATTCCATTTTTTCCTTACAGCCTACATTTGTATGCAATTGTTTCAACCATTTGTGGTTGGTACTGAAGATGCTACTCATCTATCAGTATAAGTCATGGTCCTCTTGCGGGCTGCGCTATGCTGAGTGATTTCAGCATACAACTTGACTTTGACAAGCCTCTGAAACCTCCCTGGCCGATTGTTTCTAAAAAAGCATTGCCTTGGACTATTGGAGTGTCATACAGTAGCTCTTTTTGGGTCAACATTATTTTCCATGGATAGAAGTCTTTGTTATAGTAGCGTATGCAATTGTTTCAACCATTTGTGGTTGGTACTGAAGATGTTACTCATCTATCAGTATAAGTCATGGTCCTCTTGCGGGCTGCGCTATGCTGAGTGATTTCAGCATACAACTTGACTTTGACAAGCCTCTGAAACCTCCCTGGCCGATTGTTTCTAAAAAAGCATTGCCTTGGACTATTGGAGTGTCATACAGTAGCTCTTTTTGGGTCAACATTATTTTCCATGGATAGAAGTCTTTGTTATAGTAGCGTATGCAATTGTTTCAACCATTTGTGGTTGGTACTGAAGATGTTACTCATCTATCAGTATAAGTCATGGTCCTCTTGCGGGCTGCGCTATGCTGAGTGATTTCAGCATACAACTTGACTTTGACAAGCCTCTGAAACCTCCCTGGCCGATTGTTTCTAAAAAAGCATTGCCTTGGACTATTGGAGTGTCATACAGTAGCTATCTATACAAGCTTGCTGCATTACTTGATGAAGACCGGTTCTGAATAATATACAGGTAAGATTAGAGCCCGGAATAACAGATGGAGGCACTGATTGCTTCTTATCTTTTTTTTTCTGCTGTTCTCCAAGGAACACCTCGCTTTCAAGTCTACCGCTCCCAAGCCCAGCTTCGCTTGTCCTGTCTCTACGTGATTGAGCCGTCATCGGGTTGCTTACGTGCTTGTAGGACTGCTGAATTTGATTGCTTTCCCTACCTGTCTCGGAAACTCCTTTGTCTGGCCCGCCATAATGACATTTTTTTGTCACCTTTCCTCGCGTGTCCTTTTGTCCCACCGGTTTATACAGTATCTGTACCTTTAGATCCAACTCTGACTCAAAAAATCCCTTGAAAAAGTATTTTTTTTTAATCTGTCAGTCTAAAAATAAAAAATACCTTAAAAATTACCATAGTAATAATCTACAAAGACCCATCTGTAGCTCATAATATTTAGAAGACGGCTTATCCAATAAGATGATGTCTTTTATGCCCAAGGTCCGGCTTGTTTTCTTAATATAATAATTAACAAAATCAAGACACCAAGGCTTCAAAAAGCTATAAAAGAGAGGTACACTCTTTACTTTTAGCTCAACATCAAATATGTATTGATACTCTAGCTTAACATGAATAACTAAATGAATAATCGTCTTACTGTCAATGATGAAGGTGTTCAGCGCATGATTGACAACAATTCAGCTATGTATTATAGTAACCAAATGATCATTCCTCAAAATATGACGCATCGACCTGTGAACACTATTAAGGCATATTCAACCAAGCAAGAAGAGTGGAAGGTAATTCTAGAAAATAATAATAAAGAGAAGGTTTGAAAATCTAACTATGCTGTTTAAGCATAGAAATGGTGCCTTGAACAAAGGTTTGGTGATGGAAAGATTGCCACTGACCAAAAGCTTATCTATTTCCTTGCAGAATATGTCATGAAGCGAGGTCGAAAGCTTAGAAGAAATACAGATGGGGTCCTATTGCTCTAGGCAGAGAGTCAGTCCTCGACTATGTCAAAGCTATTGCAGGCATGTACAGCCAATAAAAGGCACTTGGCTTAAACCTTTATGGCCCTGCAAGAGAATCCCTCGTTAGGACTTTTCTGGATAGTCTTGAAAAAGGAAAGGTGAAGAGTAAGAGGCAAAATTTTGAAGACTAAGGAAAAAATACGTTGAATGATGGCTACACCAAGCAAGAAACGGAAAAAGCTAGTGGCTACTTCTTGACTGAGGAGAATGACTCTCTTGGCTGCAGAGACGGGCTCTGCTTTTTGATCAGTCATGCCATACTTTGTCGTAGCCAAATAGTGTTTGGGATGCAGTTTGCTGATCTGTTCTCGCTTGTACTAGGAAATCAAGGAATATCAGAATGCATTGCTTTGGTTGTAACTATTACTTTTGGAAAAACCAATCAGTATGACAAGATTGAATATGGCTCGTCTGTTCAACATCATGATGCTGAAGTATGCTTTATCAGTGCTCTGGCAAAGAACCTATTTTCAAGACTTCATTCCGAAAAAAGAAAAACAACTCGCAGAAAGCCCCACTGAATCCTTTAAACTGCCTTATAATAGAAGAAAAAATCTATTTAGAAATGAAAATATAAAGCGTGAAAAATATCTTCAAAAGGCACAAAATAACAAATTAAACAAGTGGCTGTCCAAAGTTCAAAAAAGTGATATGCGCATTGCTAAATATAGCGAATTATTGTATAAGGAGGTAAGCTTGTGGTAGATATGCTTTTCATAAATTTTTCGACAGTTCAATTTCTATTTTATAGAGAACCACTGTCAATCCTGGAACTAAATTACCAGCAATATCAAATGACGATGAATTAGCTACTCTAGATATTGCAGCTGATATACATCCTATAGCGTCTCAGGAGGTAACAGCGCTTGAAGACGAAGCAATTGAAATTAGTAAAGATGCTACTAGAAGAAGAATGAGCCACTTAAGAACGATCATACGACAAGTAATTTTCAAGCAGTTTGGTCATAAGATTAACGAAATACATATGAAGAATGCCCTATTAGAAATTAAGCCAGACGAATCACATGCTTATGTACTAATTACCAACTATCTAGCGCCATATCTGCCATCTGGTGGCAAACTACAGCATATTATGCATCAACTTCCATTTTTCATGATGGCTAATGATCACTTTCGGCGTTGTGGATATACACACTTCATGATCAATTTGGTTCTATTAACAACTCTACATAAACTTCTCGCTTTCAAACTCGATGCACCGCCTTTATATGACATGTTCTGTTCAAAAAACGATGAAATGGAAATTCTTAACTTTGAGGACATACAAATCAAGAGTTGGCAAGTTGTCACAGAGTCCAAGGACATAGCTTTTAGCTCTTTTTTGATATCGACAAAGTTATATCACTTTATGCAAGATGTAATTTAATATTTGCTCATAATATGCTTGTATTATCTGTGAGGTATTGGTTGTTGTTGTTGTTAGTTTTTAGTACTCAGTAATGTGTAGAATAAAAGCAAAGAAGTGATGAGTCTCTGTTTTATCCTTTTATTAGAAGTGAGAGAGGAGCTCATAGCAAAAAGAAATTAGGTTGTTTTAAAAGAGGTCGGAGTATTAACTAAGGTACATGTAATTAAGTCAAATGTAATCTCACACGTAAAGATTAGTATTAGACATGGTCAAATACGACAATCTAGTCTCAAGACGGTCAGAGTTAATAGATATTTGAAAAATCAGACGTCTGTAGATTCTTCGATATCGTTTCAAGAAAGGCATCTTAAAAGAAAGCATGAGTTTATTGAACATGAACCATCAAGTAACATTACTATTTTACAAGCAAATATCGATGCACTTAAGAGACAGTTGCTACAGCTAAACTCTCAAAGACGGAGTCTCTTGATTAACAACAATGTGTGCAACTTGAAGAGCGAATGGATTGACTGCAAGTCTAGGAGGCTGACATACACAGAGGAAGCGAAGAATTATGAAGCCTTCCGAATGATAAGCAATGCAAAAAAGCGCGAGACGAGGTTAATCTAAAGATTATAGAAACTAAACAGCAACTGTTGGGTGCGAGGCAAAGCATATACAGTGGCGTTGTACGAGCAACTCGTGATGAAATTACACACCAGAATAAATGTACTATCACTCGAGACGACTACAAAATCATGGATGAAATCGAAAAACTTAAAGTTGACAGAGACTTCTTAATTTCTGGTAAGCTCAAGTCCCCTGGCGCAGATAGCAGTCTCATAGCTATGATAGAAATGGTTCCCTTTTCGCTTTCAAGGCTCAAATTTCATTTGGGTTTATACAACAAGAGTAAGAATATACATTTCTTATTCTCATATGCTTTTGACTTAATCTATTATATACCCACTTCCACTTCGAAGTCGTTTTTTTGAAATTTGCAAGCCCTTTAAAGTGAAGTCATAGCAAACAGATTACGGCAGTGGGTCACAGGAGCTTCGATTACAACTCCAAAGAGCGAAGAAAACAAATGTACAAGGATAACGAGCGTTGAAAATGCAGTCAGTAGAAAAGTATCAAAAAAGACGAAAGAGTTTCTAGACTTGAAGAGTGATATCAACAAACCGTAAAGCATCGAGAGCAACTGAGGAATTTCTAATACTCACAAACAAGAGTAAGACAGGAGTGTACCTGTGATCTGCAAAGGCGAAGATATATTGATAAATTATGCTCCAATGAACGTCGATACGTTATAAGCTCTGATAACTCACAGCATATTATGTTTATTGGTGATAAAGGCTACTGTGTTGATTCTACAATCAAAGGGCATTTGAAATATGAAGATCAGTGGAAGTCAAGAAAGAACAGCTTGTACACTTCTGTATGTATTACTAACGAACATAACACCTCACAAACTTGCCTTTTTTGCTTCAAGAAGCTCCAGCATCCTTTGCGCGTTACAGGAAACGTCAAGCTGAAAATTGTGAGCGGCACATTTCAATGTATCAATCTGGAGTGCACTTCTGTTCTCGCAGATATGGCCACCCATGCTCGTGACAGTTTAAGTGCTATGGCCATAGACTTATCTGGCCTCGCAACACTTCTTTTCGGGGCTACATTCCTTCAGTTTGATCCAAAACTACAGAATTTGAACATCCCGCCGCTACTCTCTGAAAAAGAAACGTAGATAGGCCTATAACTGTCGGCTATAATACCTTTTATTAAAGAACATAGATCAATAAGCTAATTTTTTTATTTACTTACTTTTTTTCACTCTCCATAATCTGTCCTGGTATGTAGCGTAGTTCATTTACCCTCTCAGTATTTTCACACTCTTTTGTACCTGACAGATCCCATGCTGTTAACGCTAATCCTTTTTTTAAGCGCTTTCCTTCAAAAAATCAAGGGCCTACCGCCCTCTCATTACCAACCGCTATCGCATGGTATGTCTTACCTAGGGAACCTCTTCTGCTCCACGACAGACTTCCGATTCAGTCCCTTTTACACTGCCTGGCCCCTCAAATATGATTACTAGCTTGCTAGTCACCCTGCAGAATCGTTGGATCACTTCCTCTTCCAGTGTCCCAAGAAACTGCATGTCTGGTGCGAAGTTTGGCAGTCCTATTTCGTCTCAGTAATATTTTCCGAAGATGCTATTCGGACCGCTTTGTACAGGTTGTCGTTTCCTCATACTACCTCTTTCGTTTCTCTTACGGATTCCCATGCGACCATTGCTAGTGCATTGCTGGGTATATGGTGCTCCCATTGGTTATTGGTTTTTCAGATTACTCCGTTTGTGCCCTCCGAAGTTGTGCGTGGTGTGGATAGACTAATTGCCCTCTCCACTCAAGAAAATTGCTTGCGCCAAGGTTTGATGCATCGTGCTTTCCTTTTTAATTGACACTTCAGTGGCCCGTGAAGTAATGCAGCATGATTAAAAGCATCTAGAGGTTGTTATGGTTACCATATTTGGTAACGATCAGTATACCATATTCTTTCTGACCTTTCCTTTAACCATTGTTTATGACTTTTTATATATTTTTATATTAATAATAATTCCTATTGCAATTGCTTATAATGACGTATCCTTTTAAGGGAACATCGTATGTTGTGTATCATTGTTTAATGCAAGAGAGTGTCTGATAAAAGGAGTTAACATTTTTCCACAAAGGCTAGATGTTACTTGAGAATTGACTTTTCAGCGCCTCATGACAAGTAGTTTCAAGGCGAATCATTTATCCTAAATATTGCTAAGCGCAAATCCAGTTGCTGAGCAGACATTCTCTTTATTTACATTAGCCAACAAGATGACTACGGCTATACGGGAGAAATGATGATTGGCAGGTGAGATCACTCGGTTTGTAAGTCAACTGTCTTTTCTACATGCTATCCAGTAGGGGTAAATACAACTTCGGAAAAGTCTTACCAAAATTCCGTTCAAAAAATAATGATCTCAACAGCTTCAAATTTTGGGCCCGTGCCGAGGCAGGTCCACTTTGACTACTTGAACTGTGTAAAAATTGCGCCAGAAGATGAGTTAAATTAAGGTGATCACTTCCTATTCAGAGATTGACATTAGTTAAATAAGACATGTAAGCGTCAGCCATACCATAAATAGTTAAGCTTGAATAACGGTGGCGATCCAAACCCATCAGATGAAGTGCAACTGGTTTCTAACACAGTGTATTTGATTTTTAATTTTCTAGATACCCCAAACCTTTCATCGGAGAGACTACTTGTTATTCAGGCGTCAACTGAATATAAATGGTTTTACCGTAAGAAACATCAGAACCGCCAAGACATGCTTATTTCGTTTAACCCCCATGACCAAAGAATTCCCGGCTTTTCTGGTTGGGTTCTACATTAAGATATTGTTTGAAACGTGTGTGTAATTCATGACGTGCTTAGAAATACAAGTAGTCGATAATATTGCAGTGAACGAATATCACCCGCCTACTTTTAGCAGTAATGATGCTACTGCCAAGTCATATGATAGATCTATTTTTATTATGATGTTTTTTGTAACAATGCTTTTTTAGTCTAAGATAGTCTTACAAACATAAACAATGAACCAAAAAAAAACTCATTGCATAATGATTACCTGCTTTCTTCAGCTTAAATGGCGTTGATACAAGATATTTATAATTTAAAGTGTTACATGTGCTCTCGTCTTATAAAAGGAAATGGGATTTTCGCTGCTATTGTACGGAACTTGTATTTATGAGATCTGCGCAGCTAAACAAATTTGGAAGTGCATCTTATACCATATAAGGAATTTTCCACAGAGACGTTTATGAACAACCATAAAACACTTTACGGACAGACATGGGCCTGTTGATGAGGTCAATGTAAAGCTCATCAGTATTTATTATTTAAAAATAGATATTTCTACTTGGCATCAATTTTTCCAACGGAAACTTTCCAAGCCTTGATGTAAACAGTAGCCTGCAATGACTAACACAGGCATGAAAACTACTCTAATCTGCAATGTATCCGTTAGCTTGCTTCTAGCGCGTTTTTAAAGCATTATGCTGCCATGATTTATCTTAATCAAATGAAAAACAATAAGGGTTTCTTGGTTTTCCAAATATACCCACGCTCTCTCTCTCTCTTTCTCTATATCTTGTATTTTACTTGACAATGAAAGTTGTATTGATTGTATCAAAAGATCTTTTTGAAAACATGAGGCAATAGCTGTTATCATAGCAACAGAACTTATATAACTCGAAACAAGCCTAGTTGAACATATTCTCCATAGAGAGGAATCTGCTCAGCATTATAACTTGGAGCTCTTTTGCTTCTATAGTTTGCTTTTTAAGCATTTTCCAAATATATCAGGCTGCGTACTATGCTATTTTTAAAAATGTAACTTTTACAAAAATTATGGCACTTGCCCGAAAATGGAAGGATTCATTGTGTATCTGTGGCAGTGAATAACAATTGCGTATTTTGATTATTATGAAATCCGCTCGTAAAGTGATAATGTCACTCATGGATAATAACTTAATTAACCAAGCAAGTTCCGACAATCAACCTATAAATACCCCCTCCCCTTTTTTTTATATTTCTCTATCCATCATTGTTGTGTGTAAATAATTTTTAATGCATATAAGCTGTGCAGCAGTCATCACCTTATTTTCGTTCTATGCAGCTACTGTTTCATCTTCGCCTACAGAAAAGCGCATTCTAAGAGTGCCTATCCAACGTCGCTCTCAATCTGACCCCATCATTTCTTCTCAACTAAAAAAATATGGAAAGCGCGATAGTTACATGTCCACTCTATTCAATGATTTGGGCTCTCAGTATTTGATCAACGTCAGCATTGGTACTCCAGGGCAAAATTTTACTGTTACCTTGGATACTGGAAGGTAATACTATTATAAATAGTATCAAAATGTTGCCAAGAAAATTTGCTAACTTTCTTTCTTTTTTTATATATACTTAGTGCTGACCTGTGGGTTCCTGGAAATACTTGTCCAGCAGTTGACTGTCCCAACAATTTGTTTGATCCATCAGCTTCTAGTACTTATAAATCGTTAAATCAGCCGTTTACATTAACGTATGGTATTGGCAACGTTAATGGAACCTATGCAACAGACACAATTACAGTTGCCGGCGCAACCATACAGAATCAACAGTTTGGTTTAGCATCTGATACCAAGCAGATTTTGACGAATCCCAGCACGATCACTGTTTCTTCAAAAAATGCTCTTTCAAAACGAGATGATACCCCAAAGGCCAACGGCATCCTCGGCCTTGGTTACCCTCGCCTGACAGCAGCCTCAAGCAAAGGTCAAGGCCCATATAACCCATTTGTATTCAACCTCGCTGCTCAAAATGTCATCAGTGACCCTATTTTTTCCATCTATCTCAATAATGCCAACACAGACGGTTGGGTAGGCGAAGTTATTTTTGGCGGCACTGATCAAACAAAATTTAAAGGCAACCTGACGTATCTTCCTGTGGTTCCTTTAAGCTCGGTAGCCAAAGCAAGCAAAAAACGTGCTACGCTCAATACGGGTGGTAACTATTATTGGATGGTGAACGCACATGGTGTTGCTGTCACTTACACTAACAGCACGAGCAGCAGTGATACCGGCATAGTCAATACAACAGCCACAACCAACAGTAGTAATGCAGCCGTCAGCCTCAGCTTTAATGCCACCAGTGCCTTCATTCTTGATACAGGCACTACATTAACCTATTTACCGTCACCTATGGCTGAGCAAGTCATCACTGCTATGGCAGGTGCAGATGGTTTCACAACCGATGCCAGTTCTGGAACCTATCTTGTTAACTGTGAAGCCGCGACGTCCAATACCCAATTAGAATTGATCATGTCTGACGGTAAAAAGAACTCTGTCAGCTTATCCGTCCCTGCTTCTCAGCTTGTCATTCCGTTGGATGGTGAAACAGCCGCAACTTCCAAGTCTTGTCTTTTTGGTATTGCTCCAACAGGTAGCACTGTAGGCAACAATATGTATCTCGTTGGTGATTCCATACTCCGAAGTGCGTATTTAGTCTTTGATATGGGTAATAACCAAGTTGGTATCGCGGCTGCCATGGGAGTTGCTGGAAATGTCCAAGGCTCTTCCTTTTCTTTCTCAGCTCCAACCAGTAACGATGGACAATCTAGATACCAACAATCTACGATGATGTTTGCTTTAGTCAGCTGTTTGTTACTTGTATTCATGTCATAGAACGATTTGATTGTAAATAAAACACATGTATTGTCCCTTCATTAATTGACTTCTTTACTATATTTGGTTTCAGTAGCGGAGCTATTGAGAACAGATCTACCCCCTGGTGCCATCTTTTTCAGAATTTAAATAGATCATTTTAATAAAAACCCGTGCTTTTGTGCCTAAAAAATGACAGAGAGATAACAGTGGCCGAGGATTGTACCGGGTTGTAACAAGTCTTTTTTTTTAAACTTTGTCAATGTAAAAATAAACATTAGCGATATAGACATCACAAGCATTTTAAAGCAAAGAAGCACAGACAAATAAATAAATGGCTTTATTAAAATTCAAAGATCATATAGTTCATTTTAAAACTTCTATTTATGAAAAGCAGTAATAATATTTTGTACCCAAATTTATTTACCCCTGAGTATTTGCATAGAAAAGGAAGAGTAATAAATATAGCACTTTAGCTTTTAAGTGATGCCAAGTTCAAATTAGAGAATTCTGTACACTACAATCTTTACTGTTTAATGACAACTCTTCTCTTCATTCAAAAAAGCACACGTTGTAGTTCAAAATTAATAATACTCAAGGCATCGAGCATCATAGCTTAACTCTTGTAAAAATGAAGCGTTCTGTGTTTATGAAAACAAAATTGCTTATCATTTGGGGGCTGTAGCAAGGTGTGCACAGTTTGGGGAGCCCCTTTCTTTTCTCTTATTTCATCAAGCAAGACCTCTTTTTATTCATTTCTGATCAGTATTCCGCCTATCTCGCAAAATCCAGCTTAGTGAAGAAGCTTCCTCCGGAAGGAAAGAATTCATAGAGATATCAAGCAAACTAAGCTCTGCAAAATCCAGATAAAGAGCATGTGTTTATTAAAAGTATATATATAGTTGTTGGAAGCCATATACGATGAATATGGCTTTATCTGTCTCTATGAGGTCAATTACTGCCCTAGTAGTAAGCTCTTACGAAGAGTAAATCATTCGTTTGACTTGTTATACTTTCCAGTATAGACTTGCTACTGTAGTGATCAAATTATTTTGGCGGAGATTCGCATACGGCTTTTTTTGCTTGACGAGCGAATAAAACGGATTTTAAGGATGACACTGTTTCATCCTTATTTACGCACTTGTTTTTATTTCGCTTCTCTTTTTAAACTCGACACTTTTCTATCTCGCTGACAGTAACTTAAGGACCTCTTTTAGTATTTAAATAAAGAAAGAAAAACATGTCTGGAAACAACCAAAAAATCAACATTTTCCCTACACGAATGTACGTTTAAAAAGGAAAGGATGAAGAAACTCTAACTTATGCAAATTAGGGCCTTGACAAACATGAAGCTTAAGTTGAAAGGCGCACAAACTGGTCACTCTCTTCTGAAGCGTAAATCCGAAGCCTTGACCAAGCGTTTCAGAGGAATAACAGTAAAGATTGACGAGGTAATGTGTTCATTCTAGCTTTTCCCAGACGCTTTATTAATAACCGATATGCTCTTAGCTTAAACGTAAAATGGGTCAAGTGATGCAACTTGCTTCCTTTTCTCTTGCTGAAGTTCAGTATATTACTGGCGACATTAGGTTCATTCAAGTTTTTCTAAACAACTCGATAATCAGTAGTTCTAAGTGTTTTCAATAGTTATCAAATTCAAGAATCTTCCAAGTCTGCTCAGTTACGTGTACGCGCCAAACAAGAAAATGTATCAGGTGTCATGCTCCCTGCTTTTGAAATGTACACTGAAGGAGGCAATGGTAAATGGTTCACACTTATATGAAGAGTCTTCTTTTTTCATTTTCTTTTTTCATAGCCTTTGAATTTACTGGTCTTGGACGTGGTGGTCAACAGATTCAGAAGGCAAAGGAAGTATATACAAAGGCAGTTGAAACATTGGTAGAACTTGCTAGTTTGCAGGTAAGACCCAAAGCTTTTACAAATAGTCCATCTTTAATTTCCTTGTCTATAGACAGCATTTGTTATCTTGGACGAAGTTATCAAAGCTACCAATCGCCGTGTGAACGCGATTGAACACGTTATTATTCCTCGTTATGAAAATACCATTAAATATATCATTTCCGAATTGGACGAGCAAGACAGAGAAGAATTCTTTAGGTACAGATATACACTTTCTCTTAAGCACTATTATTGACAATGAATATCAGATTGAAGAAGGTTCAAGGAAAGAAAAAGGAGCGTGCTGCTGTTGATGATGCACTTCGAGCACAAAAGGCAACTGATATCGAACTTGAAAAAGGAGAAGGTAATCATATACTTTTTTTTTCATTTTCAACTGTTCTAATTTCTGTTCTTTTCTTTAAAAAAGTACCAATACTTCAAGCAGCACATGAAACAGGAGAACTTGCCACGATGGATACGGATACGGATGTCATTTTCTAGAAAGCTAAAATAAAAGAATATATCTTTTATCTGAATCAATACAGTTTACAGTAGTCTACTACTCCTTGCCAATGTTTAATACCCCCATTTTTAACATTGATCTTACTGCTTGTCAGTACAGCGGGAGTTTACTTGATTTAAGCACGTTGCGTATCTTTATCCTTTGATATAGAAATCATTTCCCAACAAGAACAAGTGTATTACAAATCTTTGTTGTTCCTATCCCTACGCAAAGTATTGGCAAATAAGTAATGTATTTTATTCTAAGTAAATCAACACCAAACTTTTTTAAAGAGAAAGAATAATTATACAACAACAAAAAAAAAGGGGGGGGGAACAATGCTAAGGAAATGTAGGATGGGAACAAAAAAGAGATGAATTATCTATTAATAGAAGTAATGAAAATGTAAGGGACCCAAGGAGGTCTTTTGTATTCTGACATTACTTATGACTAATAGGAAACGGGTTTATTCTTGGGATCATAAAAGCTGTGTCGAGGTGGTGCGGGCGCTTGTTCTGTCATTGGAGCAGAACTTGAATCAGAGTTACGATATAAAGGCTGTGATGAATACGTACCAGTAGGATTATAATCATCATCGACATCATCAGGGCGGAATACTTCTTGGTCAGTAGGAGCCTTCTTTCGTCGACGCACAAGTAAAAAGACTGCTGCTCCAATGATAGCCAGACCAGCAACACCACCAATGACGCCGCCAACGATTGCACCAGTGTTAGTACTGCTGGAAGAAGAAGGTGCTATAGAAGGAGAAGTACTTGCAGTGGCTGAAGGTAGTGTGCTCGAAGTAAGCATTTGTGTAGATGTTGCTATATCACTTGTTGGGCTCAAGCTACTGTCAGTGACTGTTGATGTTGGAATTGAAGAGTCGATTGTACTACTAGGACTATCTATTGTTGTTGTTGTTGTTGTTGTCGTAATACTATCAACGGTTGTGGTTGTAGTGACATCAGCTGGTGCTGTAGTGGTAGTTGTGCCTTGGTCAGCTGTTGTACTATCTCCACTATCATCTGTTGTGGTAGAGTCTATACATTAAGTTAGTTGTGGACTATAGATGGATATATCTTCTATTCACCATCGCCACTATCCTCAGAGTCTCCAGAGTCATTATTATTACCGGAATCTTCAGTGCTGCCAGCATCACTGCCATCATCAGTTTCGTCTCCTGTATCGTCGGTTGATCCACTACCAGAGTCATCGCCTATTTTTAGTTTTTATTAATAAAATTTCGGTTAAAAAACAGATCCAAGATTTACTCTACCTGAGCCATCATCTTGTGCCAAGGCGCCAGGTAACAGCCAAGAATCAGTTACGGAATTAATTATATATAGGCCGAGAATCGAAGGGACTAATTTACTTAAATTGACCATCATTAAATAAAGTAAATAAGAAATAAAAAAGAACAAAATATGAAAAGTAAAGGAAAAAATATAAAAAAAGACTCACGAAAAGGAGCCCCTCACGTTGTCTGATCTAAAAAAAGAAATGAACACTGATGTACGCGGCACCAATTTGCGCACTTGAAAATTTTAAATCGCCTTAATTGAATTGGCCAATTAAAACTTGTATGTATGTTTTTAGTTTTATAAAGGGAACAAAGGAACTTGAATCAAGCTTATCATGACTAAATTCAACAAGCTGGAATGAGTGTAGTGTGTGGACTACATTTGAGATTGCAACTATAAAAGTTAATGTAGCGCGCCTAGCATTGATATTACACTACAGGTTTGTTGCTCAGTTACGCGTTTTCTTTTTCCATCTTACTTACGATTAAGAATAATTTTATTTGATAATAATTTTTAATGACCGATGAGCACATAGCATCCTCATGCTGTATTGCCCGGGTCAGATCGCAGTGAGAAGGAATGAAAAACCCTTTTGGGATTAAAGGGAAAATGTAAAAGTATTATGTATTAGGGATGATAGTTAACTATCTGAAAATTTTTGCTGAATGTAACGAAGACGTTTGACAAAGG